AATTTTATTAGCTTTACTACATTTTGTTGAAGCTTTTGGTTGTCAATTCAACTATTTTCAATCCCTTGCAAACTACGATATTGTGGATGTTGAATATATGATAAAATATCAGTTGATATAAGAGTTGTTGTAAATAAAATTGTTTAGTCCCCTATTTAATCTGATTGAATCTATAAGCCAGAAGATTATCTTCCGGTGATATTTTTGTTTTCTAAATTGTTTTTAATTAAATGTTAAAAAATCAATTTGAGTACATTTTAGCATGGAATAAGCCGGAAGAAATCAGATATTGTCCAAAAATTGCAAATGATAATCAATGGCTTTAAGTAAACATGTACACCAGAAATCAATTAACATGTGAAAATTACAGCCTGCACAAGTTTGAATAATTTCAAATGAAAGAAAAAGAAACAGAGAAAAATTGCCCTGATGATTTCAGAAGTGACGAGAAAATAAAGCAACAAGACAATTAGATAGAAATCAATATAAAAACACAGAGGACATGTTACAAACTATAAATACACAAGTTCACTTCTGCAATTTAGGTTCAAGTCAAACTAGACACAATGTCAATACATGTGCAGGTTGGAATATAAATGAAACAAAAATTTGGAAAATAAGACGGAAATTTGTAATTAAGTTTGAGTCGCTTTGTAGACTGATAAGAATCTCTTGGGGTTTAATTTTAAACAATCTTTGCATTTTTGGCAATTATTTTTCAGCAACTATAGGAATAAAATTGATATCACAACCATATAAAATGCATTTTAATGGTAGCTTACACAGATTTTCCTGGCTTTATTACCCAATGATTTATCTCGATCCTAGACCAAATGTATGGTAGTTTTGATAAATATGACATCACGATGTTGTCTGCGTAGTATAAATTGAATATGGAGTTAAAAATGCAGTAAGCGTCAATGCCTTACATGAGAAACGTGAGAACTGTTGTTTCTACTGAGACGGGCATGAATCCCCATGAAAATTACTGTTTTGCAATCTCACCAGTGAAAATGCTCCAACCTAGAGGATAAAAATACAACTTCTACTTCTACTTCTTTTAATTTTCAAAATCTTTGAGTTGCTTAAGATTCTAAATAGACTTAGATTTACTTAAAATAGAGCCGCCATATCGAAAACAGATTTTCACCACAAACACATCAATTTAAATTGTCATGTACAGGGGTGAACTAAGAAAAGTAATTTGTAAAAATCAATATGGTTTGTCTCTGAGGACCCCCTGTTAATGTAAAGAAATGATAGATTGATGCTGTTTTATTTGACCACAAGATGAAATCGGTAATGAATTATGGCCTAACATCTGGTTAAAGTCAATCGACTTGTAAGTCCAAATCTCAAATACCATTTATTTTTCTGAAATCAATGAAATTATAAGCAATACCAAATAAAATCTTGCTGTGAAATGCAATTTTGTCGCAGTCATTAAACAAGGAATATTGAAAGTAATTATGTATGAATCTCAAATGATTAAAGCAGAATCCCTGAAACAAACTTGCCCTCTAAGTATCATTACCAATGGCCTTGAAGGGCTGTGTGAATCGCTGTTACTTTAATGTATTTCAAGTCAGAATTTTTTTTGAGGGGGTATAGATGTCATTTTAAATACTGAAAGTGTTTATTATTGATCTTCTTGCATTTCTAGCCGAATTAATTACTATTAAAGCGGCATTAGGTAACATTAGATAAAGAGCTGACAGTTCTTGCTATAATAGTTAAAAAATAGATAACGAAAATAGAATATGCTGAAAATTTCAATCAAATTACTTCACTCTGAGCCTAGATATTAGAAATACAATTATAGTCTAGCCTCGAGCCCTCGATTGTCATTACTACAATTGTTACGATAATAAACAGAATCTCGATTATCCACTTTTACAGTAGCCGCATTGACCACAAAATGTATTTAAATCTACTTATATCGCAGCCATCTGATGGCATCGACAGTTGATTATAGCCTGGATAAGTTAATTAATGTCTAATTAATAATTTAGATAACATTTCAGGCCTAAAGAAAGACCTGCAATATGCAGATTTAGCTCTTGCATAGTGCCTGTTTAAATAATGCCAATTCACACTCTTTTAAATAACAAAATTTCAATATCTTCAGAAAACCATGCGAAGACCGAGTTATAGGACCTGGGAAATGAGGAAAAAAGTTGAGGGTCGTCGATTTGGGATAAAGACAATGTCCAGAGTATGTTGGGTAATCGTAAACACATGTACTTTTGGGGGGTTTTATGGTGAATTTTCGATTTAAGAACTTTAATCAATGATCTTGTTTACCTGGGTTGCATACCAGGCAGGGATTGTTTACTTCTTTTGGAAGATACTATATCAATAATAATAGATTTTATCAAATTTATCTGAAATTGCTAAATTATGGGAAAGACTCAACCCCCTTTATTATATTACTATGATCTGGCATTTCAAACGGCAGTAAAGGTCTGAGGACAATGTCTAAGAAGCACATTTCGGTGATTCCATTTTCTTTGCTATAATTATCTAATCGTCTTACTTAACTGACATCCTAATCCACACTAGACTGCAAAATTGTAAATCATAAAAGGTCATGATCAATGTTGTTGGAACAGACAGCAGTAAAACTGTTCATAGATGTTTTTTCTAGGACAATGAAATTATATAAACTGAAACAAAAGGAAGACTGATTTTAATTACATTGCAAAACAAATTAGCAAATGGATTATTACTTAAACTCTGTGCCAAAGATTTTTTTTGTGTGAATAACCAGTGATGGGATTTCAAAATTTTTCCTGTCGGACATTTTACCGAAAATAAAGGGGCATAACTCTTATTGTTATTTAAGCTGACGTATTCATACCACAATTAAAAATCATGTGTCAACAAAATATTCAACTCCTGTAGTAATAAAAATAGGTGAACCTTGTTATTTTTCATATTTAATTCCCGTACGGTATTCAAATTTATGTCAGTGATATTCCTATAAAATTACGTGTTTTCATAATATGATAGAATGAAAGCTTGCCGATTCGTACCTACTTGTAAAAAGACATAGCTTCCTGCACTGTATGGCGTACGTGACTCATAGCACATAGCTTCATCGTAAGCACTGCCTTGTAAGCGATTTTCACAAGGCAATCGAGATCGCGGCAAAGTTCCACTGTGGATGAGAATTTCTATATGGAGTCTTAAAAGACGTAAAAGATATGGCAAATAAAATGACTGTCCACTGCTTCGGCATTAAATTCACAACAGTAAGCCTAATATTCCTGTAAAATTATGTGTCTTCGTTTATACGGCAGCAAATGAATGAAGAACTTTCAGAATAAGAATCGTTTTCTTCTTAATAAAATGTCACAAAAATATTCAAATCTGTGCGTAATAAAAATGGGAACACCTTGCTATTTTTCATATTTAATTGTGGTATTCAAATTTATGTCAGTGATATTTCTATAAAATTACGTGTTTTCGTAATATGATAGAATGAAAGCTTGCTGATCCGTACCTACTTGTAAAAAGACGTAACTTCCTGCAGCGTTTAGCGTACGTGACTCACGGTACATAGCTTCATCGTAAGCGATTTTCGTGCGGCGCTCGAGATCACAGGAAAGTGCCACTGTGGATGAGAATTTCTATATGGAGTCTTAAAAGACGTAAAAGATATCGTAGACAAAATGACTGTCCATTGATTTAGGGTGTTATATACTCTTAGGATATGTGACATCTATGATTAATTTATAGATGCTGTCGGTGCACATCAATGCGATTAAAATGCTCGACAATTGAGAAACCATGAGGTAAACAGGTGGATTAAAATTATAATCACTCTTCTTGGATTGATGAATAGTCCGACAAAGGGAAAGCAATGACTTCTGTTTAAGATTAGATTGATGAATTGTCCGACAAAGGATTAAGTCAGTCAATCAAGGCAGATTAAGTAGTTAATCAAGGTAGGTTTATTATTAGACGGTATAACACGATCAATACGTTGATCACTTAATTACCTAATAAATCCAGCGTATTATCGACGATAATGGGGTTGAGGGGTAGTTATACACTCGGTAATTTCGGAATTTTGAATATTATTCACCATGTCTTGATGTCCGATTGGGCATATTCCCGGTCGGACAATTTTGGTTGTTTGGAAAAAAGATTCAGACAAGTCCGGAATATACAGACAAAATCCCATCACTGGTGTGAACATGGCCTAAGATTATTCCAACCTATAAAGATACTGTTTTCTACATGCAGATTTAGTACCTGCATTTTGATCTTGTACAGATAAGAATGCCAGAAATACATTTAGTTCAGTGGCTTGATATTGGGTAAATTTTCCTGTTCTACACTTGATGATGGTAATTATTGAACAGGTATTGGGTTTATTTCTAGGGCAAAAAAATAAATTGCAGGTTTCATGAAATTTGAACAACTGATGACGTGAATGAACTTATTTAAAATAGGGTTATTACATACAAAATCTTGAAATGTTACAAAACATGTGATCAATTACTTATACAATAATCTAAAGGTGAAATATTACATTTTCTGAGAAAATAAATGTAAATAATTATGAATAATATCATATTAGACTATACTAATTAGAGCAATTTTTATCATGAGTTTTCATACCAGTCCTTGAAATCCACTAAAAGACCATGACTGGTATATTGTGCATATACAGCACAGTAAGATGCATATACTGTACAATATGATACATATAATACATGAATATACCATATACAGCACAGTAAGATACATATGATACATGATACCATATACTGTACAATATGATACATATAATTATAATAACATATACAGCACAGTAAGATACATATGCTACAAAATATAGCATACAGTACAATATTCATTGTAATAAAATTGTGGTCGGGATTGGCAATAATTCATTGGTTTGGATCCGATGTACTTGGTTTTCTTTTTTAAATACATGTATGCAAATGCTCAGGTTTGAAATTTATCAGAAAATATTTTATATATTACAGATACAACATGTCCGTCCGATACTTTCCAGTGTAACGATGAGGTGTCACCTGGTTCACGTTGTATACCGAAGAACTGGGTCTGTGACTCTGATGAAGATTGTCCTGGTGGAGAAGATGAAACAGCTGATTGTAGTAAGTACACAATAATGTACTAATGAAAACTTAAAATAATTCAAACAAATATATAGTAATATCGATCCTAAATACAATATGGTGACATTAGTGTTATAGTCCTTTAAATTTGCCATGGAAATGTGCAAATTAGTAAAAGGTGTTTGGCGTAGAACACTCTCCACTATATCACCCCCATATGAAAATCAGGCACCCTTATTTATGATTGGTATCAATGGCAACCCATATTAATGGATGCTATAAATGATGTTCCCCTAATACATTAGTGACTACTAATAACATCCCACTAACATCATAGTTGTAAAACAGATTATTTTCTACTGAATAAATACAATAAAATCAGAATTTAATATGAGCAGGAAATTATTGCTTTGAATGCAATCTACCACCACTATGCATGCATCTCTATTAAAACATTATAAAGTATAGGTCCACAAATAAATCATCTTTGTTGTCAAACATAATACACTTTAATGATTAATTAAATGAGAGGCTAATTGATGTCCTTGATAACATAACAATGGTGTAATTGTCTGATAGCTATGAAATTAGTGTATAACTTCATGGTATGACCTAATGGAGTCCACATGGTCATAACTTGAGAAAAAAAAAGGTACAGTGTGCCCTGATTGCATTAATTTCCACCTGAATTAATTTCTTGTCTAATAGCATATGAATATTTCAATACAATTTCTAAAGAACTTTCACCTCTCTTTATAGGCATCCCAACATGTCCATCCAACCAGTTCCAGTGTTCGCGGGGAGCTGCTCGATGTGTTCCTAATGGCTGGGTCTGTGATGGTGAAAATGACTGTGATGATGGGTCAGATGAAAATGCAACAACATGTATGTTTCAATTTTCTTTTATATTCCTTGTTATATTATGTATTATATTGATATACAAATACATTTTTATTCCCTATATATCTATATAGCTCTTGATGTAACAAATGTATTTTAACCCTTCTGTATAGGAGACTCAACTCGGGACTTCTTTCATGAAAACTTGCATTAATTATAAGTTAACTTTAATTTATGTTGTTTTTGGTAACAATACTTAATGGTCTAGTGCAGCTCATTTGTATACATACCTACTGTTCGCATAGCACGGATTGTAAAACACAGTTTGACTCATTCTCCCAAACTAAAATAAAAAAATCATGATTTATAAAATTATGTATTTGATTAATATTCAGTCATTTCAATCTCATCTAAGATAAAAAAAAAAGAGGCTCTACCATATATATAAAAAATTGAATCTTTTCTTTGATCACCGAAACACTAATCTGTTACCAACAATTCATTAATATATGAAAGAGAAGCATGTCTTCAAAGATGTTTTTTGATCTGCTTAGATTTACAAAGGATTCAATTATAAAGTAATTACTACTTTTAGTTCTTGATGTTCACACCAAAATTATTCTAAGTTAAATGAAGTTTTCGTGAAAGTTATCCTTTAAAACTGCATAACACATATATATAATATAAATGGCTGTTATTTACAACTGGTATTTTGATCATTGTGGACTCCGGCCAACTGCTGTTTTAAGTTAAGAAAAACTCTGAAATGACTATATGATTTATGTATAGGCTTACATGTCTATGATCAGGAACTTGGATTGTAAATAAAGAAAGTAAGAGCTCTGAATAATATTTTGAAGACCTTAGGCTTCTTAAAATGACATACATGGTGACTACAGTCATGTTAGAAACATCAAACGCGGAATGTCGTGATACCAATCATTTGTGCATATCTGTAATACAGGGACTGTACTACAGTGCACTTTAATTCAAAATTGATGAATATCATCAAAATTTTTAAGGGAAGCATTTTGATTTCATGAAAATTGAAAAAATCAAAAATTATTTTGATTTGTGCTGCATGTGAAAATGAAATTATAAATATGAAATTATACATATGTCCCGATTGCTTTAATAAATTTTTCAGGAGCTGAAATAACAGATATTCTGACTTAAATTTAAAAATAATATGTCTAATTGTTTGATAGATGTTGCCATGGTAGTTCAGTGAAATAAATAGTCAATAGTAGCATGTGTCAACTTTTGCGTGTCTATTGGAAAATCCTTGGTTTTCATTCCATTTATGTGACTTTATGCCAAGTCCATATTTATTTCAATTCATCAATAATCATTGTTTCTTGGCAATACCTATAATAACTATCCTTTGCCTGTGAAAATGGTCCAAAAACCTTTTAGTTCATGTGTTATTATTTTTAAAAAAAATCACAGAAATTGCAAAAGATGGGCTCTTTCCTGATCGGCAACCATCAAAATAACCATAAAAGGGTCAGAGGCAGCGTTTGGTAATTCAGATGACATGTATATTAGTTCTCTGGTTTAAACAATAAGTAACAGAACTTTGTTTGAATACATTGTTATACATGTATGATAATTTCACAGATAGATATTAATACAATGATATAAAATGGAAACCAAGGTTGTTTTTTTTTCAAACTGATGATGTATGTTTATTATATTGATTTTCAGAATTTCTAAATGTTTCAAATTCTAGCAGCATGGTTTTGAGTCAACATTTGTAAATCTTTCTTTGTTAGATCAATTTCCAAAAAAACCTTCTAAATGAGAAACTACTTGTTCAAGAACTTATTTATCAGTTCCAGTACCAAAAACTTTGTTGTCGCTCAACTTAAAAATGACTAAATTTTGATACCGACAGTATGCCTCAAATACAAAAGATTTAACACAATTTGCTCTACCATGAAACCAGTAATTGTCATTTTAGGGATTTTGAATCCATTACAAACTATAATATTGTGAAAGTTGAATTTCTAATAGGAATATCGGTCAGTATTAACAAAGATCTGATGATAAACAAGCCAGCACTATCTGTAAGTGCAAATGAGGATCAGCGACATTACAATATTTTATCTTGAGTGCTTGAAAAACGATATTGATATTTGAGTAAAACCTGATTTGAGCAATGAAAAAAGAGACAATTTTTAGAACCCTAGGTTTTATTTTTATTTATTTAAAAGAAGAAAGATTTATGAATGAGTTATGTCTTATTCATGTTTCAATCTTATTAGACTCAATGTTCTCTTCATTATCTTGGTTAGTTGAAATAACTGCATGCGAACACCTCAACGTTTTACACGGCACATGTTTCAGTTCGCTGTTTTTATTTTATTATTAAGTGATCAGGTGCCCACAAATTCTGGAAACCATGAAAATGGAATGCACTCCACTTTTTTAGGCACCAGGACATTTCCGGCAAATGAGTGCATTTCTGTCTGAATTATTTTGATATTTACGTTTATATGTACAAATGTAAACAACAACAGGCACTGGTATATTATGTTTACAAGTACACTTTTGGCATTCTTGAGAAAAAAAACTAAAAAAAACTTGAGTCCAGAGTCTTGGTGAAGAGAATCAACAATTTAGACAAAACGATCACGATTTTATTTTTTCTTAATTTTTTTTTTCATTCATGTATAATTTGTTGTTGTAAATCCTAGGCAAATTACACAAACGTAAAGAATCACATTTAGGAAGAGGTGTGTATTTTCTGTCTATATCTGTCGTATGCTACTAAACAACATCCTCCATTTTGATTTGTTTTCAAAATTTGAAGAAACATAATCCAAAACAGATTTCTTATTTTGTTATTGGATGCATTATGTTCTTGTTGAAAACAAAATTTAAGACCATAAAAGATTATTTTTATGGAGGACTTGTTTTGTATCATGTAATCTGCGTCTTTCGCAGTCAAGGTGACGGAGGCATTTTGTCCGTCTTGCTGCCTTGTTATTGTGCTAGTCAAATGATATTGCATATGTTGTCCCAAACGAATAATTTTCTGAATTGCAAATTAAACATACAAAACAGCAATGAGGGGCATGAACAGGAGATTTTAGAAACAATTTAAAATAAAACAATTTTCTCACCAGCGCATGCTGATGTTGTAGCTCTCTGTAACTGATTTTGAAGCCAAACTTTAGAAAGGGCCCTTGGAAAAATTTGATCAAAAAAGAAGCTGAAATTTTCAATTTCTGAATTTTTCTATTCCAAACTGAATATTTAAACTGAAATATAGCTTCCATAATTAAATTGAACTATCGTCTGCACAGGAATTGATGCTGTGATTTTCCCTAAAAGGCACAAAACTGGGTTATCTATCAGCAATACTCAACCATTTTTATACGCCCATGTGGAAATATGGTCATATATTGCTGTTGCCTGTCTGTCCATTCGTTGTTCACAATTTCTTGTAAAGACACTACAGACTACATTTATATGATTGTTTTGAAATTGATTATGTTGTTTACATTAGTGAGATGAAGAATCCTATGTAATGTCAATAATATCTGTTAATTTCTTCTGGAGTTATGGCCCTTGTTTCACTTTGTTGCTGCTTGTGAATGCTCTAACGAAACAATTTATCATCTGATCTGTATGAAATTTATATGCATCATTTGAATTAGTGAAACGAAGAAGCCTGTTAAATTTCAGCAATTCAGTAATTTCTGTAAATTATTTTGAGAGTTACTTTGTTGAACCTTGTAAACAGTCGAATGACAAAAGTTATCGTTCGATCTGTATGAAATTTTTATGCATTATTTAAATTTGTGAAACAAAAAGTCTGTCAAATTTCACCAATTTCTGTAAATTACTCCCAGAGTTAATGCCCCTGTTTCAGTTTGTAGAACCTTTTTAACCGTCTAACGACAAAAATTACAAACTGATCTGTATGAAATTTTCATGTAAATGCCCTCCCTCTCCCCCCCCCCCCCCATTACCTACATAGAATAATTATGCAACAACCCTTGTAGACTGTGAGGACGATTTAGCTGCTGTTGGTGTATGTTTTGTTGACTGGCAACCGCTCTTTATTTTGTATGTTTTTTTATGCTCTATGGAGAATTCATTCTATGTTTGTCTCAACATTTGTGATATTAATCACTGGCTTCTCACTAGCTGTATGTTTAACTCAATAATCCAGACATTTTTATGGCTTTCAATGTTTAATATAATAATGGCTTTATTTTTGTAGTAAATTTAAGTTGGCTTTATTTGTATTTTAACAATTTAGTATTCATATGCATAATTCATTATTTCATCATTAATGTCTTATACAAACATATTAATGTTGGTGACAGTACATATTCCAATACATAAATATACTATCAGAATTGATTGTTTCATGAAATATAAGGCACAAAGTTAACATTGAAAAACCTACAGATTAAGATTCACATAACACATTATGTTCTGATCTTAGAACACTTGATATCACTTCTCATTTATTCAGGAACATCAAATACATGTAGAATGTTTGAATTTTATCCCAGTTTGAGAGATTGGGTGGTCAAAAATTTCAAGGCATAGGCATTGCAGTTCACAAAACTGTCGTGTTGATCGTATGATTATAAATGCCAAGGAATAGTGCTGCCTGCAATATAGTGGGTCTTCTCCAGCTTCTCAAGATTATTACGATTGCTAAAGATCCCTGTGCTCATGTTAATTGATGATATAAAAATGTTAAGGTTGGGTTTAGTGGACATTAAACCCTAGCTCTCTCTTGTTTCACTTTAACTATCGGTGTCACATGAGGATTTGCAAATTGATAACTTTACAAAATAGAATCTGCCAAAAGGTTTACATGTAAAAAGTCTTCGACATTATGTAAAGAATCCATCATGTTGACAATGATTGTCACTATCAGTATGAAATATATTTTCAACAACATCGGTCATCATTACTGTTATCATCAATCATAAATCATTATCATCAATGATGATTATCCTTATTTAAATATCGCCAACATAAGTTTCATGATTAACTCTCACGTACATATATATATAGATACCGTATAACATCAAATATATATTTAATAAAACAGTCAAACACTCACAAAAAACAAATATTATTGCACCATATATGAATATAATAATACAATAGATCAATCACAAGCACACTTTGGTAAGGGTTATGTTTTTTACTGAAAAAGATTCTAGATTAAGATAACATGTATTGGTAATCTAATATTAGAATATTCATTTACAATTAGCAGCATCTGCTGTGATGTTCAGATACATTATTCTGAAAATGATTTGATTGTGATATCAAGTCAAGGATATAAATTTTCTAAATGAAAATTATCCCTTTAAACACCTTTGCGTGCATTGCACATATGGCCATAGAAAAAAAAATGTATATGTCTGAAAATGACCAAAGTATTGTGTTGATGAGACATTGAATTCCTTTCCTATACATGTATGGTCCTATGAAAATTCAAGATTTTGGAAAGACTTTTTCAGTTAAAAACAATAAAATATATTTAACATACTAGGAATCAGGGATACATATTGTGATATTTTTTTTAGTTATATTTCTGTATCTTTAATTTCATATTTCTTGATGTAATTTATTTTTATTTTTATTTTTGAGTTGATTATTATTAATTTTCAAAATTTTGATTATTTAACCCTTTTCATTTTGTGTTCCTTAATAGCAAAATTCTGTTTATAATAATAATAGACCACTTTTTAATACGATTTTTGTTGTTTTTTTTTTTTTAATTTATCTATGACTAAAACAGTGCAGTTAGCTTCGGGTGCACAGATCTGCCATCTATATTTTTTTTGTCAAGCATTTAAAGCTAAAGATGACAGTTGTCTACAAAATCAGGGGGTTCTTGTTTCAGTTTTTGACTGACTGGCAGTGTAATTGGTCGTATGGAGAATAAAATTATATTACTCAAAGAAAATTGTTGATGAAGAAAGAGAAAGAAAAAAAATTCTAACTGCCACCAAAACAGTGCCATAAATATTGATGTGATCACATAGTGACATAATTTTGTTTTTAAGTCATGGAAAATGTTTTCTCAAATGCTTGGTAAAATAATGTATAATCCTACTTGTTGGCTTGGCTTCTGCTTGCACACTCTTTAGCAAAACTGAAACCGCAACAGCATAATTAATGTATCAATAAACTTATTGTCTTTTGCACCATGTTCATTATTACTTTGAATGATTAAATTAGAAATTGTTTTAAAACTAGAATTAAATCTTAATAGGAATGTAATTCTGTTAATTTGTTTTAAATCACTGTTAATTTATATATTTATTCCTTTTTTTGCATCTGTTACCATGGTGATTTAAGTGTTTACAGTAATTGGTTCTAGTTGCACCATTCTCTTTGAGTAGTTGTTTTTGTTATGTTAATGTTGTTTGCTTGTTTAGTTTAACTGATCGTAAATGAATTCCAGGAAATAGCAATGATTTTTTATATATAAGAAATACAGATATAAAGTTTTGATGTTTATTTTGGTAGGTGCATTTGTCGACACATTCAAATGTGTCCCCAACAAATACCAATGTCCTGGCACCCATACATGTATTCATATGGAACAGGTGTGTGATGGGACGATTGATTGCGTGGAGGATCGAGCAGACGAAGGGGGTCATTGTCGTAAGTTGCTACTAGAAATTTGTAACTTTTCAGTACTGATTAAGCTTTATTCATGTTTATTTCAATCAGATTAATAGTGTACGATTTTCAAATCATCCATTGATAGCAAGACATTGCCCACTGTTCTGTTCACTGACACACTTTGAATTTACTGTTTTCTTCTGATGCATTTTTATTATGGCATTGTTTTTATAAATATTGTGATTTTATTTCAGTAAACACTGGATGTAAATCTTTAACATCGTGCAAAGCAAAATGCCGAGAAACCCTACAGGGACCCCAATGTTACTGTAGCGAAGGACTATCCCTTAATAACTCTATGTGTATTGGTAAGATATTTTACTTTTTCATTTATGATTTGTTATTTTTACACATGAGAGATCATGTATGCAGCCTGTTAGAGTTGACAATGGAATGAATTTCTTATTAAGCTATCCTTACTATTCGAGAAATAGTTTAAGGTGTTAATCAGACATTAAAGAGAGTAACAATGCTGTTTTATGTAGCTATAAATGGGAAGACTGACATGATTTTGGAATAATTGAAAAAGACACTTAAATAAAACTATATTTACAATTTCTTTGGGTATTAGAATTGAGGAGAGGGGTGGAGCTTTTAGTGATAAAGGAAAATTAGAACATTTATTTTAACATTCTTTAAAGATCCTCTAGAATAAATGTTAAATTAAGAGTTTAAGACCATACACATTCCAAAATATTTTAATTAAAAACATTTAGGTCCAAAGATTAATCAAATCGATCAATTTTAAAGCCAGTTATGGCCTTTTGAAATTTACATTGTTTTCTTCTGGATTTCACACTAACATCTTTATGTGTCTAACCCCTGGATAATTTAAATTTTATGAGAAGAAGGCACTTTTCCTATTATTATGCCAATGCTTGAATGTATGGTGGGCATTAAGTGTTATGTTACAGGTGTTCTTCTGCAAGACCGACTGCTTCTCGGATCTTTCACAGACACAGCATGATCAGACATCCTATTAGGCTAAAACTTGTGTAATTTTGGAGGATGGCTGTAATATTTTTGTCAAACTAAGGTATTATCACAAAATTTTGAAGTGCTTTTGAATGTAGTTTATTGACTTGTGCTTTGAAGTTATAACTTTTGGACCACATTGGAAATAAGCGATTAAATTAGTTAAATAAATATAACATATATATAAAGTGCCATACATTCTATTTTTTTAGATTTAGATGAATGTAAATATGATGGTTATTGTGATCAACAATGTGAGAATAAATTCCCAGGTTATATATGTTCATGTACTGAAGGATATCATAAACCTGTATATACTAAAGATAATGATAAAGAAGGCAACTGTGAAGTAGATGGTAAGATATACTATTTTATTAAATCATCCTGCAATATTATCCACATTGGCTCAATATGAAGGCATAGAATTTGTATTATATAGTATTTTAGGACCATTCATTCAGCTGTAAAATTATACTGCAATATTCTTCCAATTGGCTGAATATGATGGCATAAATTTCGTATTATTGAGAGACATCTCTTCAACTGAATATATTTGTATATGCCCTGTTAATTGAATGAGAAGGGGATTGGGTGGCCGAATGGTGTAACACATCAGCTTTAAATCATTGGTTTTTCTCCCAGTCATCCAGTTTCCTCCCACTGCTAAAGACCCATATGTGTAAGCAAATTATTGAAATGAAATTGAACCATATGTAAGTCCCGAAATGACCTAGTTTGTGTCAAGTGGACATTAAACCTAATTTCCATCTCTCTCTTTTAAATTGAATGTTTCACAGTTCCTAACTCTTCAGTAAAATGATGTAGAAATAGTCACAATTGTGTCAATAATGCTCTCAATTACTTATATTAAAAAAACATATTTATACGCCCCACTTTGATATATATTTAGCAACTGTCTTATTGTCTGGCTTTTTATATATAGCTACATTTTTATACGCCCAGATGGGTTTGTATTAGAATGTGGTATAGAAAGGCCTAATCAACAAATTATTCAAAAAAGGATTCTCGAAAATGAAAAAATACAAATGACTATTATATACATGGCTTTTGCATGAAATATTTGAATTATAGTATTTGCCATTGTAATTTAGAGGGGAGGGGTCAAATGAATAATGCATGCATGTTGCATTATAAGGTCTGTCATTGAGTCAATTGGCGTGCTTTCGATTCCCTGCTTGTACATGACAAGGAGTAGGGTCCTCTGTGGGTTTTGTGGCATAAAATTCATATTTATGAAAATAGCATTAAATCTAGATCATTTTATCTATTAGCATTAAGGGTCTATCTACTGTTTTCTTTTAATGAAATAAGTTTAAGATATATATTTCACCAATATTAAGCATTATGAAGTCAAACCTCTGGGTTAAACCCCATTTCGTTTCATTTCTATTTGATTAATCTGTGGATCAGGTCCGACCAGTAGTAGGGTCGGCTGACTTATGGGTTTTCTCCGGGTTTCCACACAATATGGTAAAAGCCCTACATGCAAGTGAAAATTGCAATAGATCAATTCTCAAATAATGTAGTTTTTGTTGAGTAGATGTTAAACCTTTTTGGCTCTCCCGATTTTCAGAAAACGTTTATGATATTTTTTCCAGAATTTGACTTCTGTCTCATTTATTTTATCTAGGTTCACCAAGACTTATTTTTGCTAACACCAAAAATCTTCAACAGATTGATATAGATGGAGAAGAAATGAATCCTGCTTTCGTCATTGAAGGCGACCAAATAGAAACTTTAGATTATGATCTTAAAAATAACACTGTCTGTTGGGTAAGTCAAAACTTTTCAAGATGAATACTTGTCAATGAGCATAAAAAGTTGACTTTGCATATTTCGAATTTGAATGAGTGACTGGCAGATTTTTCAGGTGAACATGATCAACAAAACTGTAATAAGCAGATGGTTGGATTTCATGGGGGAGGGGGGGCTACATGTCGATGTGCTTATTATTAGAGTGGCCTTTTGTAAATTTTCTTCACTTTAATTTTTGTCTAAATATAAATTTCAGATTGGATCTGTAATAAATTCAACAGAGTCAGGGATGTATTGTGCTAAGCTGGATAAACCCAATGAAAGCTGGAGAATAGCTTCACATCATAAACTGACTTGTAAGTATTTTATCTCTTGGTAGAGTTGAGGTATAACAAAGATGTCATGGGTGCATGAATTTATCCTAGGCCACTAGGGGTCAGAAACATATCTGAACAGTTGATATAAACCAAGTGGTCTGGGGTACCCATGATATAAACCTTGGAATGGGAACACAGCTCAACAGTTAATATAAACTAATGGGACATGGGTACCGCTGAGATAACCCTAGGGGATTACGGGTACAGCGCAGTTAAAGCCACAGTTAAGAATACAGCTGAGAGAAACCCAGGCCCCAGTTGAATGTGTGCAGGCCTCTTTAGATATTCAGGAATGGTAAATTACAAAATAGGGCTACACATATAATAAAATAACCATTTTGAATGTTATATTTCAGCTGTAGAACAACTAGCAAGAGATTGGGTTGGCGATAATTTTTATTTTGCGGACGATGTTAAAGAGACTATATTTTTATGTCGCGGTGACGGCATGCATTGTGTTAATATTATAACTATTGGAATCAAACGACCAAAAAGTCTGGCATTAGATTCTACAAGAGGGTAAGTTCTTGTTTTACGTCTAGGATTTCTTCCTAAATCTAAACCTTGATTCGGGGTGATCTTGATTCATGTCTGACCATATATTTGATTCATTAAACTGATATGTATGTACAATTGATTATATCAATTTTAATTTGGTATTTCAAGTATAGTAATTGTGTCTTCATCTAAAAAAGTTGGTGGTTAATGTTGGGTTTTAACAAAGTTACAGGAGTTATGTCCCTTGTCAGAACGGAAATAAATAGAAATGGAGTTAAAAGTCCTACTGTTCTGCTGTGACTGTGCTAATGAAGATGGTTTATCATCCCTCCCATCCAAATGATTGACCTTTGCCAGGCCCTCTGTCCTACACCACTGACAAGGGGGAACCAGCCCAGAAAATTCTGATAAACTTTCTTGGCCAACGCAGGGATTGAAAACTGGACCTCTAGGTTAGTAAGCCAATGTCTTACTCACTGATCATGAGCCACTGTGGTTCCCTCTTGTTAAAACTCTTACTCTCAAAGTTTTGTCACCATATACTCTGATCTTTGAATAGTATTTATAATCAATTGATCATCAGGCTTAAGAAGTAAATGGGGAAATGGGGGGAGGGGGTACTCCCCGGAAAAAAAAGTACTTGGTCTCAAAATAAGTGCAGTCAGTCTCAAAATTATGCTTCGGCCACAAAATGAATTAATGAGGTAAACAAACAATGCCAATATAGACGGGAAAAATCCCAAATACTTAATATAAGTATGAATATATCTGTGTATACCTTTGATTGGATATCACGATACATGCCAGTTTTTCAAAGTTCAAATCAGTTCAAAAATTGTTATGCGTTCACAGTAATGAAACAGAAAATCCTCAATCAGTGATCAAAATTGACTAAGTGTGGACGCTTGATGAAAATATGAGGACATAGTCACACTTTTGCTAATTTATGTATATTCACCACAACAATATATCGAAGATATAGGTCCATGTAAATGATGTAATTATCACTTTCGTAAGTTGTCACAGATTCACAGTACTTTGTACGTTCTTGTGAAATTCTTAATAAATAACATGAGTGCCAATGTTAGTACTCAATTTTACTCATGTTATAAGTGTTTTCTGACCATCAGAATTCCGCAATTCTGTACATTCTCAATGAATAACATGAATTCACATGCAAAGTACTCAATTTTACTCTTGTTAGAAGTGTTTCTGAACTTCAGAATTCTGCAAAATCTTCCACCCAAAGTCTAGGAAATGGCATTTCAGGGACTCTATATTCATAAATCTGTCCAGGCCTCGACTCGTGGTTGTATTAGGGGCCTGTGCATCAGTCAGTCTCATTTTTGCTAAACACCCCCCAAACAAAATCAATATGTATACCCTTGACCAGGCTTGTCAAGAAAAGTAATAACTGCAGAATAAATACATTAAATAAATACCTAGAAAAGGTCTTTATTGTGGAGACAAAGAGTATATATGTGACAAAGAGTACGTTATCCTGTCAACATTGTGGTGTGTTTTTTCTCCAACCACTAAATAACTGTGTTGTATCGACTTAGCAAAATATTTACATAATGATTTTAAAATAGTGACTTATTTCAATTGAGTGAATGTTTAACCTGATTTCTCTCTATATGTCTGAACAGTGAAATAAACTAGGTCATTTCAGGACTAACATACGATTCAATTTTATTTAAATAATTCGCTTGCGCATAGTGGTCTTGAGCAGTGGATGGAAACTGGTTACAGGGAGAAAACCTATGAGGTTGGAGAGGCGGCCCTACTCCTTGTCACGTACAAGCGGAAGTCAAAACCACACCACTTGACTTCATGACAGACCTTGCGATTTAACATTCGGCCCCCAAACAGTGAAATGATGATTAGGTTTACATATTGGTTACTCAACAAAGTAGATTTATTTACTATATGTCAATAATCAAATCATTATAATCATCATTAAATTAATTATGATATCTTACAGGTATATTTTCTTTGCTGACTGGTCTATGAACGCTAAAATTGAACGAGCCAATATGGATGGTTCTAATAAAATGGAACTTGTTGTAAAGAAAATTGTTCATCCTAATGGCCTGGCCTTGGATTTGGCCAATAAACATGTCTATTGGGGAGATTCGTTTTTAGACTATATTGAACGAGTTGATTATAATGGTGGTAATAGACGTTTAATCGCTCAAGGAGTAAATGTAAGTAAAATGTCCAGTGTGACTGGACAGTATAATCATCCAGAATGTATATTAATACTGAAAAACAAGAAAATATGATATCATAAAAATCAAAAATCAAAAGACAAGGATATATTTTGTCATGAAATGAATGCGACCTAAAGGGGGTCAACATAAATTTGTTTTGAAATTATTGTAACCCATCGTATCCTACATTAACACCGCAGCTAATTAAGTCATTCTTATAAGCTATCAACTAATTAATAACAGTTTATCGCCTAAAATCTGCTTGTGACAAGTTACTATGCTATAATATCATTCAAAATAACTGTTATTATTTCAAGGATTAATATCTCTGCATTGGTCGATTCTGTATTTACTACGAATCACAGCCAATATTTCCTTAGTACATTTGACACAAACTATTTGATCAAGATGGAAATCAAATGTGGACAATTTAAATGTGCATCCAGGGTGGTGATCTCCTAACTGAATTGTTTATATTTGTATATTTATTAGGTGGATCATGTCCATGGTTTAACAGTATTAGGTAACTATCTATATGTTACCAACCATCATAATAACAGTATTGTAAGAGTTCATCGTTATATAGAGAATGATATACAAGTTATAAATAAAAGTCCATTAAGTAAACCCGGTGATATACATGTTATACATCCAGTTAAACAACCAGCAGGTAAGTTTATCTTAATATAATCATAAAAAAAAACTGTACTCTTCATTCAACACTTGATCATATAATAAAAATGTGTCTGTTTATTTTATATCGTTTTCAGACCAGTAGATTGGTCAACCCCAAAATAAACCCAAAATACAAACCAAATCAAACCAATATTGACATGGGGGCCACGGTCGCGGGTTCACTTCCAGTGTTGGCTGAGAATGTTTAAAAAGACTTTCCGGCGTGGTTTCCGCCTGACAAGGACGGCTATATAGCCACTTGGATGAGATGGAAAATTGATTTCCCGTGTACACATTGGCATGCATGTAAAAGATCCCTTGGCTGTTGAAATTTGATATAAGAGTAGACTGTAGCGTCGTGTCCGGACCAAATTTCCCTCATAGCACATTGTATGGTGTATGCCTGGCTCCATTAGCCCAGTCGGAGCAGAACAGTAAGAAGTTAAACCCCATTTCATTTCCAATATTGACATATGACAAAAAAGAGTGCATATAAAGAACTCATGACAAATGGAGTTCGAAGAAGTCTGGGCAAAAAGCATCAAATTTCATATTCCAGAAGTGTCTGGATAACTATGTGTTTAAACTTGCTGAAGTTATACCTGTAGTAATCATCATCATCAATAGTTAGTCCCAAAATGACCTAGCTAGTGTTCAGTAGATGTTAAACCACAGTTGTCTCAGTTTTTTATTTACATTTTTTTTTACCATATTCCGGTAATTATTTCTGCTATTAGGTAACAATGCTAACTTGCTGTTTTTGGTGACTAGCTAAGTTAATCCTGTTAATAACCATAACATTTAAATAATGATATTGACTAAATTTTATTGTTTCAGCATCTGAGAATATTTGCGGAAATAAAAAATGTGATCATATTTGTGTACCAGTACCACACGGTTCAACTCAGACTGCAGTAGCAGCTACATGTCTGTGTAGAGCTGGTTACGCACTTGTGAATGGAACCGCTTGTCAAAGTAAGTAAAAATTGTGATTAAATATGAGGGTATTATGTATGTGTCATCCCTAATGAATGGTAACTAATCAACAATATAATGGATATATGATTGATAGGAAATAGCTTGAATAGATGTCTACTTCGAAAAATTTAAGTTACTACACTTAGCACCAAAACAATGGCAGCCCAGCCATTTCTTGATACTTGTAACATTAGTACAAGCAGACAGCACAATTTTAATTTGAGAAATTTTGCTTGTTTACAGAAACAAAGGCTGATCGGTTTTTACTCTATGCAAATGCTCAGCAAGGCAGCATTCAAGGTATATCTTTAGGTGTGAACAAAAGTCAACAAGTTATAGAACCTATCGTTAATCTCAACCGACCTATCGCCATAGCTTTTGATGCTAAGAATGAAGATATATATTATTCTGATGTAAGCTTATTGAGGATTGGACGAAGAAAAGCTTATACTGATGATGAACCTGAAGTATTTTTAGATGCTGGTAAGTAGCCGTCTGTTTTTTTTTTATGACTTAAAGATATAATTCTGGGGGAGAATTATTAGGTCAACTATCCAACCAACAAAACTAAGCTTTAGCTGAAAGTATTTTTTTTTTTTTTTTGATTTTGAAATTATAGATTCAAATTGCATATCACATTAAATGTAACTGCCCAATTTGTCAGGTCAAACATTCAGCATTTGTGATACCAATATTTGATCATCGACATCATGGACAGTAATACAATATCAGACCTGGTAATGCACATTTTATACAGTTTGAAGTAATGGGCATGTAATAACTAACTACATTCCAAATATCATGTGATCAATTGCCCCAAGTTTGTTCCCTATTGCCTTCATTGTTACATCGTTATTCATGTATGATTTGTTGTATATTGAAGTTTCATTGATGGTTTCTCAACAATGTATCATTTATTGTTTATTTTTATTGATGTACCTTTTATCATCATATAGGTGTAACCAGTTCTGAAGGTCTAGCTATAGATTGGATTGGTCGAAATTTGTATTTGACAGACGACGGACATCAAACTATTAATGTTGTACGTCTGGATAATAAAACTATTCATTATACAGTAGTCACTAATGTCAGCCACCCAAAAGCCATAGTTGTAGATCCTAATACAGGGTGAGTAACAATATATTTATTATCTACAGTAATTACCATTGTAATTAAAACGGGTAGACAAATGGTCTAAATGTGTGCACATTAAATCATAACGTCTATCATTGACTGAAGAGTGTTAAGTAGATTTATAATATTCTTTATTCAATCATCAGTATCAACTTTAGTCCACCTTCATATCACCTTCACTCCTAAACACACACTGCTCATCATGCTTCACTCCTCACCTGACCTGTGTGTACACAGCACACACCTGGATTGACATGCACTCACTCTCACTGTTAGGGTGACCCATGCAACAATAATTTATCCGCTAAGAAATTCGGTCTTACCTGGAGAGTTGTTGACTGTCCAACGACGAATTTCTGAATGATGACGAAACAGCGCCGGGTCCACTGGGAGCACGTGCGAGTAATTCATCGCAGCAAATATCCACTATATATGGTCATGCACGTGGTATTGTCACAACATCAGATGGTATATAAACACAAGTTAAAATTTATTTCACCACGCTTTTGTCTTTCGAAATTATTTGATCGCAAACTACGTTCAAAATTCTAAAAATTATTGTCGTTTTTATTTTTCAATTCGCTATTTATCTACAGAGTGTTGTCATTTAGTTTCGGCGATTTCACATCTCCGTAGAACTTGTTTTAGTCGAGATAAGAAAAAAAGCCGTAGTTATCTTTTTATTTTTTAAAGGTTCCTAAAATCTTCGTGGAATTGCTAAAACGACTGGTGTCAAATTAGAAAATAAACAAATTGTTTCGTATCTTAAATTTGCTACCGGGAATTAATCGAAACGCACAATAGTCTCGGTTGACTATATTTACTGTTCGAGACTATTGGCTTTTAGGGTTAAAGGGAAATAAATCGTTTTAATTTATTTGGGAATTGACCGACGGACTTGTTTTAATTTGTCGTCAACCCATTCAATTAGCAAGCATGACGTCCAACGATGAATTACTATCCAGCATTGGTTTGGGCGATCACTATGATCTCAGTACAATAACTAAACTTCCCTTCGCAAGAATTACAAATAGGCTAGTACTAGGCATTATTAATAAATTTCCGACCAATACGGAGCACCGGTCTATAATTACTGCTTTACATGACGACTGCGTGACGTTTGATGACAAAGGTATTCAAAGTAGGCTGGTCAGACTGAAGACAAAGACTAGAAAGCTGGGTAAAAATAAAAATAATTCTAATAAAGCTTTAAAATTATATGACGATTATCTCGACAGTCCTTTTTTCCCCGGGTTAGTGGACAAGACACCATCGGCAGATACCAGCACGATACATTTAATAAATAGAGAGACACAGACATCTGTCGATGCTGCGACTTTGACCAAATTAAATAGGAAAAATAAGAATTTATTAAGAAGGGTCAATACGTATATAAAAAAAATTTTCCGTTTAAAAAATCGACTAAGGAAGACCTCAAAAGAATTGATTCGCGCGAAGGCTAATAATAATAAAGTTTTGGCAAATAAAAAAACTGGTTGTAAGTCCCAACCTCGTGGCGAAGAAGTAATTTTGTATGATGTCAAAAATCAAAGATACACTCCAGAATGCCATAATTTGGTCATGCAACTAAAAAACCTCAACGTTTCCGATAGAAACGTCAACGCGGTTATAACCGCATGTTTGGCTGTCGCGGGACTGAAATCTAATTATACCCCAAAAAGAACTACAGTTCAAAGAATATCATGTGCTATGAGCGCGTCTGTGTATCTTTAAAGCATGTTTCGGAAACCTTAAAGTCAGCAAAAAACACCACTTTATATACGGACGAAACTACAAAATTTGGCTCCAAATTCGGTACATATGCACCAACCGCTGACTCGACTCATACGCCAATTATTATTGGTCTTCGGAATATGGCTGATAAATCTGCGCAAACTACTCTTGCAACTTTAAATGAAATTTTGGCAGATCTTGATGATATAGCTGGGCCCATTAGTAAATCCGTAATTTTCGAAATTAGAAATACAATGTCAGACAGAGCCAGCACCGAAAAGCTTTTTAACAATTTATTTACACAGTACAGAGGCAATATTTGTTCTAAATTAGTAGAAAACTGATCAGATTCAGAGCGAAATATTCACCTAAATATAAATCATTTCTTTTGCGGTCTTCATCTATTAACTGGTTTGGCCGATAAAAGTGCGTCTGAATTGAAGAAATTTGAGGAAATGTGTTTTAAAACGTTTAAAACCGCTTCTTCATTTTTGCCAAACGAACCTGGGTGTGTTCGATTGGTTCGGACCATCTGTAAAGCCTTTACAAAGGGTGGGGACGAAAAGTCGGGTTGTTATTTGCCTTTTAAGTTGTATCTCAAGTCCCTTTAATATTATTTTCCACAATGCCGCAATTGTAAATTATATGGCCAAGCATATAACAAATTTTCTTGTTGATTTTGGAACAGAAAATAGATTGACCCAAAGCATATTTTTAGATATTAAAATTCCGTTATTTCATATTGAGTGCCAGGCTTTGGGCTTGATAGATAAATTAATTACAGCTCCACTGTGGTGCATACTAGAAAGCGGCATTAATGCAATTGACATGAAAACTATTTATCAGAAATTACATGATTTTTTGGAAAACCCGAATATTGAAAACTTTGTTGAAGGTAAATCACACCCATTTGAATCTCTAATCAAAATTGAAAATGATTCGGTCCTTGCTAACCTGACGAAATTTGATTCTGATTTATCTTTTAATTCAACCCTGATCCATATTTTGGAAGTCCTCTTTGCCGAGTTTAGAAAGTACATTGCAAATATTTTACTTGAGTATCGAGATGACTTTAATCCTTCGTGTTCGAGTTCTGCCATGCCTCACAACAAATTACCGGAAACCGTGTTCAGTCATCTCGATAGATTAATAAGGATCGCGCCCTCGTCTAATATTTTTGGCAACGAAGCGTCCATTTTATATAAAATGAATAAATCTGATGAATGGCTAAAAAATCTTTCACCTGATAAACGTAATTTGGTCTTAATGGATGCTCAAACGATAACTAAAAATCAACTTTCTAAATTTAGGCAAGGACGGGAAGAAATCGAAAAAAAAAAGCTAGCGGTTCTTTTGCCAAAAAAGAATGAATTAATACAAAAGGGGAAACGTGAGATTAGGAAAAAAGAGCGCCTAACAACAGAAATTATCGGGGTGGGTCTTTGGAAAAGTAAAGAGGGTATGGAAAATGGGCTTTTACAACTTACAGATGGGGAAATAAAAGAGGCACTGAAGGCACAGCTCCGGTTTCGTAGGTATGTTTTAAATCAGCAAGTTTCCAATAAGTCTATATTTTATTTTTCTGTCGCCGGTAAGGAACACTTGATTTCAGTTTTAAAAGGAAATTTACAAAAATTAATTGACCTGGCTGATCCTAACTAACCGGAAGAAACTTTCAATGCCCCTTTTTAGCGGTTATAAAAAAATACAATTTCTTCATTCTTCGTTTCTAAAACCATTTTATTTGTCAATCCAGACGTCCCAGCAGACCGACATTCCGACACTTCTCACAGTATTTTAACAATTCATTATTTAATAACTGTTTTCTTTAAACCAATCGGTTAATTTTCGGATAGCAATTTATTTTATAAAATACGCCTACAACTGTAGATCTGCTTTGATATCTTGCTTGAAAAGTTGCCTTTGAGATACTCTAAGTAAAACTTAACTTTTTATTTTGTCCCAAGGGGAACAATTTGGAATATATGTTTATTACAGATTAGTTCTAAATTACATATCTGTGTTTGGTAAATAATGACTATGTATTATTTATTATCAATCGATTTGTGAATTGTCGTAACAGATCGTGTTTTGTGGTAAGATTTGAGTTACGCTTTGTTTGATAAAGTGAGTACACCTGCGCTGATTACCTTAATTTTTAACCTATTTGTCTTTGGGAAAACCTGTATTTCTTTCGTATAATAGCTGACAAGATAATATTGACTGTTTTATAAAAAATATCTGCCAAGACAGATGTTATACTGTACATATAAATGTTTGTAAGAGTGTTGTAATAGACGACATACCGTTATGAAAGAAGATCTAACATACAGGCATGTTGATTTAGAGGGCGTTGGTCACGATGAGATGTGTTTTTATACGTCCACATTCATAATGTGAACGTATTATGCCGTCGCCCCTGTCTGTGTGTGTGTGTGTGTGTATGTATGTATGTGTGTGTGTGTGTGTGTGTGTGTGTGTGTGTGTGTGTGTGTGTGTCTGTGGTTCGCCTACAGGGCGCAATTCTTCATGGATTTTCTTCAAACTTGGTATACTTATTCCTTATACCCCAAGGAAGATCCCTATTGTTTTTGGTGCATGCCCGACCCCCCGGGGCAGAGCCACGCCCATTTCTAGTATTTGTTTGTTTGTCGTCTACAGGCCACATTTCTTAACTAATAATCTTGAAACTTTGCATACACATTCTTTGTACCCTAAGGAACATCCCTATCGTTTGGGGTGCATGCCCAACCCCCAGGGGCAGAGCCACGCCCATTTTCTTTTCGTGTGTCTTTGTGTCGCCTACAGGGCGCAATTCTTACTGGATTTTCTTCAAACTTGGTATACTTATTCCTTATACCCCAAGGAAGATCCCTATTGTTTTTGGTGCATGCCCGACCCCCAGGGGCAGAGCCACGCCCATTTCTAGTATTTGTTTGTTTGTCGTCTACAGGCCACATTTCTTAACTTATAATCTTGCATACACATTCTTTGTACCCTAAGGAACATCCCTATCGTTTGGGGTACATGCCCAACCCCCAGGGGCAGAGCCACGCCCATTTCCCATTTTCTTTTCGTGTGTCTTTGTGTCGCCTACAGGGCGCAATTCTTACTGGATTTTCTTCAAACTTGGTATACTTATTCCTTATACCCCAAGGAAGATCCCTATTGTTTTTGGTGCATGCCCGACCCCCAGGGGCAGAGCCACGCCCATTTCTAGTTTACAAATATGTTTAAAAATTTGCTCAATTTATCGAGGCTCAGAAGTTATTTAACAGAAATCATGTTTATTGTTATATTAAAAGAGTTCTACCATTTCTTTATAATCAGTTATATCAAATATGGTCGCTTGCATTCTTTCAGAAACACAATTATTGTCCCCGGCCTATCGAAGAAAGCAGGGGACTTTTAAAAGGGGTTCGTCCTTCTGTCTGTCTGTCTGTCCGTCTGTCTGTCGCACCTTTTGGGACACAATAACTCTCCTTCTAATTGAGCTAGAATGTTCAAACTTGGTGTGGGTATTTATTAAGTCAATACCTTGATGGAGTTCAAAGATGAACATTTTCTGCTTAGGGTAAGCAGAGATAAGCAATTTGATTGGTTGATGCTTTGGAACACGATAACATTAGTTCTAATTAAGTGAGAGTGATGAAATTTGGTGTATAGTTTTATTACATCAATACCTTGACTAAGTTTGATAATGAGCATTTTCTGCTCAGGGTAAGCGGAGCGATAAGCAATTTGATTGGTGGATACTGTGAAACACAATAACTCTCCTTCTAATTGAGGTAGAATGTTCAAACTTGTTGTAGGTGTTTATTAGGTGAATGCCTTGATGGAGTTCGATGATAAACATTGTCTGCTTATAATTATGGTAAGCAGAGATAAGCAATCTGATTGATGCTTTGGGGCACAATAACTTTGGTTTTATTTAAGTGAAAGTGATGAAACTTGGGATATGTATTCCTTATAACCTAAGGAAGACAACTGCATGTCCCAACCCCCAGGGACAGAGCCACGCCCAATTTTTGTGTTTATCGTTTACAGTCCGCAATTCTGAATGGATCAACTTGGCATATGTGATCCTTGTAACCTGAGGGCGTCAACTATTGATTTTGGTGAATGCCCCAACCTCCAGGGGCAGAGCCACGCCCAATTTTTTCCTTTAGCACCCAAAGGCCTCAATTCTGAATGGTAAACTTATTCCTTATACCCTAAGGACGGCAACTATTGATGTTGGTGCACAACCCCCTCCCCCACCCCCACTCCCTGCCCTTTCAGCGGTGCCACACCCACTTTTTGTTGATATTTTGTCTGTAAATGATATATACAGGTTGCAATTATTAATAGATTTGGATCCAATTCGGAATGATCCAGCATAGGGTTGTACCTATATATATTGGTCTATGTCCAACAACCAGGGGCAGAGCCACGCCCAATTTTTGTATTTTTTGTCTACAGGCTGGAATTCTTAATGGATCATCTTGGATCTTGGCATATTTATTCCTTATACTGTAAGGATAGCAACTATTTTTTTTGGTGCATGCCCCGACCCCCAGGGATGTGGTACCACACCCTCTTTTTTTGTTAGTTTTTATCGGTAAATACTCTATAGGTTGCAATTATTAACAGATTTTGTTCAAATTCAGCATATGAATCATTTCAATAACAGGATGGTACCTATTTACATTGTTCCAAATCCAAACCCCAGGGGCGGAGCCATGCCCAATTTTTGTATTTACCGTCTACAGGCTGCAATTCTGAATGGATCATCTTGGAACTTTGGATATTTATTCCTTATACCGTAACGACAGCAACTATTTATTTTGGTGCATGCTCCGATTCCCTGGGGCATTTTCACAGCCACTTTTTTGTTAATATTTTGTCTGTAAATTTGGCATAACAAACCCAACGCCTAGCCTTCTTTGCCTCTTGTCATATTACAGCCATTTCATATTTCATTCTCTTTATTTTAAAAAGTACCATATCAATCAAAGTAGGAATGTGGACGTATATTGAGGCATTAGCAATGCTCTTGTTGTTAATGTTATCGATCTCTTTCAGTCCCTATAAAGTTATAGGAAATACATATTAATATAATCAGCATATTTATACTTGTGTAAATGCTATCTTACAAGAAGGAACGTCCTCCCGAATTTGAATTTGTTCTTAATTATGTATCTTCTAGTTTGTATTCACTTATTCAAACCCAACTACAAAATGTCAATGTACATCTCAAATCTGTATATAACTTGATCAGCTATTGCATATTTTTTCATTTAGATTGATTAAAATAGTCTGTCATTATTTATTTAATACTCTAATTACTCCATGAAACTTTTCGTCAATATACATACTTTCCGAACATTATTTCTTAAATGGGACATCAAATATTAATTTACAAAGGCACATTCACATATAAATACCAATATAAATAGACCTATGTGTCTATGGGTATACAGAAAATATAAATAGATTGGTCTAATATATCTACAAAAACTTAAATAAATTTAAATTGGACTGCACACATCAAAATTAAGCACACAGGAATGGCCGATCCAAAACTGAGCTGCGTTGCGCATGCTCGGAAATCTTAAATTCAATCGAAGCATGGAGCCAATTTCATCAGATAGCAAATTCCGAATTAAACAAATAGTCCCGAATGGTAGTGATGGTTCATTCTTATCGGAAAATAAATCAATAATTTGAAATAACCAAGAGAACATAACTCCGTCAACATTGAAAACCCAAAACAAATATGTCCGCGGATGGTGCACAAAAGCAGTGTATTTTACAATGCAGTCGAATGGATATATCTTGTGAAATATAGCACGCAGGTACAGTTTCTTGGCAGTTTATAATAAAGGATTATCTAGGGTTGTTGTTTATATAAATATAGTGCCATGACTGTAAATAGTTTTCGAGATTTTTTTCAGCTCGGGTCACCCTATCACTGTACCTCACTCACACACCACTAGCAGACGACATAGTTAACAAGGAGGAGTGGTTTCGATACCCAGCATGTACGTGACAAGGAGATGGGTCATCTGTCCAGCCTTGTGGGTTTTTTCTGGGTCTTCTGGATTCCTCCTACTGCTAAAGACCCCTACGTGCATGCAATGTAATAAAATAAAATTGATCAATATGTTATTCCTAAATTGACTTAGTCAGTCTCTTGTTTGCTTTTATGTCAATTATATAAATACAGTTTTAACTGTTTTTACACATAATATTAAAAACCATAAACTTAACTCCATTTATTGTGACAAGGGCCTGACAAGGACAGCTGTCTAGTCGTTCGGATGGGACGAAAAACCGAGGTCCTGTGTACACATTGCCGTGCACGTAAAAGATCCCTTGGCAGTTGGAATTCGATATAAGAGTAGGCCGTAGCGCCGCTGCCCGGGCAAAATTTCCCTCATAGCACACCGTATGCCATATGCCCATCTTCATTAGCCCAGGTTAGGAGCAGAACAGTAGGATGTTAAACCCCATTTCATTTCATTTTCATTTGTGACTGAAACTGGTTCCCTGCCCCAGCCCATTACATTATAGCACCAGTGGTACGGTATAAGATCATTTAACCAAACTTAAATTATTTTTGAATAAGAATCAATGAAAAATTAATGAACACTCTTAGAAAGTTTTTAAATTTTCAAAATTTAATTCACATGAATGTATTAAAAAAAAAAAGATTGTGTGATAAACCAAATTAAAAATAGCTAAATGAAATATAAGAGGAGCATAGATAGAATCTTCGTTCTGCCTGTTAGAGTGACACATTTGATGTTAATTATTTTATGTATTCTTCAATCATTTAACACTGATGGGTGCAAATTTGTATTCTGCTAATCAGATTCATGTGTGCATTGCCTTGGAATTCTTAGTTTAGCTTTCATTCTTATTCCATTTTCGGCTCTTGTGACGATTCCTGCAAATTTTTTCACATCATGGTTTGGATCAAGTTCAAGGTGAAATCTGTTCAGTATTTTCACCAATAAAACTTTAATTTCATGCATGGCAAAATTCTGTCCGATACAGTTTCTTGGACCAGCTGAAAATGGTATATAAGCAAAAGGGTTTATTTTGTCAATGTTTTCTGGACTGAATCTCTCCGGACGAAATTCTAGAGAATCTTCCCAAATGCTTGGATTATGATGAAGTCCGTAAATCAAAATGGTGGTCATGGTGTCATTTGGAATAGTTTTGTCCAGAACCTTGCAATCCTGTTCTGTATGTCGTGTTATGAAGGAGATGATGCTGTGAAGATGAAGGGATTCTTTTATGCACATGGTGAGATAGGGTAGTTCATTGAGGTCGCTTGCCATAAGGTCATCTGTCATTCTTCCAGACAACAATTCATCTATTTCTATCTGGACCTGACTCTGTATTTTTGGATGCTGTGCTAAGGAAAAAATTGTCCAGGATAAAGCACTTGCAGTAGTATCATGTCCTTTAAACAAAAATGTGTCTACTTCAGCTCTGATTTCTTGGTCAGTTAACCCCAAACCATTCTCATCCATTGCCATTAACAAAATGTCTAGGAAATCAGTGTACCTCTTCCTTTGGGACTGAAGTTTTGGTACTTCTTTCTGAAGAACTTTGCGCCTCTTGGAGATAATTTCTTCAGCGACATTATGAACATAATCACAGTTTTTTTTTAAAATCTTTCCCCAACTTTGTCAGATTAAAGAGCCAATCAAACTGAAGCCAAGGCTTCAAAATCCTTAGAGTTATGGTTCTACTTAGTTCATGTACAGCTTGGACATATGGGTGACCAGTCCCAAGTTCCTGACAGTTTGTATCATAGGAGAAAGCACATTTTAGGATAACATCTAATGTAAACATCGTGATTACAGAAAACATTTCGAAGTTTTCATCCTTTGTCGCAATTTTTTTGATTTTTGAACAACAGATATCAGCTGCCGTATTTTTAATAATTAAGTAAGGTTTTAGAATTTCAAAATGAAATGCCGGGGTCAGTAGTCGGCGATTTCTAGCCCATTTTTCTCCGTTGCTGAGCAGAAGACCATCCCCTAACCAAGGTTTGAGCAAGTGGTAAAGCTTTCCTTTCGGCATGGATGATTTAAGAACTGGTTTCACGGTTTCTGGTGACGTAAGGCTTACATCTGCCAATAAAGGCCCAAACCAACTTAGACAAAAATCATTGTATCTTGCAGTCCTTTCACGGATCGTCTTCAAACAAGCATCATCTGGAGCAGGATAATAAAGCAAATGACCCCAAAACCAATGTGGTGGATCAGAAGGAAACTCTTGCAATATGGCTGACCTTGTACGGAATCTGTATATATAGGCAACTAATTTTAAAGAACAATAAATGCTTATAATGATAGTTCCAATTTCAAGAATCGTAGGGATGCTGAAGGCATCCATATTGCACAATTATCCCTAATATTATAGAATGACAGACTGTATAAAATGTCTTGTCTTCCTTTTTCAACAAAAACCTAGTTGACTCAGTTTTGTTTGGACTTTGTACATAATTATCATAGAGACTGTCAACATATGAGCTTGGAGAGATTACGCTATGTTATGATTACACAATAATATCAATTTGCAATGCAGGCTATGGTGTTATAATTGGCCCACCAGTCATCTTGACATATTTATTTAATGTACTTGTGGTGTCTCTTTATGGGTTTAAAATTCACTTAACAAAAATTAGAGAGAGAGAGAGAGAGAGAGAGAGAGAGAGATGGGGTTTAACGTCCACTCCACTCAACACAAACAAGGACACTTTGGGACTAACATCGAGAGAAATTGGGTTTAATGTCCACTCAACACAAACCAGGTCATTTTTGGACTATCATGTAGTAGCCTATATCTTTATTTAAATAATTCACTTGTCTGCAGAGGTCTGTACCAGTGAAAGGAAACTGGATTAAATTGACTCAGATACGCAGGAGCCACTACAAAACTATGATAATAAATTGTCTGAATCCATCACTTTGCCACCCCAGAACACACACAACCCCCTACGACTAACACCCCCCCCCTCCTCCACTGCCACCCCTGTAATTAGTACTTGCAATATGCAAGCGCTATCTCATATATCGTTTTGAATTCTATTAGTTAGTCTGTGGTAGAATTGGTAATGATGATGTCATTTCCTTTTTTCAGGCACATGTATTGGACAGATTGGGTGTTAAAACCGTCTGAAATCACATCAAAAATAGAGAAAGCTTGCATGGATGGAAGTAACAGAATGACACTAGTCTCGGATGAGATACAGTGGCCAAACAGTCTCACACTCGATTTCCTTACACAGACCATTTACTGGACAGACGCTTATTATGATAGAATAGAGAGTATATCAGTTAATGGAACAGATAGAAAGGTAGGTAACTCCCACGATTCACTGGATGATATTTCACACTGTTAAAGGTTCATTTTGTCAGTTAATTCTGTATAGTAGTCATATAAAATTATCATGTCATACAAAACCTACTTGTTAATTGCATTGATTGCAGATTTATATGATTAGCTTTTAAGATGTGTGTAACTCTCATTAGGATTGCTGTGGATATTAGTTTCAGAGAGTGATCTAAGCCATCTATTTGGGTGTTAGATAATTGCCTGGTCTAAAGTTGATATAGGCTTAAAGGCTTAATAATAATGCCAAGGTCAAAAACAAAAATGACTGTTGTGTGCCTGCACCGCAAATTGAGACAAATTTTTTAAACACTATTATCACCCCATGTGTAATTCCCCTTCTTTTTAAAGCCTTCATCTGGTATAAGAACACAAAATTAATTAAAATAGAATTTCAAGTGTTTCACATTATATTTCTAATTGTTTGTGTTTATTTCTCAGGTTATTGTTAAATTCGAAAAGTTGAATCATCCGTATGGTATAGCAGTCTTTAAGAATTTCATCTATTGGGCCGAATCGTTGTCTGGACAGATATTTTGTTATGATTCAGATAAAAATATAACCAGTATTATCAGGAATGATAGTAATCCACTATTTGATTTAAAACTTTATGATCCAAATATTCAGCAAATAGGTAAATATTTAAAACTCCTTTGTAATACAAAGACTACTCTGTTAAAAAAAAAAATAACAAATGTTTTAAGAGGGTTTTCAATAGACGGCTTGATCTTGCTTTAACTCCGTACATCTTATCAAGCACTTCACATAATACCCTGCATATTTTGTCACTAATTTCAGTTGGCTACTCAACCAGCTAGGGGCCTCTTATATTCCTTATAGGAAATATCATCGGGAATACCATGTCTCGCGCTTTTCAGGGCAAATGTCTACCTGAGATAATCGAGTTGCAAGGGCTCGTTCAATGTCATGGTTTCCATGGAGGTCGCCATGGTTGATTTGACTGTGTTTGTGTCATGACCTGTGATTGGATACTATTGTTCACGTATCTGCATTAAAGGGAGATAATGTAGCTATAAGTTCGAGAATTGCAGACCAGTCTTGCAACGTCTAGATGTTGTAAAACTCACGGTCATTGCTTCGGGAATATAGGGGTCCGGTGGCTCAGTGAAAAAGTCTCTGGCTCACTAACATGGATGTTCCAGATTTTATCGAGTTGTTTGCCAAGAAAGTTTCTCAGGATTTTCAGGCATGATTTCTATTTGTTAGTGATGCATTATGTAGGGCCTGACTAAGAACATCATCTAGTTCTGATGGTACGAAACCAGAACAGTTTTATACTGCTTCGGCTACTTGATTGTTACAATCACTGGCAGACAAGATAGCAAGGCCTTCTTATACTTAGGGAAGTGTTGTGCAAATTAATAGTCATCACTATAATATAGTTGTGCCAAAAGGTCAAATTGTATTACAATGCCATTGTGGTGGAGTTTTGAGTGTTTGTGCATCCAATGTGAACCAAGTTTGAGGGATGGTTGCAAGACCTCCAGGACATTGTTCATGATTTGCATTACATGTCAGTTTGGCTTCTGCATTATTCATATTCACATAATTAATATAACTAAATAGATTTAAATTGTATTGTCTAAGGTTCAGATTCTTCTCTTTACGTAGTTGTTAAATGGAATTTAACTTTATTTTATATTTCAGGTCTAACAACCCTGCCATGTGCGAAATATAATGGTGGCTGTGAAGAAATTTGTCTTTCTATACCAAATGGTCATGTCTGTCAATGTGGAAAAGGCAGGAAACTAACAGCAGATAAAATACATTGTGAAGGTAAGTTGTATAATTACAACATGGCAGGCATTTGGTACTTATCTCTATATTTAAAAATGGATGCCATCGTTAAAATTACATTCAGAAATTTTGTGTTACCAAAAATGGTCCACACAGTCTTTAATATGGAACTAAACACCATGCAATACAGCTTCCAACTGGATTTTTAAACACCCACATTGAAATGTGGTTGTATATTGTCGTCGCCATCCATCCATCTGTCTGTTCTAATGATTTTCAACGATTTCTGATAATTACTGCCAGAGTTATGGCCCTTGATCACTTTGAAAAATCTTGTAGACGCTCTAGAGGCTAAATCCGATTGACTCGAAATTTATACAGTGTTTAAGGTCATGATACGGAAGAAATCTATTGATTTTCATTGATTTCCGATAATTACTGCCAGAGTTATGGCCTTAATCACTTTGAAAAATCTTGTGGATGCTCTAGGGGCTAAAGTTAATATCTGCTTGACTTTAAATTTATACACAGTGTTTAATGTCATGAGACGAAGAATCCTATTGATTTACAGCGATTTCCGATAATTACTGTATTTCCTGGATTATGGCCCCTGATTGTATGAAAAAACACGTTTTTAGCTTGTGGTGCCTCTAGAGGTTACAGTTTTTATCGTTTTTAAAAAACCCGATTACACCATGGTGGCGGTTGAGTTTGAATTTCATGAAAATCAGACCAAAACTGCCAGACAAAATAGGTTGTGGACCCTGTAGAGAGGTGACAACTTTTATCCGATTTCAATGAAACTTAAAATATATGTTTATATACCAAAGATCAGGGTTTCTGTCGATACTTGCACGTATCAGATTGGAACTTCTGGATTATGGCCCTGATTTTACGTAAAATCGCTTCTTTTTTTTAGCTTGTTCTCTGTCCATGTCTTTTAAAATGTGGGCGTATCTTGTATAGCAACCTCTTGTTTTAATGGCCTTAGACCTAAACTGAACTTATTTGTGTTGCATTCACGTTAATCCCCATTTTTCCATTTCTTTCAGAAGTAATTCTAGACAATTAATCCAAATAATTCATTTTACCTTCTAGATAATCCAGACTATAATATGATAATAGTTCTAGATAATTGATGCTAAAATTCATTTTAACCTTCTAGATAATCCAGACTATAAAGCACCAGACGCATGTAATTCACTACGTCAGTTTTCATGTAAAGATGGAAGTTGTATCAACAAACAGTGGACGTGTGATGGAGATAGAGATTGTTTAGATGGCTCTGATGAAGATTATTCAGATACAGGATATTGTAGTAAGTTTTTACAAAATGCCTTTGGAGAGTTCTGAAACCTTGTTTCATATATAAATATCAAATAATTTATTTGATTTATGATTAGCCCCTCCTTCCATGCCAATCATATATTTCTGTCATCATTCCATTGTCTTTCTGTTGTCCATAATTTCTTGGGACAACTCAGGATAGAGACTACATTTATTTTTTGATTTTCATATAATTCATATACTTCATTAACACTAATGCAACAAAGAATCCAAATGTTAGCAATATTGGATGATTTTAATTTATTTTAAAGAGATGAGTGTGATCACTGAATTTCAATAAAAATTAAACTTTTCAAAAACCTTTTGTTTGTTTGAAATAGGGACATCATTATTCGCGGCATTATCTCTAGTTAACCTGGTAGCATAATCACAGACAAAAGCAAGCAAAGAATTTCATATTTTTGATATGATGGTCTATCTAATTTACCAGCTGTTCATTCAATGTTTAACTTCATGACATGAAGCCGTCTTCATTAGCCCAGTTGAGGAGCAAAACAGTAGGACGTTAAACCCCATTTCATGACACGAAGAAACCTATTAATTTTGAACGATTTCATATAACTATTACTGTAATAGTTACGACCCTTGATCGCTTTGATCAGGTTTGTGAAATACATGTCAAGAAGCGACTCCCAGGGCGGAATTAAAGAAGTTAAAATACAATACATTATTATTTTATTTTATTTTTTTCAGAAAGTAAAGCATGTGATGATCCGTCGATGCATAGGTGTTTAAATAGTTCTTGTATACATCAACATCTAGTCTGTGATGGTCATCTAGATTGTCCACATGGGGATGATGAGTCCAAATGTACCAGCAAAGGTACTGTATACTATCTTGTTGGGTTGGGTGGCCGATTGGGGGGGGGGGGGGTTAACGCATGTGTCTTTCAATAAAAAAAGGTTAGATGAAAATTGCAAGACATTATCTGTAGTTAAAGTATTAGGTGTAAAGAACCCTAGCATCCCTGTGCTAATCCAAATCTTAGCCTGCATTGGTGTTTAGAACTGTAAATTGTGTGACAATGAACATTGTCTTGTACACATGTCGGTGTGTATGTTAAAGTACTACATGTAAAAGTAGTTTGAATTCAAAGAAGCTTAGGCTAAAATGTTGCTGTCTAGGCAAAATTCTCCCCTTTACATTACACACATAACCACAGAAATAAAAATTACCATAATTACCATATGTTAGTCTCAAAATGTGTTGATGAGACACTAAACCCCATTCCTTTTCTTTCCATTTATGTTCAGAGTCCCATTGAGTGCATGGAGAAAACGCTTGTATCACAGTTGAAAACTAAAACAATTTGGTAAAATTAGAGAATCTCAAACTTTCAAGTCACAGTTATTTGTGTTTTGATTGACGAGAGAGTCCTAAAATGTATCGCTTTGAACACGCATATATAGATGGATTATTGAGCCCGCTATACATGATGATAATGATTTTATATTTACAGATGGTTCATGTGCTAAAAATCATACAAAATGTGGTGGTACAAGTGGTCGATGTATACCTTCAGCATGGATCTGTGATAATGAAATTGATTGTGCCGATGGTTCTGATGAAAAAGAACATTGTGGTAACATTTTACATTTATACTATTCAAAAAAAGTAGGGGATATTTGATTTTGGGGGCATAATACTAAAATATGCAAATGACTACGAAAAAAGTCACTATAGAACCTAACAGAAGAAACATTTCCAGTTACATGTGACGCCCAAACGCACCAATAGCTACAGCATGGAATGCAGGTGATGCTTGGGATCATCATGGGGGTCCAACCCAAGATTTGCACGACTCTGACTTTGAATGTTACAGTCATTGTGGCATTGAATTCCAGGGTGGAAACATCAGTTTAATTGTTTTAGTGACCAGAAAACAAATTTTGATATACGTCAGCTTACCCAAAATGAAAGGTTACGTGCCCTTGGCATGCTACAGATCGGCACAACACAGGCGGTTGTGGCGCGGACGATGAATGTTTCTCAGTCTGTCATAAGCAGGCTATGGTCCAGATACCGTGATACACAATCTGTACAGGACAGACCACGCTCAGGTCGACCAAGGGCGACAACTCAAGCCCAGGATCGATTTATCCGTACCTTGGCCTTGAGAAATCGTGTCATCACAGCAAATCAGATCAGCGCTCGTCTTCAAACAGACACTGGTGTGAGAGTGAGTGGCCAGACGATTCGGAATCGACTGCATAGGGGTCACCTTCGCGCCCGACGTCCTCGCGTGATCCCTTGTTTGAGAGATCATCACATTCAGGCAAGACGTCGTTGGTGTAGGGATCGTCAACACTGGGATAATCGACGCTTGGAGCAATGTGATGTTTTCAGATGAGTCAAGGTTCACTGTTGATTTTTTGGACAGACGTAGGAGGGTGTGGCGTCGTCGAAACGAGCGCTTCCAAGACGTTAACGTCATCAGACATGATCGATTTGGGGGGTGGTTCTGTTATGGTGTGGGGAGGCATCACTGTTGCTGGAAGAACGGCTTTACATATTGTTGCAGGGCGTGTTACAGGCCAGTACTACCGGGACAACATCTTGGCAGTCCATGTTGTGCCGTTCGCACGACGTCATGGCCGCCGTTTCATCTTCCAGGATGACAACGCAAGATGTCACAGGGCCAGGATCGTTACAGGTTACCTCCAGAACATCACCACATTACCTTGGCCAGCACTGAGTCCCGACCTCTCCCCCATCGAGCATGTCTGGGACATGCTTGGACAGAGGTTACGTCAACGTCAACAACGTCCTGCCAATGTCCAAGAACTTGCTGCTGCGTTGCAACAGGAATGGGACAATCTGGACCAAAATGACCTTAGACGTCTCATTATGAGTATGCCACGTCGGATCAATGCTTGTTTGGCAAACAGAGGAGGATTTACCCGTTACTGACTTGGTTGTGATGCTGTGGTAACTTTGCTGTTTGACCCCGGGTATCATTTTACCCTTATAATGGTCAGTCTGTGCCTTACTTAGTCTAACGATCATTTGGAATAAATCGATGAATGTGAACTTCATTTCATTTTGTCATTTGTTTCTTCGTCAGTTTCATTAGGTGACTTTAATAACACTTAAAAATCAAATATCCCCTACTTTTTTTTAATAGTATATATCCAATATGACCCTATGCAATTAGGAGTAATGTTTATGTAGTAGATCTAAAGTTATATATTTGTGTCCCCCTATTGTAGGGTGCCACACACACTCAAAATTTGCACTATTAAAACTTGAACTTACATCTGTTCAATCTCAAATGTTGATTTCTCAGGGGATTATTAGACAGAGATGCAGCACATTTACATTCAATCGCTTTTATTAACCTATTAATAGCCATCACACTTGACATTGTCCACATATCTATAAACTAATGATTTAGATTGTTAGTAATACAGCAGATTTAGAAAATTACATTAAGTTCTATGTTATTAACTATACCCGTTAGGAGCAGCATCTTTTGTTCAAGTACAATTCACATCTTCAAAGTTTGCAGGTTAGGTACAAACAGATTATTAGTAGTATTTTCTTTTTGCTTTCTCAAGGTTCCTAAAACAATTGTTTTTGCCTAACCACCAAGTTACTAATTAGATTTCTTGTTCTAGCTTTGTATCAAATGATTCGTATTAACCCTTTCAATGCTAGACGTAAATCCACTGCCTGAGGAAAAAAGGGATGCTGGAACTGAATGCCATGCAGTACTTATGGAAGCTTTTATGAAAAATCTTTTTGTCTGTTGGGATGGGCATGAGGTTGGGCTAAGAGGAAAAAATAGAATTTTGGAAATTTGCATAATAATGTAGTCACGTGACGTCATGGTGGCCATTTTGGATTTCTCATTTCTCACTAAAGCTAACACGAAATCGAAATACTTAAAAGATATTGTTTTTTTCACTGGATTTTGATAAAGATATATAAAATGAACAAAAATATCAATAGCAGCCATGAGCAATGCCGCCACGAACACTCGCATCACGTCTCCCGCTGCCATGACCACGTGCGGATTGCAATACCTTGTTTTTACTTTCACTTTCATCCCCAAGTCCCATATCATTATCAATATAGTCAGTCAATAGATCTACACATTCGGGACTCAGGAATTGCCTACGTCTTTTACGATCCACCAGGCCAGCATTATTATCAACATCAGAATTATTGTCAGAATCTACTGCAGACACAGGGATATCGTGTTCACATTGGGCTTGTTCATCATGCACGGGAGACATAGCTAGCCATGGGCGGAACGTCGCGCAACAAATCACACACTTCATAATACCGGTACCAATCACTGTCCTGACTACTATCATTATCAAGTAACTGGAAATCACCCGCCTCGAAATTGTCCACGTGTTGGTCAGCAAGACGTCATTCACGACTTCTTCGAGAGTGCATCGTCTACGTTATCACTATGCACTCCGCCATTTTACGGTTTGTCGCTTTGAAACACGTGGAAATATGTTCTAGTGTATAGAAAATACAAAAGATGGCCCTTGCAGTTACGGTACTAATTTTAGCGAGGGCTTTACTGAGTACACGGTAATACCGGGTACGCGCATTTTACCGACATTTTATAATACCCGGTACTACCGGGTATACGCAGTGAAAGGGTTAAATAGTTTTGATTAAAGTCAGTCTGCTAGAGGATACTGAGTAGACTGGTTTAGCATGACTATTGATGTACACTTTACTACCTATTCCACTTTCATATTATATAAATGACTTTATTATTATTATTATTAATATTATTATATGTAATTCAGGGCCATTTATGGTAATGTAAAATCTAGAATATTTTTTGTTAATTATTTTCAGACACAGCCAAATGTGTTGAAGATCAGTTCCAATGTGCATTCGGCCATTGTATACCATACTCTTATAGATGTGATAACGAATATGATTGTCCTGATAATTCAGATGAGGTATGTAACACATCTTAATGTTATCGACATTATGGGTGCCGCAGTGGGTCAGTGAGTAGTTGTCCTGATAATCCAAAAACTGAGCTCCTGGATATAGGCTATGTTGACATGCACATAGAAGAACCCTTGGTGATTGAAATTCCATTGCTGTCCGAGTAAAATTTTCCTCTTGGCACACTGAATGGTGTATGCCCCTCCTCATTAGCCCAGTTGGTGCCGAAAAATAGGAAATTGAACCCCTTTTCATTCATTCATTATCTTTCTAAATACTGAATAGAATTGACCCATTTTTTGACTGATTCTATAAAGAGGTTCAACTTTCACAATATTTTAATTTTGAAAGTATTCAGAACCCCTGAAATGACAATCACCATCTTTAAACGTGATGTATATTTCAGATGGATTGTAAATCTTGGTGTCATCCCCAACAAGAGTTTGCTTGTAAAGATTCATCAATATGTGTATTAAAGAAATATTTATGTGATGGTGAAGCCAACTGTCCTGATGCTTCTGATGAAGAGAATTGCAGTAAGTAATGAATGTCTGTAGGCCAACTTAGAAAGCTGTCACTTGCTGTACTGTTATAAACTGTTATTCCTAGATTCAATATTAACCACAAGACTATATATCTTTAATTTTGACAAATAATAATAATACATTATTAACCCTTTTGCTCTTGCACTTGTACTCCTTAGACCGCCTCAAACTGCCAGAATCACAAATATGGCACAAGTGTTCTAATCCATTCAATACCATGGAAATCCAATGGTCTAGAGATTTCATTATGTTATTGGTATGTGAATAAATGCCTAATTGATAATCAATATAACATTTTAAGCCATAAAAAATACCTGCACTAGTCAGATTTAAGTCTTGACATACTGAATCTTTAACATGACAGAAGAAAATTTACATTCTTGCAATTAACTGTGTATTAACAATTGAAGTAGACAGAATATCCTGTTAACTCTTGGTCTCATAATTGTTAAGTCCACTGTTTATATTTCATTAACTGTGTATTAACAGTCATAAGAGAAGGTATTATCTTGTTAAATCTTGGTCTCATATTAAGACAATTGTTTATATTTCAGATATAACAACAAACTCACATTGTAATGAACATCAGTTTCTATGTGATGGTGGTATTTGTATTTCGAGTATCTGGAGATGTGATGGTGATAAAGACTGTACAGATGGAACAGATGAAAGTTCTTGTTGTAAGTTCTGTCATTTAAACTGTATTTAAAGTGGACAAGATGTCTAGAATGCAAAAACTCTTACCTTACTCTTTGGATCGTCAGGGTTTTTTTTTGTTGCCTGACATGCCTAAAACCATGCTTTTTTAATGTTGTTGAACTCCTTTTTTTGCAAGGGAATGCCTGCCTTTAATATCAATTGTAAAGGCACATATATGTCAAAACCTTAACATATATTTTAAATATAAAAATGTAAAAGAAACCTTCATGAAGATTGCTCTTGGTAGTACAAATAAGATAGCACAATTATTATGTTTGTCTAATAAGAAAGATAAAGATATCAGTGTGAAATCCATAGAAACTAACGTAAACTTAAATGGCCATAATTGAGGCTTTATATAATAGAGAGAGAGAGAAATGGGGTTTAACGTCCACTCGACACAAACTAGGTCATTTCGGGACTAACATGGTTTATTTTTATTTACATAATTCGCTTGCGCGTAGGGGTCTTTTGCAGTGGGAGGAAACCGGAGGCCCCGGAGAAAACCCACGAGGTTGGACAGGCGACCCTACTCCTTGCCACGTACAACCAGGGCTTTATATAATAACCTTAGTTATTTGTTTGTTATAGCACCAGATGCGATGAAGACCTGTCATCCAATGGAGTTCCAATGTACAGATAAATCTAGATGTGTACCTAAATCATGGAAATGTGATGGGGAGGCTGATTGTGCTGATAAATCAGATGAAGAACACTGTTGTAAGTTAGGTTTTCATTCCCTGTGCACATATTGTCCTCCCTTAGCTGTCCTGGTAAGAGAAAAAAGACAAGCAAAGAAATTCAACAACACATTATATTACTATAATACAGTATTTTAGAAATTGATCTGGGAACTATTTTGCTGAACCTTATGCGATTTTAACAATACACATGGCTAAATTTTGGAATGATAGCATGGATGAAAACAACACGATGAAGAAATTAATAGGTTTAATTTTAATGCGAATGATATTTTATGTGTGTTTTTAAAACTTTACAGCAAAAGATTGTCAATACCCCAATTTCTGTTGTAATGCTCAACAGAATGATATTTTATATGTATTATTTTAAAACTTTACAGCAAAAGATTGTCAGTACCCCAACTTCCGTTGCAATGCTCAAGAAAATGTTTGTCTTCCTCCACATAAAGTATGTGATGATGTAGAGGATTGTGTTAATGGTACAGATGAGCACAGAGGTTGTCATAGAAGTAAGTAAATCATCACTCATCAAATAAAATAATTTATGAATCAAAAACTAGTGTTCCATAGACGTAGTAATCTTGTTGGGGCAACATTCATTTTAAAAAGCCAAAGGCTCCGTCAATTTGAATATAATTGATAAGAAACTTGGCATGCTTTTTCTTTGGACTTGCTATTACGAAAGGCCTACATTTCCAAGATGGCCACTATTATTACATGATGCTCGGTTCCTGATCTAAATAATTGTTACTATGGCCTATATTAACAACTCACTGTAGTGTTGTTTGCTATTGGGTGATTTTCAGTTTAGATCTATGGTGGATGTCAGCCTGGCAGAAAACAGCAATATTACGAATACATTTATTGTAACACTAAGTTATCTTGAAGATTTCATCAATGCTTTTGACATAACAATTCTTGTTCATCCAGTGTCATTGAGTTTACAACAGATGAGTTGTATTGGAAATATTAGAAAGAACTCACAGCCTCATATGTACAACTAGGTAGAAAGAACTCCCAGCCTCACCATAATAAAGCATCCTATATTTATTTGTATTATTAGAATTAATTGTATGATATTTTGTGTGTATTTTTAGTGATGGATCCATGTTTACCAGGAAACAATGACTGTAGTAATATCTGTCATCGTACACCAACTGGATATGTCTGCTCATGTCCAGAAAAAAAGAAAATTTCAAATGACAATGTGACATGTGAAGGTATGAAATAAAACTAAGAACATTAATTACTTGTTGATGAATGATAACCAGTATTCATTTGTTTTATCTTTCTTTAACATTCATTTTAACTTTACATATACTTTATGATATGGTAAAAAAACAAAACGAATTCTCTTTATTTACTATTCTATTTAGATATATATTACTTATATTAGGCTTTCTTTTGAAGAATTTTTTGACCATTATGGCTTGGGTTAGGGTGAAATGGGGTTGTTTTTTTGGTTTTTTTTAGAGGAGTACTTTTTATTGTGTACCGGTAGTAACTTAAAGTAGCTAAGTCTCTAACTCAATATCATCCAAAATCTTCGACATTGAAAACACGATTTATTTGTCGGTTTAAATCAACATTGATGTTGTGATCTTAACGGGAAAAGATGGCCTTCTGATATCCAATATTTAAGACAAAATAAACATTTTACAATTGGTACACGAATCGTGTACCATAATACGTTTCAGCGCTATTTGTAATAAGGGTCTCGAAAAACGAGGCTAGGCATATTCCACAAGTCATGTCAAACGGTGATGCTCTATTCTTATCTTGAGAGCATGCCAAATAAATACTATCGGCGTAGACTGGAATAACCAGACGCTAGAGATTGAAATTCGATTGAGAATACTGGCGTATTTCGCCGAACCTAACGATTAGAAATTACAGTAAAACCAGAAACGATTGAATGTAAATCAATTTATATACATTCATATTACATTATTGTATGCGTTGCGACCCATTTGTGTCAATTTCTATGTCCCAAATATTAGCGATTTACCTCCTTTAAACTCTGCTTTAGGCTATTTGTCTATTTAAGTATATATTTATGATTGTTTTATAACAGATATAGATGTTTGTTCTACATGGGGTATTTGTAGTCAGAAATGTGAAAGTACGCCTGTTGGTCATCGATGTTTTTGTAATGATGGGTATATACTACAGAATGATGGCTACAGTTGTAAAGCAGATGGTATGGAATTTATTTTTTATTTTACACTGTGTCTTTATGACAGTATACTTAGTTCTGAATGTCAAAAGTGAAACACATTTACGCATGTTCTTTAGATCATAGGGTCTGTCATAAAGTCAAGTGGTGTGGTTTCAATTTCCCGCATGTATGTGACACGAAGTACAGTCAACTGTCCAACCGCCTGGGTTTTCTCTGTGTCAACCAGTTTCCTCTCACTACTAAAGACCCCTATGCGCAAGCAAATTATTGAAATAAAATGACCTAGTTTGTGTCAAGTGGATGATAAACCCTATTTTTTTCTCCCTCTCCCTAAACACATGACAACCATGGCTATAATGGAATAAAGCTGCTAGATAAACAGGGAACTGAAATTGACCTCTAGCATATATCAAATGACCCCTAACCTATATCAAAATATTCTCAATTATTGGATTACAAAATTATATTTTTTTTGTATTCTTTGTAGATGATGTTGCAGTTTATATTATTTATTCTAATCGTCATGAGATGAGACGAGTTGACCTTGGCAAAATGACCTTTGTGTCGCTAGTAGCAGGATTGCGTAACACTATCGCAATTGACTATCATTATGAGAAGCAGTTAATATTCTGGACGGATGTTATAGATGATAAAATTTATCGAGGAAAAATGATCCTGAACAGTAAGTAGATATTTATTAGGTAATATTGGGGGGTTAAGGGGGTGGGGGGGTCTATACTATATAAAACTTTAGTTTGGACCATAGTCAGCAAAGAGGTTTGCACAAAACATGCGCTACACATTCCAAGTAACATTTGGAATTGAATTTGGGTCATTCTGGTACTTGACCCAATTGTTGAATAGAATAAAAGCAATGATTGCCGCAAGGGCAATGATAATATGCCCTTTTTCATCATTAGCTGATATAAACCTCTTATTTGTTGACTCATAAAATATGTTTGAGTTATTTTGTGTTCAAGAAAAATCATGAGCATCGGAGCTGTTACATAATCAATAAAAAATAGCTGTATGGCAACCCTACCTTCAGGAAAGGAGTTGAGTAATCAACATCTTGTCAACGATCAGTCCACAGTCATTTATTTTAGTTCTAGTTTTGATATCATTGTTGTGATTTATTAGACACTGATTCAGTTTGTAGATTTATGAACAAAAATTTTTAGTTTTGCATTATCCATAATTCATCGCTTTAAAATTGATGTTATTTTTTTTTTTTTTTTGCTGTCATTAACTAAATATCATCCACAGTCTTTGACATTGCAAACACGACTTATTGGTCAAGTTAAATCAATATTGATGTTGTTATCTTACCGTGAAAAGTTGGGCTTCTGATATCCAATATTTAACACCCATTCAATTTGGACGCTTCATATATTTCAATGAACAAAACTCATTAGAAATTACAGTAAAAAAAGAAACAATTGAATGTAAATCAGTTTATATACATTCATGTTACATTATTATATGTGTTTCGACCCATTTGTGTCCATTTCTAGGACACCAAACAATAGCGATTTAGCTCCTTTAAGCTCAGTGATACAACACAGCCATATTCTACAAATCTCTTGTTGTTGACCAATTGCTCTAAGGAATACTGACAAAGGATTGGATCAAAAGAAAGGTTTCTACATATAATGGATGCTGCTACGCATTTCAATCAATGTTGCTATGTGTTTATTTAAGAAATTATGTCTAGTTTGCTTATATAATTCTCACCAGAAGCTAGTCAGATCCATTGCCCTCATTTACTAGTAATTGTTCATCAGCAAATGATCCAACTGAACAACTGAAAATCATATTGGTGTGGCCTTATCTTTCAAATTACGTCTAATCCTTTGTCAACGTCCAGTCGATCGTTGTCCGATGTTTCGCAGAGGATTGACCAATCATTCGCAGATCATGGGACATGTATACTATGGTTGTACTGTATTTTCACTTATCATTAGTCGTAGATCTAAGATTCAAAGACAAAATGTTGCGAACTTGCATGCAGTGGAAATAGAATCAGAATGCAGTGTCTGAATATATTGGTATTATTATGTTTTGTTTTTCCAGCAAGTGAGACGGTACCACCAGAAGGTACAAGTACCTGAGCAAAACAGGACTTCATATTATTTATGTTATTGAATTTTAAAACAAAACTAATTTTTAACGTCTGTCTCTTCCCATTTTTACAGCTTTTCAATTTTTTCTCTGATAAATGCATGGGTTCATTAGAATTTTTGACATACGGGTAATGACACAATCATTCATTCCCAGGCATTTTCACTCATTATTTTCATGTTTATTTTTGTTTTATGTTTAATTAAGAGAATGTCAGCATGAGCTTGTGAAGGAATGATGTATGATGTTAATGTAATTGTTTGTGTTTTTCGTTTTAATGTAATCTGATTGAACTATTAATGATATTAATTTTTTTTCTCAGGCAGTTCATTAGAAATTGCCTAACAAGCCCACCAGTTCATTTTTAGCATGCTTCAACCACTGAGTCTGCTATTGATATCTTTACATGTGTGCACTACTGACATTGTCTAGTACCAGTGGTGTTATTTGTCTAAAACTTATCAGTGAGTAAATAATGGCCAACTATCTAGCAGGTCTCGGTGGGTTTGGAATGGCCCACTAGCCAGTAGGTCTCATTGAGTAAAGCAATGGCCCACAACCAAGAGGTCTTGTTTTCCTCATAACACACTGCATGGCGTATGCTCATCTTATTAGCCTGGTCGGCACAGAAAAGTTACACATTTTATTTTTAAAAGTATCTCAAAGTAATGTTTAGTATTTTTTCCAATCAATAGTTATATTTAGGATCACAGCTATCAAGGAAATATAAAATGATACATATTTTCTTACATGAATTTTAAGACACTGTGGAAAATTTGAATGAAAATTAATATCAAAATATTTCAGTCAGATAATTATTTAAGTGTAGTTATGTGTATTTGGAAAACTTTTTTTCTTGCTTTTAGTTGTTTGTTTCAGAGATTCGTTCATTCGTCTTCATACTTTTTCATTTATTTTAACGGTGTGAATGAGGAGTGCAAAAGTTTAATTCAAGATTTGTATGGAGGATAAAATAAAAAACCCACACTGGATTAACAGAATGTAATTTCTTGTCTATATAACAGTAACATTCTTTAATGTAGACTGAGACTTTTACCTGAAGTGACATTTATATGAGTCTTGTTGCTAAGGAAGTTTTTTGAAAAGTCTTCAGTAAATATTTCAGTTCTTGCTTGATATGGTAATGCATGTTTAACATTACAAGAAAGCACTGGAACTCTCACTAAATCATGAAGATTAGAACTTACACATTGCTCTAGTATTAATAAAATACATTGAAACTTCAGTTCAATGTAGTCAAGCGATGACCCCGAAAACAATTAAATAGAAGAAAACTTAGAGCTTTTTAAATCCCTGAATGATGTTCACCTGGAAGGAGCCAACTTAGTCACATAGGAGTTCAATAGAATAGAATATGATGGAAATTGGAATGATTGGGTGGTCTAATTTTTTAATGTGTGTGCGATAGATCGTAAGGTCTGTCATTGAGTCAAGTGCATGGTTTCGATTCCTCGTGATAAGGAGTAGGGTCATCTGTCCAACCTCATGGGTTTTCGCTGGGTCCTCTGGTTTTATCCCACAGCTAAAGATCTCTATGTGCAAGCGAATTAATGAAATGAAATTAAACCATATGTTAGTCCCATAATGACCTGGTTTGTGTCAAATGGACATTGAACTCCATTTCCCTCCCTCCATCGGAAATTTCCATAATGAAAGTTTGTAACCAGTATATGGTCAATATCTTTTGAGACAGCCTAAGGTTTTATTCTTTGCATTTCAAGCATCTTTGCATTTAATACAGTTTCTTGACTTCTAATAATTATGTATCGGTTATAAGATTTCGGAACATATCACTATCATATCATATCTTGTCACTTGTTTTATGTAAAATTAGAGTTATGTAAGGAAAAATTAGTGCTTTTTATCCCAGCAGAGAGACAAATGCTTTAATAATACCTGGACATGACAATAGTCTAAAGTAGGAGCTTATTTGGATTTGAAGAAGTGGGCTTGGTTTGTCCCAAGGCAGAAAAACAAGACATTTAGATGTAGTGATTTCCTTTTATTTTGGTGATAAGGAGCAAATGTTTTTAAAGATAGCTATTGCTTAATTTTTGTAAGATAGCACTTGGTGGCAGAAAATTTTATAGGTTATTTAAAGAACAAGTAACTATTTTCAATTCATCTTTTCAAATGTTATAGATATTTTAAGTTAATTTACTTTTCCATCATTCTTGCCATTCTAAAATCATTATTTTAAACACCTGCCTAGCAGAAAACAAGAATGAATCTTCAACATATATATGTAGGCTTTTTTCTGTCAATCTGTTTTCAGCTTTTATCAGGTGCCATATTGACTTCTGTCTTGGCAGATAAACATTGTTCTAGCCTCGCGCTCTATTGGCGATAAATGTCTTACTGCAGAAAACTATCACAGTCATTCAGTTAGAAACTTCTATAGAAGATTTTCCATTCAACATTTACTGTTGAAATAAAAAAAAAATAATGGAATGAGGAATGACAGAAAGGCTTTTTCTTGTTTTCTTTTCTTATTACATGTATATAGGCCTTTAACGTCACCAGTACCATCCATTTTATTCTGAAAGAACTATTTTTTAATGGATAATTTGATATTTTTCAGCTCTTACGAACATTGTACCGATCATAAACGTCGGGCTCGCAACAACTGAAGGTTTAGCTGTTGATTGGATAGGAGATAAATTATATTGGGTGGAGAGTAATTTAGATCAAATTGAGGTTGCTGACTTAGATGGCAAATCAAGACGAACTTTGGTCGCTGGAGCTATGACAAGTCCACGAGCCATTGTCGTTGATCCTAGATATGGGTATGTACAGTATTTGGAAATAAAATGACATCTTTAAAGCTCCAATGTGCCAAAAGATTAATTGTCACAATGTTTCTGTTCATTTAAAAAAAAGCCATCTGAATTCGATCATGATTATGTAGAAATAAAAGCCTATCGAATTTTAATTATTTCTGATAATTACCACACCGGTTGACGTCCTTGATCAGTTTTGATTGTCTTGTAAATGTTCCCATTAACTACAAAAGAATATAAACGTGTTAACTGTTATGGACTCTTCAAACAACTTAGCTGCTGTAAATGTATGTTTTGTTACCTATCTTTTTTTTTTTCTTTTTTAAACAGTGCCTTATTTTGGACTGACTGGGATGGAGCAAATCCTAGAATTGAAACCTGTTCAATGAGTGGCTCAAATAGAACAATCTTATTTGGTATAAGACCAAATTATGCTCAAGGTGGTTGGCCAAATGGTCTAACATTGGATTACGATGCTGAACGATTATACTGGATAGATGCAAGGTAAGATATGTTATTTAAAAGAACACAATACACTTTGACTTCGTGTTTAAATCTGTCAACACTGAAAAGTCAAGGAATATATATACTTGACTTGATTGCCGTTCCCACTTGGATACGGAAGTGCTCTTATTTTTACTCCACCTATCTGAGAAAGCAGATGACTGTTAAAATGAATTTGTCCATCTTTCTGTATATCCATCCATTCCACTTTTTAGGACACAATAAGCCTGTGAAAACTTGCTGTAGATGTTCATTGGGTGAATGTCTTATCCAATTTTCCATGATGATAAGCATTTTCTGTTTAGGCTAAGCACCTTGGTTAGTTGATGCTTTGGAACATGATAAACTCTAGTTCTATTCTAATTGATTAGTCTTGGACTCTATATTTATTCTCTTTGTTTTAACATTAGATGTTCGTGTATACTTATATTTCAGGTCAGATTCTATACATTCTATTACATACAAGGGAGAAGATCATCATTTAATCCTACAGAGTCACGAGTCATTAGCTCAGCCATTTGCCATAACATTATTTGAACATTATGTATATTGGACTGATTGGAAAACAAACTCATTATCTAAGGTAAGAATTTACTTCATCTGTTTACTCATATGAATCTGATAAAGGTCATTTTGAGAGTAGCATATGCTAAAAAGAATTCTATAGTCATTTGATCAATGGTAGAGGAGATTTGTGCTTGGACAGATAATTTTAATATTATTTACAAAGACACAGCCATTAACAGAATATAACATTAGAAGTTCTATTACAATTACCATGTATTTTCTGTATATTTCACTCACAAGTAATATCATTCCACAGCCGCTTCCCAATGACACCATGACATGACAATACAATTGGAATAATTGGATCTTGTTATCACAGCGCAGACGACTTCATGATATTTTGGATTTATAAAATGTTTTCTGTTTGTTATTCACAAACGCCAGTTCATGTAGGGAATATAGCCAAATGAAATATTTTGGAGCTTTACTTTTATGTTATTTTCTCAGAAATTGATTGATCAATTACATTTGGTTATTTTCCAGGCTAATAAATATAATGGATCAGGTATTCAACAAGTACAGAAAACATTTACACAACCTTTTGATCTTCATGTTTATCATCCTAAACGACAACCTAAAGGTAAGAATCTATCACAGAAAGTATCTAGCTCTTTAATCAGGACAATATTATTAAAGATTGATCTTGTTGTGAAAGGGTAAGGAAAGTTTCAAATGAATTTAAAAATGAAGCAACTTTTGTTTATATCAGTGTTGTTGAACAAGTGTTATCACTCTCAATAAGAAAATAAATACAACTGCTTAAGAATATCAAGTTCAAATAATGCTAGACCTACCTAATTATGGAAAATCCCACTGTCTGATATGCTTTATAGATACTGTACACAGCTCTATAAATACTGCATACAGCTCTAGAGATAGTGTACACCATATGATACTCTAGAAATACTACACACAACTCTACAAATACTGTACACCATATAATGCTCTAAAAAATACTGTACACAGCTCTAGAAACACTTTACACCATATGATACACTACAAATACTGCACTCAGCTCTATAGATACTGCACACCAGGGGAGGGTGGATGGCCGAATGGTTAGCACATGCACGCTGTATCATAAGGTCTGTCATTGAGTCAACTGGCATGGTTTCTATTCCCCGGTTGTATGTGACAAGGAGTAGGGTCGCCTGTCCAACCTCATGGGTTTTCTCTGGGTCCTCCGATTTCCTCCCACTGCTAAAGACCCCTACGCACATGTGTTAGTCCCGAAATGACCTAGTTTGTGTCGAGTGGATGTTAAATCCCATTTCTCTCTCTATTTCTCTCACTGCACACCAGGTGATCCATTACTGTACACAGCTCTATAGATACTGTACACCAGGTGATCCTCTCGAAATACTGTACACAGCTCTATAGATACTGTACACCAGGTGATCCTCTAGAAATACTTTACACCATAATACAATACTGTACTCAATAAATACATAGCTCATTCAACTAAATTTGATTTTTAGCTTTTAATCCCTGTGCCATCAACAATGGAGGCTGTTCACATCTGTGCTTGATTGGTATCCCTTCCAAAGATGGTGGCAATACAACAGCTAATTGTAGATGTCCTCATAGAATGAAGATACATAAAGATGGTAAAACTTGTGGAGGTAAGATTTTTATCATGGACAAGCAAATCATACAGAAATTATGGTTTTAATTTTAATTTGAAGTTAGACATATTTGCAGCTAAAGTATAGCATGTTTTATTATATCCACTCTCTAAGATAATGTTAACAATATATTTTGAACAATTGAAAGATGTGGGACTATTTAATCAGAGGGTTTTCTGTCCTTCCACAAGACTCTTTGGAAAACAATAAATTTAATCCTGCAATGGATTTTGATAAAACTTTGAATATTTATACTATTGTAATGTATGGGTTGTTTTGTTTTTATGTTATTATGCAGTACTGCTGTATTTTCTCTATTAAAGTTTGGGGAAAAACTTTTCTCAATCAACAATTAAGAATAATGCTGCAATACAAAATTTAAGTCAAATTTCAAGTCAGATCCAAAGTTGTTAATTTTCATCTTTTATTTCAGATGATAATACCTTCCTGATATTTGTCAAGAAGAACGAGATACGAGGCGTAGATTTAGATAACGCCAACTATAACGTGATACCATCCATTACTGTCCGATTGGTCGATAACAATACCTCCACAACGGCTATCGATTATGACATACAAGAAGAACGTCTGTATTGGACAGATTTAAAGAGGAATGTCATTAACAGTGCTTACTTGAATGGATCTGGTGTGGAGACAATCATAGATTCAGGAATATCCCATCCTGAAGGTTTTGCCATCGACTATCTGTCAAGGAATATGTATTTTTCTTCATACAACAAGAAATTAGATTTTTCAACAATATCCGTTTCTAAATTAAATGGTGCCTATAGAACAGAAATTATATCAAGAGTAGGACAAATGAAACAAGTTAACTCATTGGCCATTAATCCTAAAATTGGGTAAGCATCTTGAATATCTGTCTGTGAACAGTTTCGACCTACATTAATTTTTTGAATCGGGGCATTGTAACAAGAAATGGCAAAGGTTTGAACAATGTGGGAATTTTTGCAAAAATGTCTACCTGTACTTGTAAACTCTTGGAGTTTATGTGGCCATGTGGTCTGTCATCTATACAAGTAGTATGGATTTGGTCCCACATGACACTGGTTGGTGACTTATTCCTTACTCTTTGCTCTCTGCCCACTGCTAAAGACCTCTGTTGGCTATTATTGAAATAAAGATTAGAATTGCTTGATTTGAATAAAATTTGAACTAATGTGTTTATTTTAGGAAGACTAAATGTGATATCTGTGTATGAAAAGATGCAATCTGAATTACTAAAAACTAATGTAAACTTCAAATGATCATAGCTTACAATAGCATCGTTCAATATGAATAACTTTGGACTGTTATGGTTTGATATGATCCAGGCTCTTTTTTGACTTTTAATCTGGCATATTTCAGCTTATTGTCTATATAATTTATATTTATTATTTTTGATGATTGTTTATTTCAGTGTAATGTTCTGGTCAGATATTGGAGGAGCTAAACACACCATTATTAAAGCTAATATGGATGGTAGTGATCCAACAGTCTTAGTTAGTGATGCTTCAAAACCAGCAAGTAGGTTCTATTCTTCATTTTAACTGATATAATTAGTATTGTATCCAATATACAAAATCTTTAAACACCCACAACCTTATGTATTATATACTATACATGTACGTGACAAGGAGTAGGGTCTGCTGCCAAACCTCGTGGGTTTTCTGGTACTGCTAAAGACAACTGCACGCAAGTGAATTATTGAAATGAAGTTGTACCTTATGTTAGTCCCCAAATGACCTAGTTTGTGTTGAGTCAATGTTACACCCCATTTCTCTATCTCTGTGTCTGTTTAATAATTGTACTTGTGTGTTAATTCATTTTCTTTAATTCTACATTTCAGGTTTAACTGTGGATACCTTTTCAAATTCTTTATATTATATTAGTCGTGGACGTCACACTATCAACAGATGCTTTTTCAACGGCACGTGCAATCAAGTTGATGTCAGATTTAATGACACGTCCCTGGTGTCAATGACTATATTTAAAGAAAATATTTACGTGTCCAACACCAATCATATTATTAGAATTAATCCCAGTAGGCCTCATGAGAAATTTATAATGAGAGACAATACACCATATATATCAGCTATGCAGGTCTATAACAAAGAGAGAGGAAAAGGAGGTAGGTGTATTTGTTTCTATATAAGATATTTAACCCTTTATCATTTAGACAGGGGGGGTTGGATGGCTGAATGATTAGCATGTGCGCGCTGTATCATAAAGTCTGTCATTGAGTCAGCTGGTGTGGTTTCGATTCCTCGGTTGTACATGAAAAGGAGTAGGGTTCCTCCCACTGCTAAAGACCCCTATGCGCAAGCGAATTAATGAAATAAAATTGAACCATATGCTAGTCCCGAAATGAGTTAGTTTGTGACGTGGACGTTAAACCCCATTTCTCTCTCTCTCTTATCATTTAGACAGCATCATACTGCCCAAACTAGGGCTCCAATCAAGTGCACAGCTGTTGCATCTGCACATACTAGTAAATGGTCCTATAATACGGAAAGATATTTACACATCTCAGGTGGTTTGAGGCGGTGTAAGTAACAGCTGTTTTGGACTGTTTAAATCTGTACCAGTATTAATTTGTTATGTGTCAAAGGATTATAAGTAGTGATAGGATATTTGAATATAACACTATTCGAATATTTGACGGGCTTGAAATTTTTATTCGAATAGGTATATATGAGAGAATTCTACAGATTCTTTGCCAAAAAATGTAGCTAGTTTACCAGTTCTGAATGTTTCTTCTTGCATTCTTTCCACCACTTGAGTAGATCATCAGCTAGGTATGGTGTAAATGTTTCTCATTGTTTTCAGGTGTCAATGTATGTTCCGTGAATAATGCTGGCTGTTCCCAGTTGTGCCTACCAACACCTTCTCATAGAATCTGTAAATGTACAGCTGGTTTCCAGATAGCAGCGGATGGTACATCATGTAATGGTAAATATGCGACTATTTCTCACACTTGTCTCAGAATCTTCTGACTCGGTTTAGTTCATTTAATTCTTGAAATTCATCAGAAAGGGGTACAGTCATATTGAAGATATTAATCCCTGTTGAATATTCTTACAGATACACTATTGTATATTATTATCATCTTGACATAGCACTTACTTTACCCAGTCATTTCAAACAATCAGAAGCTTGTAATATAAGACCAATATACATGTACATGTATGTGGATATTGTGCATTTTACTGTGCAATATACAACATTAAATATACATATAAACCAGGCCTTGTAATGTACCATAGTAAATACACATAGAAAACCACACCTTGTAATATACACTACATAATATAAAGATCAATATACAGCCATATAATATAAGGTAGTACCATGCTATATAATACACAATATATCAAGGTGTGTATATATCGAGAGAGAGAGAGAGAGAGAGAGACAGACAGACAGACAGACAGACAGAGAGAGGGACAGACAGACAGACAGAGAGAGGGACAGACAGAGAGAGAGACAGACAGAGAGACAGACAGAATACATATAGCTCATGCTTTGATATACACCATCTAGTGTGTACTATAAACTTAATACACAATAAATCCCAGGGAATATACATATAGCCCATATCATCTAGTGATCTAGTGTGTAGTATAACCCATGCTATATTATACACAAGATTTCATGAATAAAAATGTCCATGGATTCTATGTTAAATTACACATTTACTCATGCTGTATTTACATTCTTGTTTTTTGTTCTTAATTAAGGTATTACTTCATTTATGCTGTTTGCAACCGATTCCCAGATTCAAGGATTTTCAGTGAATAATCCAGATCAGGTGGCACTACCTCCTGTATCGAAAATATCACTGGCTTCTGCTATAGATTTCCATGCAGGTAAACACAATTTATATTCATAGGCATATGATACAGTATTATACCCTCCCCACACCCTGACCCCCCACCGCCGTCCTAATTGTTAATGGACGATTAAAATTCAAAACAAAATTTGTTAATCGAGATAAAATGAGGTTTGATGCAAATATAAGACTAAAGAACCAATATTTAATTTATCATTTTCAACCTGCCAAACCCAGGTTGAGAGGTTATTCCCTTTAATGCAAGTGTTAAAATTTGTGACGGTCCCTAAGATGTGAGTATTTAAATGGTTTTGTTTTGTTTAATACAGAGGATCACTTCATCTACTGGATTGATAGTAATGCTAGAACTATATCACGTATTAAACGGGATCTTACAAACAGAGAAGAAATTATTAGTGATGGTTTAAATGGTGTGGAAGGTATAGCTGTTGATTGGATTGCAAGTAAGTATACAAATGACATCTGGTCAATGGTTTGAGTCAGTCTGAAGAAGTACAATTAGTACCTAGATCAAAGCAATTTGATATTTAGTTTTTCAGGGACACTTGAGTCCTGTGAGCAATACTTGTTTAATTAAATCTGAACCAAAGCTTTAAGTAGGGTTCTCAAAGTGCTAAAATTCAAATGCTTGTGGCCCTACCACCGAACAAGAATTAAATCCAACAGATTTATACAGCCCATATCTAGTAGTTTTGGTAATAACTTGTGTTTTGAATATTTGTACAGATAATATATATTGGACTGATAGAAGTCATAATACTGTAGAAGTGTCAAAAACAGATGGCAGTACTCGTTATGTTATATTACATAAAGGTCTGGATAACCCAACAACTATAGTTGTACATCCTAAAATGGGGTAAGTATACTGGACGACAAAATCTCATCCTATACATCAATATAAATGTGTGCATAGAAATGGCATGTTCATGTTGGTGTGGTTCCCGTGGCTTATAGTAGAAAGGGGTCTTAAATTTTGGAAAAACAAAATACACATATTAAACTTAAGGCTAAGGAACATTCCAATTTCATTTTCATATTTGTGGCACGGCCACTGAAACTCTTGTGTCAATTTTATTAATTCTCCCTCTCTTTATAAATGTTTGAATCAATTTGTTTTAAAAATTCTGTTTATAGTTATCTATACTTTGTTGATGATGGTGTTGCACCAAGAATTATGCAGGCACGTTTAGACGGTTCTGAGTTAAAACCATTGATTAACACAGACATCACTAAACCAACTGGACTTACGATTGATTATGAAACAAACAATCTTTATTGGTGTGACCAGAAAAGAAATGAAATAAATCAGCTGAATTTAAAAACTAATGCAAGAAGGCTGATTACGAAGAATATGACTGACTGTGTATCTGTAACAGTGTTTGGCAATTATATTTATTGGGCTGATACGTAAGTATTTTAAGTCACTTGTTTCATCTGCAAAAGGGGGAGTTGGGTAGTCAAATGGTCTAACACATGCACTTAAAATCATAAACATGTCCTTGTCTTATTTCAAATGAGAAGGGAGGTAGTTGGGTGATCGAGTGGTCTAACCCATGGGATTCTCTGGTTTCCTCCCACTGTTAAAGACCACCACATGAAACTGAATTATTGAAAATACAAATTGTTCCATGTCATATTAGTCCCGAAATGACTTAGTTTGTGTTGAGTGGACATTGAACCCTGTTTCTGCCTGTCTCTTTCAAATGAGAAACGATAACAGATGTTCTAGAAAAGACATACTTTAAACTTTAAACTTAGAGCACAACTGCAGCTTCTTTTGAAAAAAGAAAAGTCCTATATTTATTTTGATTAAAATTGTATGTGTTTGTATTTATGTTAGAACTGATAGTCAAGGCTCCATCAAGAAAGCTAGAAAATCTGATGGTACTGGAATGGAATATGTTAAGACAGATCTGTTAAACAAACTAAAAGATATTGTTGTATTCGATAAAGCGAGACAGACAGGTAAATGTAAAATCATGATATTGTAAACTACAAGCAGAAAGTCCACAACAAAATTGAAAAAGACGGATAAGCCCAATTTTAGTTAGACTAGATTTAGAAAGACAATCTATATCCAAATTGACATAGGCACCACAATGGCTGAATGGGTACAACACTGGCTCATTAATGTACATTGTGGTTTCCCCTTGTGATGCAGATGGAGGGTCCTGGCAAGGAACTGGGTCTAGTCGTTTAAATGGTTTAAAGGAACAAGGTCCTACGTACACACTGGAATTAGAAAGAAGAGTAGGTCGTAGCGCCGATATATGGACGGGAATTCCCCTCATAGCACAGCACACTTCATAACCCGGTTGGTGCAGAACAGGAGGACGTTCAACCCCATTTATTTCATATAATTTCCAAATTGAGATGAATGGGATAGGAGTACATATGATTGTGTATTGAAGTTAGCCATCTTTTATCTATTTAGGTACAAATATTTGTGATGATAATAAATATGGTTGTGCTGAACTATGTTTATATAATGGTACAGAAACACCAACTTGTGTCTGTTCTTATGGTAAACTGAAAGCAGACGGCAAACATTGTGAAGGTAAGTTGAACATAAGAAAATCCAGGAAGCAGGAAGGGACTTGCTTTTCAAATTGAGATAGTGACGAAGTATATTTTCAAATTAACATAGTGATATAATCAGATTGTGATAGTGATAGATTCAGATTCAGATTGTGATAGTGATAGATTCAGATTGTGATAGTGATAGATTCAGTTTCAGATTGTGATATTGATAGATTCAGATTGATATTGAGATAGTAAAAGATACAGATGGAGATAGTAATAGATTTAGATTGAGATAGTGGTAAATTCTGATTGAGATAGTGATAGATTCAGATTGAGATAGTGATAAATTCAGATTGTTATCAATTAAATTTTCAAATTGAGATAATGTATACAAAGATAAATCCCATATTAAGTGACCCTATTGTCTTTTTATTCTTTTTTTATCATGACCTATGCCCATCTTCATTAGCCTGGTTTGTGCAATAAAGTATGACGTTAAACCCGATATATTCATTCTGATTATTCTTGTAGATACATAGGGGCCCACAGTGATTTAAATACATGTATCTGTATTTTTGATGTTTTAGAGTTCACCGATTTCTTGATGTTTTCTGAAGTGACAGCCATTGGCAGTGCTCACATGTCAAACGAAACTGATCCAAATCCTCCGTATAAATTATTAACAAACGGAACAAATATGAAGAACGTAATTGGTTTGGCGTATGATTACAGTAGTCAGAGAATATATTATAGTGATATACAACGAGGTGATATACAGACAATGTTCTTTAATGGTACTGGACATAAAGTTGTAATGTCAGGTAAGATCTGTTAGAAAGTACCTAATAACTACCCAGCCCTATACAAACACTGCTTACATACAATCCAAAATGGCAGAGTTACATTGAACAAAATGATTGGTTCAACAATAACATTGACCCATTTGAATCAAATGCATCGTTACATCAAACAACATTGATTGTTCAGTCATTAGCATTATAACATTGTTCAAACAATAGCATTGTTATAACGAACTGTATTGATTGTTCAACCTAGATCATCCTAAAATGCTACAAAACTTTGTCCCTAACCCATGCACAAAATAGCATTATTTTATATGTGGTCCTGTATAACCATCAGTTGTCAACAAATCCTTCTGTTAAATCTAGTGGCTATAATTATTGATATTACAAATGATCTCAGATTTCTCAGATTTTGTCAGTTATTCCAAGAGAGTTAACATTACTGAAGAATCAAAATATCATTGTTGAAATATACATATTAAATTTATGAATTATAGAAAGTTGTAAAATGTCTAACTTCAAATGCTTTGTTTGTTGCAGGAATTGGTTCTGCTGAAGGATTGGTCTTTGATTCTATGAATAAAGATCTGTATCTAACGAGTTATACCAATTCTTCTATTAATCGTATACATCTAGGTAGTGATGAACCCAAGATAGAAACATTAATACAATTATCAGATAAAGATCACCCTAGAGCCATTGTATTACATGTTTGTAGAAGGTAGGTGTGGCTATATATGTTACTAGTCATAAATGGACAAAAACACTGAGAAAAATTAGTGAAACAAAAACACTTATAAAAATCAGTGTAACAAAAGTTATACTAAATTGAATTTCTATCAATCCCTTGAAAAGTGCTGATCAAGTAAACATGAACATTTTAGGAGATAAGGTATACACAAATTGAAATGAAATGAAATGTAATGGGGTTTGACTTTTATGTGCATGCCAACGTGTATATGGGACCTTGTTTTTTTTGTTCCATCTTAATGAGTAGATGCATTATCTCCTAAAATTCTCATGTCGAAGAACCGCAACATACACCAACTGAATGAAATGAAATTAGGTTTAACGTCTTATTGTCCCCCGCCTTTCGAAGAAAGCAGGGGACTATTAAAATGGGTTCGTCCGTCTGTCTGTCCGTCTGTCCGTCCGTCTGTCTGTCCGTCTGTCTGTCCGTCACACTTTTTGGGACACAATAACTCTCTTCCTAATTGAGCTAGAATGTTCAAACTTGGTGTATGTGTTTATTAGGTCAATGCCTTGATGGAGTTCGAAGATGAGCATTTTCCACTTAGGGTAAGCAGAGATAAGCAATTTGATTGGTTGATGCTTTGGGACACGATAACTCTCTTCCTAATTGGGCTAGAATGTTCAAACTTGGTGTATGTGTTGATTAGGTCAATGCCTTGATGGAGTTCGAAGATGAGCATTTTCCGCTTAGGGTAAGCAGAGATAAGCAATTTGATTGGTTGATGCTTTGGGACACGATAACTTTTAATTGAGCTAGAATGTTCAAACTTGGTGTATGTGTTTATTAGGTCAATGCCTTGATGGAGTTCGAAGATGAGCATTTTCCGCTTAGGGTAAGCAGAGATAAGCAATTTGATTGGTTGATACTTTGGGGCACGATAACTCTCTTCCTAATTGAGCTAGAATGTTCAAACTTGATGTATGTGTTGATTAGGTCAATGCCTTGATGGAGTTCGAAGATGAGCATTTTCCGCTTAGGGTAAGCAGAGATAAGCAATTTGATTGGTTGATGCTTTGGGACACGATAACTTTAGTTCTAATTAAGTGAGATTGATGAAACTTGGTGTATAGTTTCATTACAGTAATACCTTGACTAAGTTTGATAATGAGCATTTTCTGCTCAGGGTAAGCAGAGCGATACGCAATTTGATTGGTCGAGACTTTGGAAAACAATAACTCTCCTACTTTGATTGTCCCCCGCCTTTCGAAGAAAGCAGGGAACTATTAAAATGGGTTCGTCCGTCTGTCTGTTTGTCTGTCTGTCCGTTTCGCTTATTTGTGATAAATTTATATGTGTCCTCTAATTATTTTCCTATTTCGGCGGGGGACATCAGCCTCACTGTTGGCTTGTTTTTCTGCTTCATCCGGGCTAATGAAGACGGACATACACAATGCAGTTTGTTATGAGGGAAAGGTTGCTTGAACAGCAGTGGTATAGCCTAACTCTTGGTGTCCCCTGCCTTTCAAAACCTTTACTGAGTTCGATTGAGAACGTTTTCTGCTTAGACTATGTATAGTTTTATCAAAAAGATCAATGTGCAATTAATTAATATTTATTTTGGGATCGGACAGGGAACATCAGCCTCACTGTTGGCTTGTTCCAGTTGTCAGCATTTCTTTATATATCCAACGTGTATATGGGACCTTAGCTTTTTGTCCCATTAGGATGACTAGATGCTGTTCTTTGCCAGCCCAACCATCCTACACAACTAAGAATCTGTATAAACCAACAAATTAGCAGGTACCATGCAGGAGGTTTTATGTTGACATTTTCTAAACCATATCCGACTTCTGATCATTAGACTCATAAATACTTCTATTTTTTTTTTCAGTCAAATATTTTGGACGAATTGGAACGATGAGAAACCACGGATACAAAGATCTTATTTAAATGGATTTCAACCCGAGTCAATTATTACCGAACAAATACAGACACCGAATGGTCTGGCTATAGATCATAAAGCTGAGAAACTGTACTGGTCAGACGCTAGACTTGATAAAATAGAACGCTGTGATTTAGATGGTTCAAATAGAGTTGTAAGTAACAGGTTTTGTTGAGACCATTCATATTATGTTGTCTTATAATAACAGTCATTTCTCTTTCTCCATCCAAGAAATGTAAGATTTTCTTCTGGGCTAGTAGATTGGAATTAAAAGCATTCTTATGCATCCAAAAGTTGTAAGAAATAAAGTTATCTCTTCTGTGTTTAAAATTAGCAAGAATTCCTGTAATTGGATGACGATCAATGGAACAAACTTATTCTATCCCCTACTTCTTCTATTGCAGAAAAATGGCTTACTTTTAATCCTTTTGAAAATATAATAAAGTTGATTATTTAACATTTAGTTAAGAAAACAAAACCAAAATATTCATTGTAGATAATCTCCAAGCTTGGATGCAATAAAATTAAAAAGAGGAACATCAAAAGATATTAGCCAAAAAAGTTGCTGCTGACTTGTTTATATCGTCTGCAGATGGTGCCAAATGTTGTAAAATTAACCATTTTCGAACTGATATTCCTGCGTGCGAGATTCAACTTTCACAATATTCAAAATTTCCATCAAATGATGATCTGTGTCTTTGAAAATGAAAATTTGATTTCAGATTATTGTAACATCTATACCTCAACATTCATTTGGTTTGACTGTTTATGCTGATTATATATACTGGACGGACTGGATGTTACGGGCTGTTTTACGAGCCAATAAATACGACGGATCACAAATCACATGGTTGAAGAAAAATATCAAACGTCAACCAATGGCAATTGTAGCCATCGCTGAAGATGCTGATAATTGTATGTTTAATAATTTTGAAATTATTTTAGTTTTTTTTATAGATAAGATATTTCTGTTAGATCTGTATACTGACTTCCATGGTTTTTTTAAAAATTCAACCTTAATCACTTGACCAACTAAAATGGTGGAACTATAGTAAAAACCAAAGCACTTTGGTCTGATCAGCTGAGTAGAGTTGACTTAATCAGTCTAATGACTGTTCCCGAGACTGACCAATGGTTTATTACACAGATGCAGATTTTCTAAACTAATTCTAATAGTGTTTGTTCACTCATAAGAGTAATCAAATTAGTATTCTATTTTGTCCATTTTGAGAAAGGACTTTCATGGTATTTAAGTGGTCAAGGCATTGGACTCTTGATTAAAATTTCCTAGGTCCGAATCCTGGTTTGGCTGAGAAAAAGCTTCAGCTTTTTAAGCCAGTGGTTCGAACTTGTCAGGGGTGGTGCTTGCAGGGCTGACAAGTAAAACTGACTGAATGTTTAGTGCTATAGAAAACAATTATTATTATTATTATTAGTAGTAGTAGTAGTAGTAGTAGTAGTTTAGATGGGACTCAACATTGAGTTCCACCAGTGTACACATTAGTATGCACATTAAGGAGCTCTTGACAATTGAAATTCAATGAAGAGTAGGCAGAAAGGCTGCAATGGGGACTAAATTTTCCTCCTTTGCATTGCACAGAACACCAGAGAGACCAAATAATAGCCATTTGTGAGTCTTAAAATGACCAAAGTATTGTGATGATGATTGAAATAATTTAATTAAGTATCCTCTTTGTGATTGTCAAAATAATTTTGGAATCCATTTCTGTTTGATACCAGGTAAATTAAACCAATGTTATCAGAATATGTTTGGTTGTGAAGGAACATGTACCACAAATGAGAAAGGTCAACCCAGATGTGAATGTCCTAAAGGTCAATTTTTATTACCAGATGGTCGGAGATGTGCCTGTAAGTAACACCCTTAAATTACTTTTCGAATATTTTTTTTTTGTAAGGATTATTGTATCTTTAAAAGAGTGATCAATCTTCCATATTATGTCTATTCTAATAGTAAGTGCAGGGGGACTGCCCACACAAAATTTACACAAAAACAAATACACGGACAAGACATCATACTCAGGAAAACACAAACAGACAGACAATTCAAAAAAAGTGAATGGATCCGGGGGGCTAGCCGTAAACGTCCACTGCGCTTTACAGTCCCGGGTCTGTAGTTTGAAAACAATTAGGAATACAACCCAAAGAAACCATTGTGTAATGCCAGCATGAGTCATGATCTGCTATATGCTACACGAAATACGAATGTAAGCATATGTAGTAAAATTCAACTATACGGGTAACCACATCAGTGAAATGTATAAAAAAGTAGTCTAAACCTAAATGCTCTAAAATCAATCAAGAAACGTTTCAGTATTCAATACATATAGGGCACATGTTCCATCCATCACAAAAACAAAAACAAAACTGAATACAAAAAAGCAAATAGGAAATGTAGACTGTCTCGAGACACATCCGTCTGCTAACTGAGTGGCAACATTATTTTGGGAATGACGTCATATCTTAGAAGGTGATAAAAAATCACAATACTAATAAGGGCGATGATCCAGATAAAATAACGTTAAAAGCTTCAAAACTATAAGGTATAAAGTCAATATTAATCATCTAAGAATATATCAAGTTTGTCCTTCACTATGTATTAACTTTTAGACATTTTTAAAACAGTATTTTTACTTTTATATATTAGAAATCTTGTTTACGGTTAACAGTTCTGTTCTTTGAGATTTGTCAGTTGAATTGGACTTTAGACATTTTGTTCTTTGACATTATCAAATTAATATGTTTTTGTTCTGTGTTTCAGCTGATAAGAATTTGAAGTGTAATATGACAGATTTTATATGTGATGATGGTAAAATGTGTATATCTATAGAAAGAACATGTAACAGTATTTCTGATTGTATTGATGCCTCCGATGAATCCAAGGAATTCTGTGGTATGTATTAGTACAGTGTGAATAACCAAAATACCCCATTCCTATTTGTAATGCCTGAAGGTCTTGCTAGATTTTCCTGTGTAGCTAAAATGTTTCTTTGTGTTTCACATGTATAACTGAAATGTTTATTTGTATTATACATCTATAACTGAAATATCTATTTTTATATTATACATGTATAACTAAAATGTTTCCTTATGTTTCATGTATATAACCAAAATGTTTCTTTTTGTTACACATGAATAACTAAAATGTATATGTTTTATATAATACATATATAACTAAAAGGTTTCTTTGTATTTCACATCTATAACTAATCTGTTTATTTATATTATAAATGTATAATTAAAATGTTTTTGTATATTATACATTTATAACTAAAATGTTTATCTGTTGTAAAATTAAAATGTTTATCTGTTGTAAAACTAAATGGTTATTGTTGTATAACTAAAATGTTTATTTAAATTTACAGAAACACGAAGATGTCCTGTTGATTATTTTATGTGTACCAACAGACGCTGTATATATTTAGATAAAGTATGTAATGGTGTTAATGAATGTGGAGATAATTCAGATGAACGAGACTGTTCTTGTAATCAAGATGAGTTTAAATGTGATAACGGGATGTGTATATTAAACAAATATCGATGTGATAGAGATAGTGATTGTCTGGATCACTCAGATGAAAAGAACTGCAGTAAGTTAATAAACAAAAACTTTTATTCTGTCATAGACTGAACTTAAATTCCAGATTTAAAGCAGATATAAATTTTCAGACCATACAAAAAAAACCTTACCGAATTGATTCTTGTTACCAAAATTTAACAAATATGGACCAATAATGGCAATATGATTTTGCCTTTATGTATGGTCTTAAACTCTATATTTAACTATTTTCCTGGCTGATTGTCTCTTTGATATATGCTTATGTTCTTATATTTATTTCTTCAGATACCTTATAGAATTATTTCTTCATGATCTGAAAATCTCTTAAAACGATGCCCTTTAAAGTCACACTTTAATAGCAATGTTGAATTTCTTTATTATTAGTTGCTAACATTCAATTTACATGTAACTAATTGACTGACAGTATTTCAATGAACTAGTAATTTAGCTGAATCACATTCAACCCTTTCTTTCAATTATTACTGTTTTTCAGTCAAGTATTTTCAATTTCTTTCAGACATTGCCAAAAAACTGGCCAAAAATTAATATCCTGCTCTTGACAAGAAACCATACTTTTGACTCTTTTTATGTTCTAGCCATTCTCAGTATCTTATTGTAATGCATTGCTTTTACTTTAACTGAAGTCACACTTTAACGATTTTGAATTTTAATGATTGCTGACTTCTAAATAGGATATCTTTAAACCGCTTCAAGAAAATGTTTATTATCATAAAATAACATATTTACTATGTTTGAAATGATTACGAAATGCAGATAAACATGATATAAATACTAATTGACATATATCACCCAATAACACATTCTAGAGTAGATAACACTTGTGTGATAACTTTCATTATCTACTGAGCAATATCTCCTAAGGAGATATCGTTTTACATGAAATAAAATCTATACCAAAGAATTATGTTTATTTATTTGTGCGTGCAAAAAAAGCATTACGTGATAAATAAAATCTTCTACTCATCTTTTTTTATGTCAAAAAAGACTTGTACGAGATTCTCTATATAACTGACTACGAGTAGTTTAATTGTCCCCCGCCTTTCGAAGAAAGCAGAGGACTATTAAAATGGGTTCGTCCGTCTGTCTGTCTGTCCGTCTGTCCGTCTGTCTGTCCGTCTGTCTGTCCGTCACACTTTTTGGGACACAATAACTCTCTTCCTAATTGAGCTAGAATGTTCAAACTTGGTGTATGTGTTTATTAGGTCAATGCCTTGATGGAGTTCGAAGATGAGCATTTTCCGCTTAGGGTAAGCAGAGATAAGCAATTTGATTGGTTGATGCTTTGGGACACGATAACTCTCTTCCTAATTGGGCTAGAATGTTCAAACTTGGTGTATGTGTTGATTAGGTCAATGCCTTGATGGAGTTCGAAGATGAGCATTTTCCGCTTAGGGTAAGCAGAGATAAGCAATTTGATTGGTTGATGCTTTGGGACACGATAACTTTTAATTGAGCTAGAATGTTCAAACTTGGTGTATGTGTTTATTAGGTCAATGCCTTGATGGAGTTCGAAGATGAGCATTTTCCGCTTAGGGTAAGCAGAGATAAGCAATTTGATTGGTTGATACTTTGGGGCACGATAACTCTCTTCCTAATTAAGCTAGAATGTTCAAACTTGGTGTATGTGTTGATTAGGTCAATGCCTTGATGGAGTTCGAAGATGAGCATTTTCCGCTTAGGGTAAGCAGAGATAAGCAATTTGATTGGTTGATGCTTTGGGACACGATAACTTTAGTTCTAATTAAGTGAGATTGATGAAACTTGGTGTATAGATTTATTATATGAATACCTTAACTAAGTTCGATAATGAACATTTTTTGCTGAGGGTAAGCAGAGTGATAAGCAATTTGATTGGTAGAAACTTTGGAACACAATAACTCTCCTTCTAATTGAGGTAGAATGTTCAAACTTGGCATAGGTGTCTATTAGGTGAATGTTTAAACTTGATGTATATGTAGATGTTCATTAGTTGAATGTCTTGACTGAGTTCAATAATTAACATTTCGAGCTGAAGCTAAGCAGAGCTAATCGATTTCATTTGTCGATGGTTTGGGACAAGATAATCTTGATTCTATCTGATAGAGAGTGATGAAACTTAGTGAAAAAAATAAATGTGCGATTAATTAATATGTGTCATCTATTTATTTTGCAATTTCGGCGGGGGACATCAGCCTCACTGTTGGCTTGTTCTTTTTTGTACTTTAATGTCAAAAAACCCTTTGAAATCCTGTATTTTTGCTTAAAATTGAACCAACTTGTATTGATTTGCAAAAATGATTGATATCTCTTCATTCTGTGTTCAATTATCTTTCTTAATTGGTTTAAAGATATACTAAAGTGTATAACTTTGTATTTTCATAACGTGTGACTTGCATGTAAGCTAATGTAAAGAATGTCTGGTATGACCTATTACCATTAGTATAACTGTCTATATATTCTATTGTATGTTAGATCTAAATTGTACTGATGTAGAGATGGACGGTGAAAAGGTTCAAGGTCTAATTTCTTGTAATGAGACGTCTGCATGTATATTTCCCATGTGGCTTTGTGATGGTACAAATGACTGCTGGGATAATAGTGATGAAAAAGACTGCAATCCTACGGGTAAGAACAAATGAATGAAAAATGTTATTACAAATGACAATCAACATATTTACAAAATGCCATCTTCCATTTTCTGACATTGGTGGATATTTTTGGATTGTATTGAATCAAGTATTTGACCACTTGAGAGGAGCTTGCACAAACAATGATTTATCACCCAATCTTTTTGAAAAATATGTAATTTGTGAAACCAAGAAGCCTATTGAAGCCAATTTCTGGCTCTTGCTTCACTTTATGGAACCTTGTGAATGCTCTAACAACAAAAGTTATCATCTGAACTGTATCAAATTTATATACACTATTTAAATTGATAAATAAAAAAAATAAAAAAAATTATGTTTCTAAGAAATGTGTTGTTTATGAATATTTTAGTGGGTACGGCATGTCCTGCTGATTCCTTTACATGTGGAAGTGGAAGTTGTATACCACCACAATGGCGATGTGATAAAGATTTTGACTGCGCTGACGTATCTGATGAAGCTAATTGCAGTAAGTAGTCAGTTTGTGTTTGTTTTGTTGCAGGTTGGACCAAGTGGTTTACAAAAAGTTGTTTTGCTTCGTCGATCTGTCAGTCAGTGAATTTGACAATGTGTAAAGTCTAGTTCTCACTTATCTGACAAAGCCTAATATTAAGGTGTGTCTAGTCATTCAGATAGAGAAATAATTGGATGTCCCTTATGCTAATTGGTAATGGATGTCAACGATTTCTTGGCAGTTGGAATTTGTAAAAAAAAAATTCCTTTTCACATTGAACTGTAGTAATAACTATATTATGTTAATCTGAAAATGACCGAAATTAATTTTTTAAGATGTTAAACCCCTTTCATTTCAATTCCATTCTGACCTTTTAGAGATTTAATTCTTACAAATTTAATACGATGGTAAGCATTTTCACATCTTTCTTAAACAATGGCTCGAGAAATCCCTCTCTAGCCATTGCTATACTTAGAGCCAAAAGTTGGGGTTTTCAGGGAGTGTGTTTATTTTTATCACCCATTCAAATCTCTCCTGCGTACCATTGTTTGAAGTTGTAGTGCTATCCGGGGTCTGGAGATGAAGGATGATGAAAAGGTTTTTAATTATTATATATTTTAGCGTATTCTTGTAATAATGATCAGTTTGCCTGTAACGATTCTACCTGTTTACCTAAAACATGGGATTAGAAGGATGATGAAAAGGTTTTTAATTATTATATATTTTAGCGTATTCTTGTAATAATGATCAGTTTGCCTGTAACGATTCTACCTGTTTACCTAAAACATGGGAATGTGATAAACATCCAGACTGTCCTGACCAATCAGATGAACATGAAAACTGTGGTAAGTGTTTTACAATTGTCATTAAAACTTTTACAAATATTATGCACCCACATGAAAGTGTTTTCGGGCATCTGGAGCCATTTTGGATCCACAAGTATAATGTTGATTTACTAACTGGGAGTTCCCAGTGTTAGGTTAGAAAGTTCTTCAGGATTTTCCAGCCTGGTTTTTCCTTTTGCCATTGTTGCAAGACAGAGGGTATGACAAAGAAAAGCACCTAGTTATTCAGATTATATTGAAAACATGTACCATACTCTTGACTTGTACATAAAGAAGCCTTGACAGTTAGAATTTGGTAATTGAGTAGGCAGAACACCACTGTCCATCAAAAATTTCCCTCATAACTTATGCATGCTTGTGTAGAAAACATTAAAACCCCATTTCATTTTATTTGGTTATCATGTATTGTTTCCATTACGCAATATCTTTAGCACATGCCAAAACAATAATCTGAAAGTCTAAGATGGTTCATGTCTGATAACTCTTGCTAATGTATCTGCAAACCAGTGGAAGCTCTAAGGATCATCATTTGATCTGTTTAAAATATTTTTCTGAAACCAAATACAGAATGATTTAAAAGATGAAATAAGTGGAAGCTTGGGAGATCTGAAAAAACATACAGATTAGTTAATAGCATGAAATTATTGATGTGCCATGGATTTATTTTAGATATAAAGACATGTAATGATGATGAATTCCGTTGTGGATCAGGTAAATGTATACCTAAAGCATGGAAATGTGATGGAGACAGTGATTGTGAAGAAGATGATGATGAATCGATTTCTAATGGTTGTCGTAAGTTCAACTAATGTGTATTTTCAAAGCAATTTCAAATTAGAGATCACTCTATTGTAGCATAGGCAGTTGCACATGTTGCAAGTTGTGCTTGCTAATTTCTAGAACATTTGATACCAATTCACAGATGTGAGATGTTGATGATCAGCTAATTGCAATAGTTATGATGGTACAATTTGAAGATGCACACATCTAAGATATAAGTCATAAAAGTAGTCATTAATCATAATCATGGTTTTCTGTGGTAATCATAATATATTTTCAATTCGCTATACCCAGTAGACATATTTTGTAGCATACAGGTTTGTTTTTGTTAGAATGATCTTTAGAAACAGCCATGGACGAACAGAACATATAATGTACAAATTGTTCAGTGATCAGTTTTCTTATTTTATACTATTGTGGCTTACATCTTGAATGTATGATTTTATTGATATTTTTTATTTTAGCCCCAGTATTGTGTCAGGAAAATGAGTTTCAATGTTTAAACAGGAAGTGTATAACTAGTACGTTCTTCTGTGATAGAGATGATGATTGTGGAGATAACTCTGATGAACTCAGTTGTTGTAAGTATTTTAAGTATAGTTGTTATGGCACAACTTCAAGAGAAACTAACACCAAGTGGTTTAGCAAGGTTTGGCAGGCAACCCTACTCCTTGACATGTACAAACTGCGATCATAATGATTCAATCAATAACTGACCTTCTGATGTAAATCATGCGTAGTAAACCACTCAACCCCCACCCCCAATGATATTTTCCATGTAAGCTGCTATGTGGTAAATGTTTGTTTAGGCATCGAAGCTACTGCCCACCTTTGTATTGCATGAGTAGACACAGTTCCTTGCAAGGCCCTCTGGTCTGCACCACTGTCAAGGGGGAAATCACAGATGAAAATCCTGAAGAACAATTCCAGCCAACACAGGGCGTGGAACTGAGACCTGGTTAGTGAGCCAGATTCTTACTCACTGAGCCAGATTCTTACTCACTGAGCCAGATTCTTACTCACTGAGCCACTGCAGCCCCTGTAGCCCCCACTGCTGAAATCAGAAGTGGTATAGTAGTAAATATTGTAGACTGAATAAGCATAATAAACTTTACTTCTTTTCAGTCTATCCAACTTGTGGTTCAGATGAATTTAAATGTGTCAACCGAGGCATGTGTGTCAACAGTACCAAGAGATGTGATGGTCTGTTTGATTGTCCAGATCATACAGATGAAGCTAATTGTACAGTGGTTCAGTGTGGTGGAGATGATACTAAGTTTATGTGTTCAAATGGTTTATGTATACCAGAAGAATTGGTATGTGATGGTCAGGATGATTGTGGAGATAAATCAGATGAACCTGTTAATTGTGGTAAGTTGCACATTTGGCCATTTTTTATTTTTTTATGTGATGAAACAATAAACAAATTCTTTGATGTGGGTAAAAATGAAGTCTTAATTAATATTGATGATCATTGTATGTGAGTTTATGAATAGATCATTGGATGAGGCCTTGACATGATTGTGTTTTACACAAGACTGCTGTGGGTTTATAAATAGATCATTGGATGAGGTCTTGACATGATTGTGTTTAACACAAGACTACTGTGGGTTTATAAATAGATCAATGGATGATATTATTATTACTGATTGACGGTAATACAGTTTGATGTATATTGTGTATTTTAGGTTTAAACGAGTGTGACAGTAATACAGAATGTCATCATCTATGTATAGAGAAGAAGATAGGTTATGCATGTGCCTGTCATCCTGGTTATAAACTTAGACCTGATAATAAAAGTTGTGAAGGTAATATAAACTACATGTACATTATCTTTAAGTGTAATTTGTGTTTTGGAGGTAAATGCTGATTGGTAAAAAATGATTTTTCTATTTGCTTGTACAGTTCAAATTAGTTTACATGAAAATCGGCCAAGCCATCACTTATTTATACATGGTTGAACTTTATATAAAGTCATATAAAGTTTTGATATGGTTATTTTACAAAAAGGCATTATTTGGAATAATACCATTTATTAAAAAATACTATGCACAAAATACTGCAGGAATAAAATATTTAAGACCCATTAGATACTGGTAGTAGGAATCAAAGTAAAAAGGAACTGACTGCTAACAATCAGTTTAGAAGTTAATCATTGTTATTGGTGGCTATGATATATTGTAATTGTTGTTAATGAGATGTAAAAATTGAATAACAATTGTGATAGTGATGAATAACAATTGTGATAGTGAAAAGTTATTAATCTTTTTGTATTATGCATTGTATTTGTTATTTTTCAGATTTGAATGAATGCGATACTACGTATCCTTGTTCACAGTTATGTACAAATACAATGGGATCATTTCATTGTAACTGTACTAAAGGTTACAGGATGGCGCCTGATAGAACAAACTGCAAAAGTGGTAGGCTATTTTTAATTCTTATTTATTATGAAGTTTATTTTCGACACTATACAAATGATATTAACATAGGACATCAAAGATGACAGTAGACATACATTATTATTAATATTTTATCATTGTTATATACGAAACCAATTTTTATTGTAGCAAACCATTTTTTTATTATTACATATTATTGGCAATATTTGTTAGATAAACACCTGTTTGTTATTTATTTGATCTTTTACCTTATTTGTTATTACATTATGATTAACAAAATTTTATCATTGTCACAGATACAAAACCAGTTTTAATTGGACCAAACCGTTATTAACAATATTTTATCATTGTTACAGATACAAAACCAGTTTTAATTGTAACAAACCGTTATTACATTCGTAATGTGAGTGTACCTGTTGGCAATTCATCAAGATTATCAGATGACCAGAATAATGCTGTAGCTATAGACGTAGACTGGCAGGATCAGTATATATACTGGTCCGATATAACTAGCAGAAACAGTAGTATTAATAGAATGAAATATAATAGCTCTTCCAAGGCTAAAAGAGAGGTACAGTTATTGTCATATTTTATACGGTCATAATTAATGTAGAGCTATTAATAGGCATCACCCATGCTGGTCAGTTTATCCCCCTTCCCCAGTAACCCCACTTAATCTTAAATACAGATAAGTATTTCAACCAATTTTATAGAAACTTAGGATGTGACTCTATGTCCATAAGGTTGCGATTTAAGTTTCTGGTCATGAGATGATGAAGCCTATCCATTCAGATTTGGTGTGAAGCATTGGGAGTCATGAAGGCATCCCTTCTTATCAAATTTGGTCAACATCCAACATCCAAGTTTTCATTGCAGATAAGCTGCTGTTGAGATATAGCAACTGTAGGTGAAGTTCCACGCTTTGTGTGGCTATCTTTTAATTGATTTTAAATAAAACTTTGCATACAAATGTGGTAGTTGTACTATTTTTTTATGTATTGTCTTACACTCTGCAATAGCCAATTGTTCTAGAATGAGGTCTCATTGATGTGTTTTTATTTATTGTATTTGGTTGTCTTTCAGGTACAAGTATTACATAGTTCAACAGTACGTAATCCTGATGGTCTGGCTGTTGATTGGGTTGGTCGTAATCTGTACTGGTGTGATAAAACCACAGATACTATCGAAGTTTCTAAACTAGATGGTCAATACCGCAGAGTTCTTCTTCGTGAAGGCTTACAGGTAGGTACATATGTTACTAAAAGAAAAAGTCATATTACAGGCCAGCTGGTTCACTTGAATATTGTGCAGGTGTTTTGTGGCCTTATATTGGTCTGAGAATGTAGCCTTTAATAAACAAACTTAGTCACAATAGGCCTTAAATGGGTAATCATTTCCCATTCATCTGTCTCATAATTAGAATTAAATTAGGTCTTGCGGTTAAAAAGGTTTGTTTATATCAGTGGTGTAAGGTGTGCCTCCATATGACTCTATCTCTTTTGAATTAGTGACAGTACTTGGAACAAATAAAAAAGCAGGAAGAGATCTGTACCTGAAAATTATCCATGCCAATGATTAGACTAGCTCAATATAGGCCAAGTTTTAAAACCCTTTGTACAAATTTATGCAAAACAAATCGGTCATGTACCTTCTTGGCATTGATGTTTGGGGATAGAAATGAGTTATCGTTGTATTGACAGATGGTTACAAAGACATAAAGATTGTAACATGTCAAAAATAATGTAAACTTTAAAATGGTCATAACGTACATGTGTATTAGGACTGATTGATTTGAGTACTTTTGACTAATATGCTTTTTTTAATAATGTAGACCTATGTCCTGAAAATTGATATTTGCTGTTTATTCTGATTAATCATGTTCTCGTTAACAATCCTTTATTTTAACTTTGTTTACAGGAACCTCGTGGATTGGAAGTATTTCCACAAAAAGGTGTTTTGTTCTACACAGATTGGGGTGATAATCACCATATTGGAAGAATGTGGATGGACGGTAGCAAACGACAAACTATCATCAAGGACAATTTAAGATGGCCGAATGCTTTAACTATTGACTATATTACAGAAAAGATCATTTGGGCTGATGGCAGTCTGGATTATATTGCCATGGCTAATCTTGACGGAAGTGGACGTAGGATTATTATCGGAGACAGCGTTAAAGTACCACATGTGTTTGCTCTAGCTACATTTGAAAATTACATCTACTGGACTGATTGGGAGCACATGGGAATCTTCTATGCCCATAAATTTTCTGGAGAAAATATTACCCTTCTGACTAACATGGTCCACAAACCCATGGGATTACAGATTTTCCACCCACTCAAACAGATAAAGCCAGGTAAGTATCAACCCCCTGCGTTTATTCAAAGAACTATGATTACTGTTGAGGCAGAGCAAGAAAATTCATTGAAATTTTATGAAGTAGGTCAATGACAGACATCAGAGGGTTTTGTGTATACTGTAAAACATGTGTGGCCTATTGCCAGTCTCAACGTTGTTCTGTAAAATGGAAAAATTACCCACTCAAATCGTGTTACAGATGAAATTATCTTCTAATAACAAAAAGTGGCACATCAACACGTCAAGATGATTGCCATTCCTATTAGTGACTGAGATATCGGCTTCTGAAATTCACATCCCTAATACTAACAACATGATACTGACTTTTCCACAGCTATCTTTTTTTTCTCACAGATTTTATTTTCCTCCTCAGCCAACATTTCGGATCATACTGGCTTTGCTAACCCCTCTGACTTTGAAGACCCCCAAAAAGTTTTCACAGACCCCTAGATCCATTGCGGTCCCCATGTTGATATACATTGATCGAACCAAAGATCAAAATGTATATATGTCCATCTCCTTCAGATCACTTTAATTTTATAACACATATATTGACTAGACAGTCTTATTCCAAACTTTCACTTAAACATAGAAATAATATGTTATATTGATAGCACGGTTAAGCTCCAAGCAATCTATTAGAGGTAAAACAATCTGCTTATTCAACGAAAAGAACAAAGGAAGATTTCCCGTCCATGTTAAGGGGATCACGTGGCTAAGTGGGTAAGACGCTGGCTCGCTAGCCTGGATGTCGGGTGTTCGATCCCTGCATTGGCCGAGAAAGTTCATCCAGATTTTCCGGCGTGGTTCCCCCTTATCAGTGATGCAGGACGGAGGGCCTGACAAGGACAACTGTCTAGTCCTTCGAATGAGACGAAAAACCAAGGTCCCATGTATACATTGGAATGCACGTAAAAGATCCCTTGGCAGTTGGAATTCGATATAAGAGTAGGCCTCATAGCACACTGTATGGCGTATGCCCATCTTCAATTAGCCCAGGTTAGGTGCAGAAGAGTAGGACGTTAAACCCCATTTCATTTCATTTTTGTACTGTTATAAGCTTGGCTGTATTGCTAGATCCGTCTTCATTCGCTCAGTCGATGCAGAAAAGACCCCATTTCGTGTATTGCTAGATATTTAAATACAATCAGGATAGAAAACCTTAATAACAGTTTAATTTGTAACTTTAGATGTGAATCCATGTGCTGATAATAATGGTGACTGTAGCCATCTGTGTCTATTGAGACCCCATGAAGGAAATCTAGATTATTTAGAACATATATGTTCATGTCCTGAAAATTTCCATTTATCGAAAGATAACAAGAATTGTATCTCCAATTGTACGAGGTAAGACTTTATAGATTTTAAAAAGTAGCTATTATGGTCCCTTGAGATTAATAAGTCATGCACTAGAATGCCCCCCCCCCCCCGCCAAATCTGAATGTATGATATATTAAAAGTCTTGAACACTTTAGAATCACTTACAAACTACAATATTGTATGTATATCTAATAGGTACATCTGTCAAAATTGATTCAATTCCTTTCAGTATTTATAAAGATATGACAGATTGAAAATTCATCGTTCTATGTTGTTCGCTACGTAATAACCTCAATGAAATTTGTTGATGGGGGTTGGGTGGCTGAATGGTTAGCATGTGCGCCCTGTACCATAAAGTCTGTCATTGAGTCAACTGGCATGGTTTCGAATCCCCTGTTGTACGTGGCAAGCAGTAGGGTCGCCTGTCCAACCTCATGGGTTTTCTCCGGGTCCTCCAGTTTCCTCCCACTGCTAAAGACCCCTACGGGCAAGCGAATTATTGAAATAAAATTAAACCATGTGTTAGTCCCGAAATGACCTAGTTTGTGTCGAGTGGACGTTAAACTCCATTTCTCTCTCTTTCTCTCTGTTTTAATCTGACTGAATTAAATATTAGAGTGGATTACACCATGAGAAATTTGATATTTTTGTGGAAAATGCTAATGACTCATTATTACTTTAACAACTAAAAATCTTTATAATTTATTTTTTATAAATGTTAAATATCTTTATTTTCTTTATATAGTGCTCAGTTCTTATGTGAAGAATCATCTAAATGTATACCATTTTGGTGGAAATGTGACGGCCATCCTGATTGTGGTGATAGGTCGGATGAACCACATGATTGCAGTGAGTATATGTCGATATATTTCAAAGAAAAATACAATTTTGAACAGTATTAATGATAATATATAATAATGATAAGGAGTCTTAAAAGGCACTAAAATCCACATCACAATAGGGAAATGCTCTAAGAGATTCCAAAGCATTGCAGAGATATATGAAATGACTGGCACCAAATGTTTTCAGTTTGTATTTGGGTGTCTCAAAGCAGACATCGATCAGTAGAATGCAGGGACCTGGTTTGAACATATGGGTGAACAAGATTTTGTAGATAGGGTGGAGCCATTTTTGACACAGTTTGAAATGTTAAAGAGAGCACTTTAAATTCGCCTCATTCCTGAATCTAATCCAATGTAGAGAGTTTAGAGATGGTGATATGTGAGAACACAGTTTAGTCCTGGGTCCATATTCAAAGGGTATCTTAAGTCTAAGATACTCACTTAACTGCTAAATTGTAGACAAATTTTAATGCTCCACTCCTATCAGCTCCATCCATTTTAGTTGTATTGTATATTATTTGCATTGTATATTTACATTGTATATTTTTATATATTTACAATGTATCTTATAGATATTGTATGTTTACATTATATCTTATAGATATTGTATATTTACATTGTATGTGTATTTTGTATATTTATATTGTAAATTTGTAGAAAAGTATCTATGTGTAATGGCTGGTTTATTCCAATGTGATAATGCTACTAATGCACAACAATGTTTTCCACCAAGTATGATCTGTGATGGTAAAAAACAATGTGATGATGGTTCCGATGAAAAGAACTGTGGTATGTTTTTCTTAAACTTCTATTTGGATAGCAAAGGTCACTTCATTAAATCTTTTTCTTGAATTTTTTATCTGTATGTTTTTATTAAAAGGATGGGGTCTTATACATCATTTTATTTTTTCTGAGGTTAATTGACGTGGATCTCATGAAGTTTGTGCATATTTTTGGCTAGGAATATCAGGCTAAATGTCAGGAATTTTAACAGATTTATTGTGAACTATTCAACAAATGATTATACAGAACTTTATAACAAGGGAAAAAAAATACTTAAAAATTATCCCATAATGTACTCGGCCATATTCTACCAGAAATGGGAAAAATGATTAAAAATACAAGACTTTGCTTTATTTTTAGAATCGTATCCATGCCTAGAGCATCATATGAAATGTCATGCAGACAATAAATGTATACCAGATCATTTTAAATGTGATCATAATAATACTTGTTCCGATGGTGAAGACGAACTAGATTGTCGTAAGTAAAATTAATATATTTGTATGTAGGACATTTTGTAGAAAACTTGAATAAAACCAACATAAAGATACTTGTGCTTTGCATGAAGGATAGAATATTGGTAACTTGAGCTATTGACCATACTAATACATCACTATGAATGTTTTCTATAAAATTCTTATATTTGTTTTATACAGCTGCTACCACATGTAGCGCTAATCAGTTTGAGTGTGCTAATGGACGATGTGTACCATATGTGTGGAAATGTGATAACGATGATGATTGTGGCGATTGGTCAGACGAGCCTCATAATTGTACTGAAATAACATGTAAAGCAGATCATATTAAATGCAAAAATGGGCGATGTATTCCTGAGGCATGGACGTGTGATGGAGATCGAGATTGTGGTGAAGACGATGATACTGATGAACATTATGGGAAATGTCGTAAGTTTCTGTCTTGTGTCTTTTTGAAATGTATTTTTGCTCTTGAGCCTTTCCGAGGGTGGATGGGGTGGTGGTGGATGGCTGAATGGTTAGCATGTGCACGCTGTATCATAAGGTCTGTCATTGAGTCAATTGGCGTGGTTTTGATTCCCCAGTTGTACTTGACAAGGAGTAGGGTCGCCTGTCCAACCTCAAGGGTTTTCTCTGGGTCCTTTGGTTTCCTCCCACTGCTACAGACCCGTACGTACAAGTGAATTATTGAAATAAAATTGAACCATGTGTTAGTCCCAAAATGACCTAGTTTGTGTCAGTTTGGATTGAGGTATGGAAGTGTAAAAAGCTCTGTATTTCTTATTTAGAAATGCAAATCTGATTTCTTTTTAACAGCAAAAGATATCAGTTCTCCTGAGCAATATTCAATTAAAGTATAATAATAGTAAAAATAAGTAATGTATGTAGGGCCGACAACTCAACTCTGCATGCTGCTATCAGGTATATGCGTGGATGTAAAACCCTATTTTTTCTCCCTCATTTCTATTTTGGGTTATTTGTTTTTTTTCAGAGGACCGTACATGTGATCCAACATATTTTCACTGTGCGAATGGACATTGTATACCTGGTCGATGGAAATGTGATGATTATGATGATTGCAGAGATAACTCTGATGAAATGAATTGCGGTAAAAAAAAATTCTTTTGAAGCTAGAATATAATACAAGTATAAAGTTTAGACTGTACACAATCATAGTCATGCATAGAGTTTAAACCATACACACAGTTTAAACCACACACAGTAAAATATAGAGTTGAGACTATACACTATCAAGTATAGTTGTTAAACCATATACAGTGAACACAGTCAAATAGAGAGTTCAAACCATACACACAGTCAATTAATATAGAGTTTAAACCATACAGTCAAATATAGAGTTTAATCCATACGCAGTCAAATAAGAGTTTAAACATAGTGAAGTATAGAGTTAAACCATACACGGTCAAATGTGTTAATATAATGCCAAATCATTTGTTCATGAGAAAACCCTTGCTATTAACACTGTTAAAGGGGAATAGTCTATGTCATATAAGTAGTGTAAAGTAGTGAAATGATTTGTGCACATGGCAGTATGTATTATATAATTACACTTTCTAGAACACCTGATACCTCATAAAGTTATTAGGTTTTATTGAATTTAATTTAAAAGTAATTTGAATAAATAGTGTACAGATTTCAAATTAGTACTGTTTGTATTAAATGTTATTAAATGTTTTTATTCCTTCCAGCTCCAAGGAATTGTTCAGAATCTGAGTTCCGATGTACAGAAATAGGTAAATGTATACCTAGGAAGTTACGATGTAACAAGGAGATTAACTGTGAAGATGGAAGTGATGAAGTTAATTGTGATGGTAAGTCAGATTTAAAGATATATTCATCAACTGTCAAGATCTAAAAATGCCTATCCTCTGATTTTAAAATATTCAAATCACCAATGAAATTGTATTGCCAAAAACGTTTAAATTCTCCCAATAAAACCTTTTCCTTGTTCTGCACAACTGTCTGAAGCTCAATGTTACAAAATAAAAATACAAACATTCAGTTTCAATAGGTGGTTGATTGAGATAGTAAGATCTACATATTTACTTGCTTAAGTTACCATGCTAATTCCAAGTGGCAAAATATTTTGAGGAAAGCATTCCAGAAAAATAATTTTGGTGATTAATTTGTATATTATTAATTATTATGGAAACTGCTCCTTTAAAAGCCGTGTTTCATTAATTAATAATGTACTGTATAATTTTGTAGACATTACCTGCTCTGATGATGAATTCATGTGTTCAACTATCAAACATTGTATACCAAATAGTTGGCGATGTGATGGCGATACTGATTGTGCTGATGGTACAGATGAATGGAACTGCAGTAAGTTTTGTTTATGATTTAAATGTAGACCTAGTTGGCCAACTTGAGTGGTGTAACACACATGCTTATGATCGAATGATCTGTCATCGATGTAAGTGTCATTGGTTCGATCCCATTCTTCAATCTACATTACCACATGAGTTTTGTCTGTTTTTTTCCAAACGTCCAAATTTTTAGTGTCAACATTAAGTTCACCTCTCTCTCTTTTTTTGAATTGCCAAATCACTCCCTGTTATTAGTGGCTCCTAAACCCCATTTCTCTCCCTCATGTGATTAATGAATCAAATGTTGACAATTTTCTATTTTTCAGCACGTAATTGTTCTGAACATGAGTTTAAATGTGATAACAGTTTATGTCAATCAGCGTTATGGCGGTGTGATGGTGACAATGATTGTGGTGATGATTCAGACGAACATAATTGCAGTTTGTATTATATTTATTTACATCAATTTTCAGCTTAAATCCTGCTTTCCATGTACATGTTCCGGTGACTAAAAAATTGGTCTAATGCAAATGTAATTCGACTTTTCCGATGGTTACTTCCTTGAAATTTTGTTTCATTAGACTTCTGGACAAAACAATTCCTCTTCATAGTGTTAAACAGAAAAGTCCAATCTCAAATCACTGAATGCTCAAATGTTATACTAAAGGAATCAGTGATATCCGAAAAGTCCAATTTCTGATTAGAGTCATCTTCAGTCTCTGCTACATCATAGTGGAATGTAAAGTTTTAACTTGTTTCAAATAACTAAAGAAATATTTTACCACTAAATCATAAATACTTTGAGAATGAATTGTGTAGTTGTTTCAAAGAAATTCTGTATTCTAACTTTATAAAGGGTCTTTTGAACCTTGGTGGCTATGGTGCAGGTGCTCCATGTGTCCCGTGGTTAATCCGCCACTGTATAGTATCTGTATAGTGAGAATTTGCGTTAATATTTGATGTTATTATTTTTTTTAGCCAACTATGTATGTACACCAGGTAGATTCCGATGTAACAGCACCAGTATCTGTATATGGTATAATATGGTATGTGATGGTAAAAATGATTGTCTAGATGGTGAAGATGAAGGAGATTTCTGTAAGTGCTTGATATAGGTGACTCATTCCAAACTTAATAACAGAGAATGATTCCAAATTTTAATTAGCTGCCGTTAAAAACCAAGGTTTTTTCCATATAAGTAGTCTGCTTGGGAACCACTGTGGCTCAGTGAGTAAAATGATGGCTCACTAACCAGGAGGTTCGTGCGCTCAATTTCTGCCTCCACTAAGAAAGTTCTGCTGGATTTTCCAGCCTGGTTCTCCATGTTACTGGGGCAGGATGGGGGAGTCTGGCAAGGTATAGAATCTAGTCAGCTGGATATAAACAATGTCCATGTTGGCATGCATGTAAAAGAACACTTGGCACTTGGAATTCAACAAAGTGTAGGCATTATAGAAAATAGGACATTGAACCCCATATTAATTCCTTTCCCTCCTCTTTCTGTATGGAAGGTATATAAGTTAAAGAAAATTTATGCACATCATCGCTTAGCTTTTGATCAGATTATAATACATAGGCAATTTCCCCTTTTGTCAATTAGAGTTCTACTTTCTTCTACTTATATTAGTAGTATTATGTTTTTTCATTTTTGACATGAAGAACAACATTATATTTAATATTAACAATGCTATATTCATTCATTATGACCTAATTTTCCTTCCACCTGTATGATGTTCATAAGTTTATTTTTGTGATCAAATTGCAGGTAAAGAACCTGAAACCTGTAAAACAACAGACTTCAGATGTAATTCTACTAATGTTAGCCAATGTATAGGAATGGAAAAACTGTGTGATAATGTAGTCGATTGTAAAGATGGGTCAGATGAAAATGCCAAGTTCTGTGGTAAGTACCAATGTGTATAATCTGCAATGAAGGGAAAAAACACTGATGAACAAATTGTTTGGATATTAGGCGTTATGTGGATCATCTGTTCTAATTCTAAACAACATGCTGTGTGTCTTGATCCAATGGAGAGCCACAGAGGCTCAGCAAGTAAAGCAATGGCTGACTAACAAGGATGTCCTGGGTTCAATCCATGTGTTCACCGGAAGATTTTCTCACTGTGGTTTTCCCCTGTTAGTGCTGCAGGCAAGGAATAGTGTCTAGTCGTTTGGATTGGACAAAGAACTGAGGTCATGTGTATATGTCTGTGTGCCCGTAAATGAACCCTTGAACAGTTGCAAATTGATAAGACAGCTGTCTGAGCTAATTTTCCACATAGCACAATGCATAGCTTTTCATTAACCCAGTTGGCACAAAAAAAGTTAGACATTAATCCGCATTACTCATCAAGCCACAAGTGTGTTCAAATATGACACATTAAGATATTAAAATTACATTATATAGTACTGTTATTTGTAAAGCAATGAAAAAAGCTAATGGTGCTCACAGTTCTTACATGGATTTGAATAACCAATTAAATGGAATTGTATTTTCAGAGGGTATGTCATGGAGAAGAAACTGTTCAGTTAATAATGGAGGCTGTCAATATCATTGTACCCAAGATGCCTATAGTGTTAAGTGTTCATGTAAAGAAGGATATAAACTAGATACCGACGGATTTAATTGCATTTGTAAGTACCGTCAGTTTAATTATTGTTAAAATCCAAATTTTATTACCAAATCATTGATCTTGAAGTTTGATATTACATGGTTAATACATAATTATATACATATTTGTTTTTAGATCACAATCCTTGTTCTGAGTTTGGCGTCTGCTCCCAGATGTGTAACTTTACGTCGCATGCTATGAAACCAAACTGTTTATGTGAAAATGGTTTTACTAAGTTTGAAAAATCTTGTTTTGCTCAAGGTAATTATTTTCAATATTAACTCAGTGAGACCTGATCCACTTATTTTCTTTAAAATTAAAACAAATAATTGTTTAAACATAGATACACGAAACATTTAGTTTGGTTGCTTGGCTTCTAATATTCTTACTGGAAAATTACATTGTTTGTCCCTAAATGACCCAAACAAGTTGTTCAAATCATTTACGCACTCAATCGTTTATTATTGTTGACTCTTGAAAATGCAGATGGCCTATTGGTCTAAGGTGTGCGTATTAGATCATAAGGTCTGTCATCGAGTCAAGTGGGGCCTGTCCAACGCACTTTGAAGACATTAAAAAGACCTGCAATAGGCAGATTTAAACAACAATTTATATAACATTTTAAGCCATAAAAAAAGACCTGCCATAGACAGATTTAATCTATATTTATAGGTGATCCACCAACCATGTTGGTAGCCGAGGAGGGCAGACTTATACGTACAGCCTTAACTAATCTAACCAATCAGAAAGAATCCCATTTACCTCTCTCACCAAATGATATTGATAACCATATTGTTGCTATGGACGTAGATGTGTCTGGAACAGACTGGAAAGCCTTTACAGTTTTATTATCTAAAAATCATACCTGGGTAGTTGTGTCTACAAAGATCAACAAAAAGGCTGTCAATAAAAGACAGAAACGTGATAATTCAGACACAAAGGTAAGTGAAAATTTTGAGATACTTTGATTGGATATAGCACAGTGTAATAAACCATGTCAGACATTGTGATTATTTTTTATAAACCAGTATAATAGATGATAATGGATTTACTAAATGTAGACCAATTTTATTCAGAAATATATAAACTGTTTTGTGACATCATGGTTTTATAAGAAAAGTGTAGTTTTTTTGTTGCATCAGCCAAATGTCTTGTTGTTGACTATCTGCCTGACAAAACATGCAGCACACACCACACGAATTTCTTGTCACAGATGTTTGGTTGACAATTTTACATTATATACAGGAATTCCCTGATTCCTGTCACGCTTATGGCAATGTTTATGAGACGTTCACCCATACAAAGCTGAATATAATTGCATCCATCAAACACTTAAGCAAACCATCGCTGTTGTCACAGCATGTAAATATATTCAGCAACCCAGATGGTTTGTCTGCAATATTTAACTGGCGTGATTATTTGTTGGGGATGGAAAATCTATGGTGTAGACAGACCTTTAAATTTCATACTGATTACAGCCACTGAGTGGTGAGTGTGTCTTTTATTAACAGCATCACAGATATGTCTTAAAATAAATATTAAAACCATTGTGAATTTTGGTATTTTCAGCAAAATTTATATTGGAGCCATGCTGATATTCGTGGTTTAACAGCTGATTGGGTCAGTAAACGTTTATATTGGACCGAAAGTGCCACACAGACTATTAAAGCTGCAACCTATCAGGGTGATCGAATAATAGAAATCATATCATCTGATTTAGAAGATCCACAAGATATTGTCATACATCCAAAAAACAAGTAAGTAATATTGAAAAGTAGTGATTGAAGTATGAAAACAAACAAAGGATAATTTATAGAGATAGATGTAGGTATATGTATGTTTAAGTACCAATTTCTTGCCATCACCCTACAGTACAGAGTTCATTGGGTTAAGAAGATTTTTTCAAATCGCATATAGCCCCTTTATCCCTAAGATTATTAATAGTTTATGTTTGTTTTTCAAAAAGGTGGGCTTGGGTGGCCAAATAGTTATGGTCTGTCATTGAGTCAAGAGGAGACGTTTTGGTTCCTCGCTTGTACTTGACAAGGAGTAGGATCACCTATCCAACCTCATGGGTTTTCTCCAGTCCCCCGGTTACCTTCCCCTGCTAAAGACCCCTACGTGCAAGCGAATTATTGAAATAAAATTGAACCATATGTTAGTCCCAAAATGATTTAGTTTGTGTTAAGTGGGCATTAAGCCCCATTTCTCTTTCTGTAAGAATCCAGAAAACATCTAAACAAGCTAAGATAAATGCAGTGTTATATAGTTTTTGTCACCAACTTTTATATTTTGTTCTTTTTGAGTTCGGAGCAAATTAGTAGGAAGTCAAACCCTATTTCATTTCATCTCATTTGTTTTTTTTGCAGTTGTGTCAACTTATAAATGTAACAAATTACCGTATATTTAATATTTTCCAGACAACTGTTTTGGACTGATCAAGGTATACATGCTAAAATAGAAAGATCAAATCTTGATGGTACGAATCGTACAGTACTGGTTGATGATAATATAATCTGGCCAAACGGACTGGCCATAGATTATTTTAACGATCGTATTTACTGGGCAGATACGAAGAAATATACCATAGAAAGTGTTGACGTAAATGGAAATGATCGAAGACTTATTCAGACTTTTAATGGTAAATAGAAGTTTATATAATGATTTATTTTCTGTGAAATAAATGGCCAATTTTTTGATTTAGAGGGATCAAATGTTTAGACAAATTGTTCAATGACGTTAGTTGAAAACATTTTCTCTAAACCAAAATATTTAGAACGGACCATGAACTATCAAAAATTAGTTAGAACAAACCGTGAACTATCAAAAATATTTTATCAAAAAGAAAACTAAGTTATTCTAGCTAAGTAATGGTCATTGAAAGTAATAATAATTATGCTGTCCTTTTCGTACAAGCCAACCAGTTCTTCTTGAAGGTTTATATTCAGATGTAGTTAATTACATAATAAAAGCAGTTTTTACATTCAAATAGTAATTACTTTTGAGATAAATGTGATAGAAAGTGCAGGAGGACTACACCACACATAAACAATTATACAAATAATTATATACACAGACATTTAAAACAGGAAACAACAAACGCGTATATCAGATCATGTGAATTGATCCAGGGGGCAGCCATAAATGATCATGAAATTAATGCTTGATATATGACCAATCAATACAATCTGATTAAAACACAGATCCTATTTCGTTTCGTTTTTTATAGTTCAAAATTTCGTTTTATTTGTCTGTACTACACTAGGATCTAGGAGAGTTGTTATATTACCGACGTTTTGGTTGAAGTGAGGGATAAGCCAATGGAACGGCTTGTTATGGCGACTTCTTGGTATGCCATGCACGGAACTGTGGGTAAACCACTACAAACGTCAACGATGATTGATTAATCAATGTCTGATGTCATAGGGTCAAAAGCCGCTTGTACGACCCCTAACACAACCTTCAAGTACAACATGTCAGATCTTCATGAAGTGTAGGCCATCGAAAGTATAAAAAAACGAAACGAAATATACATCTGTATTTTAATCAGATTGTCAATCAATACAGTTTTTGTAGAATAAGCCATCTGAGGCATTATTTCTATGGTGAACACAAGTTCAACTTAAAATTAAATGGGATGTTAAATTTTACAAATCTGTGGTTATTATTGTTGTTAATATAAATTTCTTGCAATTCAGTTTATGTTTCTTTTCTATTTGTGTTTATTTCAGCCTCAGATCCACCATATAAACTAGAATTATTTGAAGATTTTATATACGTATTAACCTATAAAACATTCAGTGTCATAAGAATACATAAATTTGTACATTCCAACGTGTTTAAAAAGATGTATGTTGGAATTAATCGAGTCCGTGATTTAACTATCATACAGGAACATAAACAGCAGCAATCAAGTAAGTAAAAATATGATTTAAATCTGTGGGCACTTAAGTGGCAGGTTCTGGCTAAATGAAACATGTGGATAAAAAAAATCAATACACGATTTGGCATCAATTCTGTATTCAAAGACCCTTATATAAATTTGTATGTGATTTATGCATTTACATGTATCTTGGAAAATGGCCGAGATAAGAAAGAAATGATAGTAAATGTCTTGTGTTATATCTCATTTAACTAAAGCTGGTTACATATGACTGCTATCTGGGCCATGTAAAATAAGAAAAAAGAATCTCTAAAGTGTTATAATGCTTTCATATTTTTATCACATGAATACGTCATGAAAACAACTCGGGTGTGTAAAAATAATGACTTATTTCCAATGATTGTGGAGAAGTACAGAAAACTGTATAAAACAATAGTATCAATAGTCAGTCTGCTTCTACAACGCCCAGCTTCACTGCTTGGCAAAGATGCAGTAAGTACCGTAACAGTAAAGACTCGTATGCTTAGGATTGGTCACGGTGAGATCATTTATCTTGAACTGTTCTCAGAACATGGATAATAATATTGATATAATTATGATATAACGTTTGATTCTATATTTTATAATTGTGTGATTTTGCTGATTTTCTGTATTGAACATCATAGATAGTTGAAGCATTTATAATTCACATGAATTTTTGTTCATTTGTATTCCCTGTCTTGATTTTCCAGTATCAAATAAATGTGAAGATGGTGCGAAGATCGGAGAGATGTGTGCTGCAACTCAATCCTGTTTCAATGACTGGTCTGATAAAGGCTTTAGCTGTTTATGTCCAAACTTGTCTGTATATAATGATACAGATAAGAAGTGTAACTTTTTACCAAACCATGAAACATGTCCAGACGGTTTCTGTAAACATAATGGAAACTGTTCTTTTAATGTCCATTCAAAACCAAAATGCAGGTTCGTTGATCTTTTTTTTTAACCTTCAATGAAGGACTAATGATTGTCACTACTGAGTAGAACTTGATTTGATTATTAAGTAAAAAATGGTCAAAAACTTGATTTGAAGTGATTTGATTATCCAGTAAAAATTGGTACAAAACGTGATTTGAAGTGATTTGATTATTCATCCAGTAAAATTGGGTAATCTATTCGAAATTTGTTCTTCTTTGCATTCTGTTTTACTTTTGATTGGTCTAAACTACACAAAGATCTAACTACTTCTATTCTCTTTGGAGTTGAAGCCATTGGTTAAACTTGTTCTGGTACAGGTTGTCTGATATTGATTAAATGAAAGGTCAGTGTTGTTGCCAGTATTATTTGTACAGGTGTGTATTATTTATGTTTCAGATGTACAGCTCAATATACTGGAGATCATTGTGAGATAGATAAATGTTCTAATTATTGTATTATTGGTGATTGTGTTGTTTCTACAAAACATGAAGGACAAGTAGAGTGCAGGTAATAATACTAATATAACTGTTTTCTCTTTTAACTTTCATGGTAATTTCCAAAAATTTCATGGTAATTTCTCATAAAAGCGATCCTTCAAACTGTGGGGAAGGGTTCAATCCTGGTATTTGCCAAGAAAGTTCCCTAGGATTTTCCATCATAGTTTCCCCTTGTTAGTGGTGTAGGTCAAATGGCCTGACAAGGAACATGTCTAATGATTTGGATGGGAAGGAAAAAAGTGGTGCTGTCCCGTAAGAAAACTCTTGACATTAGAATAGGCCGTAGCACTATTGTCCAGGTTATATTTCCATCATAGCACACTGCATGACATACGCCATATTCATTAGCCAAGTCGGGGCATAAAATTAGGATGTTAAACACAGTTTCATTTCATTGTTTGATAAACTATAATTACTTACTGTCAATTTTTAATATTACAGATGCCATGAGGGTTATAGAGGTGAAAGGTGTGATCAGTATATTTGTACCGGACATTGTAAAAATAATGGTAAATGTCATGTGAAAGACGACAAAGCATATTGTTTGTAAGTATATTACTCTTGTCTTTCGCCAATCATAGACCAATGTGATTTTGAAACATGATCAAATATCGTTCTGTATTTGGAAGTATGCAGTTGAATTCATAGCCTAATAGATACAGATGTATGTCACATGACTACATGACTACATGATCAGAAAGTTTGGAAGCAAATAGCTGTAAAAATATAAATTAGAATAGTCAATGAGAAATTGGCATTACCGAATGATTTTAAATTTCTCAGTAGTTAGCTGGACCACCCCTGAGACATATAAAACTGATATGATTGGTCAGTAATAATTAATGGGTTCCAGATCGCCACTGAGTTACATGTCCAGGGATCTTTTATTATTCTTATTTGATATTCAGAAATCCAATATGGCAGTTGAGGGAATTGTGTGATAGTCATTCACATGAGTCTTGAAATGGTGACGATTGATTGCTGAGATCAGCTATTGTAGTGTTCGCGCTTTCACTGTGAATCATCTGAGTCCACATTTAATTAACATTAAGGATATAACTGGCCTGTGGTTAAGTATGGTCCTGTGCATCCATTATAGGGGGGCATTCCAATCAAATAGTGAAATTAAAATTAGGTTATTTTAAATTATATCAGTGTTAACTTTGGTGTACAAGCTAAGGTGCCCTATTTAATTTGAGTAGGCCACTAGGCCCTGTATTTAAGTCTTGGGTGCATACAATCCTGAAGTTGACCATGGTCATCAAGAAACCTCTGCATGCTACAGCATGTGATATGTAACTTATTGTTGATTATTTCAGCTGTTCATCTGTTCATACCGGTGAACTTTGTGAGAATGATACAACAGATACTTGTCATCAATGTAAAAATGGGGCCACCTGTGAAGCAGAGACGTCTGGTTACGTTCGTTGTAACTGTCCAGATAAGTTCAAAGGTATGAAACCTTCATGATCTATACTAATATTTGTGACTGTCGTTTGTCTGTCTGTCTGTCTGTCTGTTCGGGGTTGGCGGCTACACTAGGTCTGCCCCGAGTCTGAAATTTGGGGTATGGGGGTAGCTCGGACCGGGGAGTAACATAGGCCAGGTGGCGTTAGTCTACCACTTCCGGTTTCGGGGTTATGACCCCCAAGCGAAGCCGGTCTGTTTTGGGTTGGCAGCTACACTAGGTCTGCCCCGAGTCTGAAATTTGGGGTATATGGGTAGCTTGGACCGGGGAGTAACATAGGCCAGGTGGCGTTAGTCTACCACTTCCGGTTTCGGAGTTATGACCCCCGAGCGAAGCCTGTCTGTTCGGGGTTGGCGGCTACATCTGCCCCGAGTCTGAAATTTGGGCTATAGGGGTAGCTCGGACCGGGGAGTAACATAGGCCAGGTGGCGTTAGTCTACCACTTCCGGTTTCGGAGTTATGACCCCGAGCGAAGTCTGTTCGAGGTTGGCGGCTACACTAGGTCTGTCCCGAGTCTGAAATTTGGGGTATAGGGGTAGCTCGGACCTTGGAGTAACATAAGCCAGGTGGCGTTAGTCTACCACTTCCGATTTCGGAGTTATGACCCCCGAGCGAAGCCGGTCTGTTCGGGGTTGGCGGCTACATCTGCCCCGAGTCTGAAATTTGGGCTATAGGGGTAGCTCGGACCGGGGAGTAACATAGGCCAGGTGGCGTTAGTCTACCACTTCCGGTTTCGGAGTTATGACCCCGAGCGAAGTCTGTCTGTTCGAGGTTGGCGGCTACACTAGGTCTGTCCCGAGTCTGAAATTTGGGGTATAGGGGTAGCTCGGACCGTGGAGTAACATAGGCCAGGTGGCGTTAGTCTACCACTTCCGATTTCGGAGTTATGACCCCCGAGCGAAGCCGGTCTGTTCGGGGTTGTCGGCTACACTAGGTCTGCCCCGAGTCTGAAATTTGGGGTATAGGGGTAGCTCGGAACGGGGAGTAACATAGGCCAGGTGGCGTTAGTCTACCACTTCCGGTTTCGCAGTTATGACCCCCGAGCGAAGCCGGGTATCCTGCTAGTATAGATATATATATATAAAAAAAAACCACTCATCCTTAAGATTTATTCATTTGAGATTTTGGTAAAACAAGCAATTTGTTTTAGCAAATACAGAAAGCAAACAATGAGGTAGTTTATGTATACCAATGTTTTTGAAACAAAATATATTATATGTGCTTTGATTAATAAACACATCCATGGCGTACACATACAAGATCACTTGATTCTCAAGCATAGCAGTGCATGTGTGACCATAGAAAAATAAATAACCTTTGTCTCATGATGAATAAAGTAAGATCTTCAACTCCAGCCATGAAGGAGGGTTGGATGGCCGAATGGTTAGTGTTGTGTTGGGATCAATACCTTGATATGCATTCTATATATCAGCACGTGGATGGACGCTTATATTCGTATATCAAACCCCCCTGTATATCAAAAACAAGACATTCTCGTGGTACGACCACACTTCGAAGTATGCGTAGTCTTTTATTTACTTCAATATTTATTACAGAGAAGAGTGGGCAGATAACTCCCATCTCACGTGACTCATATTACAATAACGATCATCATGATCTCTAGAAAAGGATCAATACGACATTAGTGTGTGCGCGTTGTATCAAAAGGTCTGTCATTGAGTCAACTGGCATAGTTTCGTTTCCCCAGTTGTATGTGACAAGGAGTAGGGTTGCCTGCCCAACCTCATTTCGTGTCCACTGGTTTCCTCCCACTGCTAAAGACCCAAACGCCCAAGCTAATTATTGAAATAAAATTGAACCATGTTAGTCCCAAAATGACCTAGTTTGTGTTGAGTGGAGTTAATTTTAAACTTATATTAAATGTGGTATTTTTAAACATTGACATTTTTGTTGAAATTTTGGGAGTCTTTTAAAATAATGAATATTGTTTTTTATAGGGAAATACTGTGATGAGTGTACAGATTTATATTGTTATAATAATGGAGTTTGTCAGAGATATGACAATGGTACAGCCTACTGTGCATGTCCTAATGGGTTCTCATCTGCCACCAACTGTGAACGTAATGATTGTGAAGTAATTTGTAAATCAAATGGAAAAGATAGAAGTAAGACAATCATATATTTTACTTGATAACTGCACTGATTTAAATCTTACTAAGAGTTATTTTTACCTACAAATTTCAAAAGTGTATGATAAAAAATACCAAAGGGGTAGTTTAAAAGACAGGGTCATACATCAAGGTGTAACACCCAGTGACTTTGAATATGAATACTCCACAGATCTGGTTATTATTTGTTTTCTTTCAGGTAAATGTAATTGTCCATGTCAGCCTGGATTTTCAGGACCTGACTGCAAACGAAAATTACCAACGTGTAATAATGTTAACTGTTACCATGGTAACTGTACTATAGGTTAGTTTTTTTCAAATATTACATTTATGTTTATTACAGTAAATGAGTAAAGAATAATATATGTTTCACATTTTTGTTACAGTAGATGAGAACAATTAATGCCATTGTAATAATGTCTTATAACAGTAGCTGGGAAATCTAAGTGGTCATTGTAATAATACTTTTAAAACAGTAGATGAGTTGGCCGAGTGTTAATGCAAATAATGTTTTTTGGAAAACTAAATTAGAAATCTAATGTGTAAATATAATATTTTATAGCATGAAATGAGACAGTCAATAAATGTAATAATAATTTTATTACAGTATATGTGAAATCGAAGTGTGAATATAATGATATTTTATTTGATAAATAAGAAAGCAAAGTTTAAATGTATTAATGATTTTATTACAGTAAATGAGAAAGCAAAGTGTAAATGTAATGATATGTATGAAGGTTCACGATGTGATAAATGTAAATGTGAACCAGAAGGTGAATGTATACAACAAATCGATGGTAAAATAGTTTGTAGGTAAGTATAACTCTACATTTTGCTTTGTTCATTGAATTATCACAAACATGAAATATACCTGCCAGCCAAATGCATATTTTTTTGATTCTAATGTTTAAACGTGAATAGTATTGACTCTCGTGTAGATTAAAATTATGTGTCCTAATGAAAGTAATAGTGTGAAGCTTCAACACACAGAGAGATGTCACAAATTTATTGAAGACAGTAATATTAACAATATTATCAGCCCTAAAAAAAAAATGATCCTTAAGAGATTGATGCTATGTGGATGTGAATAAAACACAGATTACCTTGATAATATCTTTATTTTACTTACATGTATTTATAAAAGAATGGTATTCATTTCTTTTTTAGTTGTAATGCTGGTTTTACAGGCCAGTTCTGTGAATCTAAGGAATCAATGACTACAGGTTCCAGTCCACTTGTTGCAAGTAAGTTAAATCATATAACATAAGTTTGTTGTCATATAATCCTTCAAATTCAATAAACCAAATCTTTATCAATCACACATGGTGTCTTTAATTTAAATGTGTCTGTAAAGATGGCAGATTTCTGCAAGACAGTTAGGAATATCCATTAATTTCAAGGTTTTTTAAATAGTTTATGCAAGCATACTTTAAGTCTTTGGTGACAATCATCCAAGATATGTTTATGAAATTTTGTACAATATCAAAACAGATTGTGACTATTATTTGTTATTGTTAATAAAAATGACTTCTGTTTCTTTTTCAGATCCTTTAACAATTGTTACTCCAATTATCGTTGTATTTATATTGATAATATTAATTATTACTGCTGTTATATGTAAGCGTCGTAGAAGGTAAGTACAAACAAACAATCATTTCACAACTTTGAATTTTCCGAAACTGAATTCATATATAGTTGAGCACAGTGCTGTCTCAATAACCAGAAGATCCTGTGTTTGATCTCAGTGATGGCCAAAAAAAATCCCCCTCGGTTTTCCAGACTTGTTTCACATTTTCCATGGTGCTGAATAGAAGGCTTTGCATGTGTCTACATTGGTGTGAACATAAAGGAACCATTTGGCAGTTGATCGAAGGCAGAAATGTGCTGTCCAGTCACGATTTCCCTCATTGCATGACGTATGTTGGTGCAGAAAAAAAGGACATTAAACCCCATGTTATTTCCATTGATGAGTGGATTGGAAATCAGAATCAAATGGAATCGGGTTTAATATTTCGTCAATACAATACTTCAGTCATTATGAGACTAACACAATATGGTTTTATGTTTCTTATTATTAGCATGGTTCCTCCTTGTCAGTGATGCAGGACAGAGGGCCTGACAAGGACGCTGTCTAGTCGTTCGATTGGGCTGAAAATCTGAGGTCCCATGTACACATTGACAGTTGGAATTCGATATAAGAGTAGGCCGTAGTGCTGCTGTCCGGGCAAAATTTCCCTCACAGCAGACTGTATGGCGTATGACCATCTTCATGAGCCCAGTTCGGAACAAAACAGTAGATCTTTAAACCCCATTTTTACCCCATCCAGCCAACAGGTTACCATATTTCTAATATATTTGTTTTGTTTGAATATTGTTTCTATAACCTTTATGTCTTATCTCATACAGTTGGCAGCAATATCGGCATAAACGAATGCAGGAACCAAGAAACCTGGATGTTAATAATCCTATTTATCTTCAAAATGATGAAGATGTTGAAGATTTAGAGCCTGTAGAAACTTCTCCTATATATACAGGCAACAAGGTAAAAAGCCAACTGTTCAATTATTTCCAGTATAGTTATCTACATAAATGATCAAATAGAAATTTACAAAGTCTTTAGAGCAGTGTTCTGATCTAGGTCTTTTGTAATCCATTTTAGTCTCCAATTGATATATATATATATATATATAACTGTAGATTAAAATTTAACCAGCTTGGCGACAGTGAATTTATAAACAGTATAATTAAAGCCTTTATTACAAAATGAACAGAAATAACAAAGCTGTGGCATGTTTCACAAAATTTTAACTAAGATAAAATCCAAATTTTAGTAATTTGATTGGATAATATTAAATTGATTTTAGTGCTTAGCCAATTAAAATTGAAGTATATACTAAAATTTGGATTTAATCTTTAGTTAAGATTTCGAGAAACAGGGCCCAGATTTTGATTTTCTACTTGTGGCTGACATGAAATACTTTTCACAAACAGATCACACTGCAATATGTTTTCCATCTTAGTTTTGAATTTTGAAATAAATGTTATAACATTTATTTGAGTAATTTAAAACTACTAGATGTATCACCATTATATATTAATAACCAACTCTGAGTTTTTGTATTGTTTGTGCTTGTTATTTTTGTATAATTTCTTTTTGTTTGTTTGTATTGTTTACTTTACATAGGTTTTAACTCACCATGTTCACATTAGAATTTAAACATCTCTATTACTAATATATAATATTTCTATTTTATCTTTTCTCTAAATCAGTATCTAATATTTATATCTATTTTATTATATACAGAGAATTAATTTTCTGAGACGCTTCAAAAAGGTATAATTCCAAATTTTAATCATCAGCTTTTCCCATATCTTTATGGAATCATTTCATAAAAACAGATAAAGCCCTGCCCCTCTCCCCCTAAATAATATTTTTGAGACAATTCCGTAGAAAACGGTAAATTGCACAGGTACCTATGGCATGGAATATTTAATTTTGGTTTAGGTAACATTAAATTATAAAAGCATGGACAAGGGTGTAAGAAGAAAATAATTTCAGAATGGTCCAATTAAATCTATTGTGAAGAATTCCTATATTAAATTTGCACATCTTAAGCACATTTCTGCATGTCATATGTATAGCCATTGAGTACCGGTATATTTATAAGTCCCTTCCTGGTATATATAGATTTGCACTCCTCAACAGCCTGTCTGTCATTCAATCAGTTTGCCTAAAGATTTTAAGCAGAAATTTGATCCATAGATGTAGTTAGTAGGGAATATACAGACCAAGATCAGAGTTTCATCACAGTTAACCAGCTTTTAGAAGAATAACGTCCCTTGAATTTAAAGTCATGTTTCAATACATGTAATTAGATTTGATGAGTACATTGTACTTTATTATGTACTTCATTATAGTACATTGTTTAATAAATGCTATAGCATAGAATGATTTTTATATGCTTACACATGTAAATATCATCCATTTTATTCCCTCTTGTCTTATGAAAACTCTACAAGTTATTGATGGGGTTTTGTTACATTTGAAATTGTTAAAGTAAGTGGTTTTTGGATAGGAAAACTAAATAAAGAACTTGATTCCCCACTATTGTGAATGAAATATAGTACAGGCTTTCCTCTAGACCATTGGATGGTCACAATTGTTAATGGATTGAAATACATTCGCTATTTAATATTTTAATTCAAAAATATTTAAAATCTAGATTACGCTATTCTTTTGAAAACTTCCAACATTCATAAGTTAGCTCAGAATAAAGTAATTGAATGAAATTATTTAATATATTCCTTTTTTATTATCCATTTTTAAACTATTATAACGAGAACTGTCAGCTCTTTATCTAAATCTTGTATGTAATACATCATTAACTAACATTTATTGGTATTGGCTTTATAACTGCTGGTGGGTACATTAAGGCAGATCATGTCTAGATTTATGTTAGAAACTGTAGATGCTTTAATTAATAATGCATGTGATAATAAGATTCTCAATTAACATATCTTCTTATTCTGTCTTTGATCATTTTTATCATTCTTTGTATTTCTGTAAACTGTCTTGTGGTGTTTTATTTCTTTCTTGTGAATGTATATTTAATTTGACCAAGTTTATTTTGATTACCAGGTTCATGCTGTATATACACATCCCATTTGAGGATGAAATATCATAACACCCCTGATATACTAGACTCTTGACTAAATGTCCCAAGTGCGAATCTCAGCATGATAGGAGAAGAGCATTGGAATTTTTCAAGCCTAGTTACACCTTTTATTATTGTATTGGTACTTTCAACAAAATCAGTGTTTAAATGTTGAAAAAAAACCATGTTGTACAGCAAAGATTTATCAACAGATGTTTCAACATATAAGTGATACTCAACTAGCAGATAATATATCGTGGTTTTTTATTGACAGAGAGTCACAACATACATAGATTAGCAAGAGGCCCCAATGCCTCCAGGCAACTGCCCAGCTAGCCCATGTCTTAAGACAGCCCTGGCCATACTGTCTCCCAAATTATACTAAGATCTGCCCTTTTGCAACATACACAAGGTACTAATGTAGAAAAATATAGATGTCGCGAAGTGAGGCAACTAATTCTCAATACTCAATTAAACATTTATCTTTTTTTCCATATTTTTTCAGAATACAAATTTTGCCAACCCAATGTATGATGTGTACAATGGTGAAAGTATGACTATGTTACTTCAGTCGCGTGAAAATGAAGAAAATCAGTTATTAGAGGACGGTTTAACTGTGCGTTACTTTGGGACTGGTGAAGTTACAAATAATAACACAACTAGCAAAGCGTGAGACTGGGATATTGTTTTATAGCAAGTAGTTATATTTTAGTGTATATAATGATGAATGAATGGAAGATGATGCCGTTATGATGAAATCTCAAACTGCTGATAAAAAGACAAAATATCAAAATTGAGTGGTGCACAATTATTCCAGATGATTTTTTTTTTTAATTATTTTTATTTATAGACAGATTTTAATGTTTAATAAAAGTTATGTATAGAGAGAGATCTATGGTATAGACATTTTACGTGCTGGAGTCAATCGAATGCTCGATTTTAAACTTGTTGAAAGTGACTCATTTTATTTTGGATGGTACAGCTGATTTTATTGTGATACGCAAGAATGGCACAGAATTAACTATTGACTGAAAAGGCAAATATACGAAAGTTCAGGTGTGAAATCTGTGTGAGAAATATTAATGGTTGTGTCAGTTGCCATGGAAACTATATTTTGAGGGATGTAACTCTGTTGTGATCTAACTCCAGTTTAGATTGAAATTTTAAATATAAGTTTACACTTGATAATTTTAAATTTTAATGTTACTATCATTGTTAATATTATGAGCACCACAATATATTACAAAATAATATTATGAGCACTACAATATATTGTCAAAAGGTTTATTACGTAATAATATTTTGAGCACTGCAATATACTGTACAAGACTTTTATTATGTAATGAATGTGTGAAGGTATGTCTGATGGGGAAAATCTTTTTTTTTTTATCATCTGTATATAATTGTAATATATATATTATAATAAGATAATTCCCTCACTGTTTATGGGAAGATGTAATTAATTATAATGAATATCTATATATTGATTAACTGTATGTTTTATATGTTTTGTATTTGTTTTACTTTTGAGGCATTTTGCCATAAAACGATGTTTTAAAATTTCAACTCTGCCTTTCTTAAAGAGATAAAGAACTTTTAATCAGGATAATTAATTAATACTTCTTTCTGTCTATTTAAATTTTTTAGTAGTGCTACTATTGTTTTATACGTCTAATTTATTTTACATGGAATTATTCGTTAATTTTTGTTTATATATCTGTTTAGAAGACCCAAAATTTTTGTATTTACCAAAAATAAAGTTTTTTTATTTGCCTTTGGTTCGGGAAGTATTCCATAATACGATAATTCTATCTACTCACTTTGATGTTAATGATTTTCTTTTGTGGTATTTTTCATTCAGTTAGTGATTTTATTAAATTGTTGCGCCAATTTATTTGTACACATTCCATATCATTATTTAAAATTAGAGTTAGAATGTTGATTTGATCTGGAAGTATATAATCAGAAATAGTCACAACAAAGCAGCTCACCTTGAAGAACAAATCAGGGCTATTTAGACATAGGATTTGGATAAGCATGGGTATTTTTAGGTAAACAGTGTTGTGCATATTTACAGTTTTAAGAGTAAGAAGAGTTCATTCTATGTCTTGGTTTTTCAGCTGAATGTATATTAGTTTGTGTATAGAGTTTTTATATTCATTAATGTTGTGTAGACTGCAGATTCTCTTATTTAGGAAGACAGTAATTTTCTGAAATGATAAATATGGACTCAGCTTAAATTATATTGATAAATTTATTTTAGACCAGTTTAACAATAGAGGGTTATTTTGGTTTGTTTTTTTACTTTTTACTTATTTCTAAATTTGGGTCATACATTATAGGTTGTTTATGTATAATACACCCTGTTAATTGTAACATACTCTGTGTAAAGGTTAATACACAGAGACGTCAGAATTTATAGATTTTTACAGTAAAAACTGTACATCCAATACAGATTCAGGTTAATGAAATTTTATAGTATATTTTAGACAAGCCACAAACTTTCCATGTTAGGCCTGTAGGTTGTTTGTAGATTAATGCATGGGTTGTATTTTGTATACAGCCAGAGGTTAATCATAAGATGCTTTGTTTCTTGAGAAAATCAAACACAATTGATATTATTTATATTTTGTATTTTATGAACATGTGATTTGTTATAATATGATAATATAAACTTGTGATAATTGATGGGTCCCATACTGTGACTATATATAACCAAAGACAGCATTAATTTCTGATATCCCCATCCCACCCCAACCACCCGATGCTTACTCTCTTTTAATTAAATTATGGCTCCTACTTATAACATCTGTCCTTTTGTAAATTTAACTACATGTATGGTCAGTTTTATAAACATTTGGAATAGACAGCTAGTCCCGATTTTATGAAACTCTGAATTATTATGCCAACAGTGTACGATGGTATCAAATGGCATCAAGATAGTGTAAACCTACAATGGCATCAACACATTTTTTGACTCGATTCATGAAACAAGTTGAAAAAAGGACTGGATATTGTGTTAGAGTGAATGAAAGCCAGAATCTGGTTTTCTGTATGAAAGCAGGCCCGTAGCCAGCTTGCTAGCTTCGGAGGGGCAGTGAAGTTTTTAGGGGGGGCATACTCGGCACAGTCTACAGTAGGAATTTTAGAACTATAGTCGGCAAATTTTTTTTCGGGGGGGCATTGCCCCCCCTTACCCCCCTCTGGCTACGGGCCTGTATGAAAGACAATCCAAACAGAAATAATTACTTTCTTCCATACAGTGATTGATTTCTGGTATGATGTATTAAGGTATATAGAATAGCCAATGTATATTTTATATATAGTTTACAGCTTTTAATTACCTCAGATATAATTATAGGAACAGTATATTTGTATAAAGATTATAGCTTATCTATGTTTAACTTCATGACTCTTGACTTCACAATGATCTGGGTAGGGGGGTCTAGAACTATGTAACACAAAGTAACCGATACACAGATATAAACTGGTAAATTGGTATCTACATGGTAGATCACTTTGAAACGCTCAATCAAGGCCATGAGGAAGGGGATATTAACCAAAAATAATAATTAAACACTGATTTTTAGCTTTCTTATTAATAATCATTAACTTGGGTAACTATCAAGGAGGTTTTGCTATAAGTATTATTTACTGATGAACTTTAATATTAATACTGCGCTAATAGAAGGAAATCCATGATAAAAGGCTTTACTTGATAGATAGTAAGAGATGAAAGTATAGCTGTGTTGAAAGTATAACTGTGTTGTCTGTTCTCTTTGTTCTATGTTAGTTATCCAGGCGTGGGTCTATTGGTTGTGTATTGATACAAAACTCAATTGTTCATTTGCTCCATAAGGAATTTCAGACAGGCAATAATGTCATTTCCTGACATTTTCAAAAACTATATGAATTTTACTGGTAAAAAATAATGCAAATCAGAGCCATGGACCTGGGGTACCAACAGAACACTGGGTCATAGGGTAACTAAGGAGCCCTGGGTCACAGGTAACTAATAAAGCCTTGGACTAAAGGTTCTAAGAGAGCCCTGGGTCATAGGTAACTAACAGAGTAAGTGAACCGTGGGGAAAAGCCAAAATGAGAGGTATGAGGTTAAATGGATACGTACTGTAAATATAAATATTTTAATTAATATTGCTAATGAACTGGCCTCAATAATGAATATTTAACAATGACAATGTGCTTTTATATGTATTTTTTGATGTTTGTTTTGAGTGTCTTGTCTTCCAAATGTATCAATAAAATGAAATTTTGTTTTTATATTTAAAAATAAGTTTTAATAAATTGTAGTAATTGTAGATACTTCCAGATTTACTGACATCTTTTCTGACAAAAAAATATTGTTTAATGTTTTGTTTTGTTTTCTGACTGCTGAATTAATTTTAATAATAGCCCCAGTCCAATGAATACAATAATTGGCATTACAAAATTGCACAAAATGTGATTTACTGTATTAATGGCACATTTGATAAAATGCTAATTTGTCAGAAAAGATGTGCAAGTAGAAATTGTTTGGTGCTATTACCTGACTACTACAAGAGAAAAAAATATTGAAATAAATACCATAGATATATCATAAACTTTGTTAATTTTGATTTTTGTTCAAAGAAAAAGTAATTCTCTCCCCTTTCCCCATCATGCATAGTACTAATTCCTTATTATATTGCTCAACTACATAAGTCAATTTGGTACAGAAAAGTAAACCATTTAACCCCATTTCATTCATTTTGCAAGACCACATCTATGAAGCCAAATTCTTCTTATTTGTGTTATATTCCAATAGCTGTGCATTAAAGGAGCTACAGGGGCTCAGTGAGTAAGATGTCGCTTTGCTAACCTGGATGACCTGTTTCCGACCCAAGAAAGTTCATCAGGATTTTCCAGTGTGGTTCCTGTCAATGGAGCAGGACAGAGGGCTCAGCCAGGGACAACGTATAGTCATTCAGATGTGAAGAAAACAGAGGTCCCGTGTACACAATGACATGCACATTAAAGAAACCTTGGCAGTTGGAATTCAATATATAGAACACTGTATGGCATATACCCGTCTTCATTAGCCCAGTCGGAGCAGCACAATAGAACTTTAAACCCCATTTCATTTCAGCTGTACATTAAGGGGGTATAACTCTGTCTTGATGGCTGCATAGTGACTCCTTTCTCCATTTTTGTATAGGTCTCATTCTGCATTTGATGGGGTTGTGAAGTTAGGACTCGTATCTGGAATGTCCCTGAGTTCTAATCATGACATGGGCAGAAAAGAAACTCAAGATATTTTTTTATTTCTGGTTTTCATTTGTCCAGGTTGTGACCCCTGCAGGGCTGACAAGGAAAGTGGGTTTTAATTGTTTGGATGGGACAAAAAACTACCAACAAGGTCCTGTGTAAAAATTGATAGTCTACAATCCAAGGGGGTTGGATAGCCAAATGGTTAGCATGTGTGCACTGTATCATAAGGTCTATCATTGAGTCAACTGGCGTGGTTTTGATTCCCGGGTTGTATGTGACAAGGAGTAGGGTCGCCTGTCCAACCTGGTGGGTTTTCTCCGGGTCCTCGGTTTCCTCCCACTGCTAAAGACCCCTACGCGCAAGCGAATTATTGAAATAAAATTGAACCATATGTTAGTTCCGAAATGACCTAGTTTGTGTCGAGTGGATGTTAAACCCCATTTCTCTCCCTCTCTCTCCGGGCCAAATTCATGTATTGTACACCTAACTTTTGAATTTTAAAAAAATAACGCAATTTGGTCTGAAAGAAACACAAGTAAAATGTCAACAGGATGTTCAACACTATTTCAATCCATGGTTTCCGTAATTACAACAATATTGTCTGATTTATATCTTCATATGGGGACCAATATCAAGACAAATTGAAAAATATATATTCACAAATTAATTTATTCTTCTTTACACACAGTTCAACACCCCCACTTCATCAGGTCTACATTCTCAATATTTACATTTATTTATATCTCCCACTTTTTTTTTACGTTCCATATTAGGCTATTTCAGTATAAGCACCATAAGTGTATGTAATATCACATGTAATAAAATACATAATTAACTATAATTTCACAATCTCAACAGGTATTATTTTCAACTTCTGTCCCACATAGTATATAATTTTATAATACCCGATTAAAGAAATGTACAAGTAGTTGATACAAATTCTTTAATATACAAAATACATGTAGCTACATATTGTACATCCCAAAAATTTTTGATAAATGATTGTTACCTTACCTCAGTTCCTCATTAAAATTAACACCAAGGTAACCCTAACGTAAGGCAATAAAAATTAATAATTTCAATAAAATACAAGTAAAGTTAAATCGAATACCCATTACAATGACTATAAGATTTACAGATTACTATAACTTAATAAGGAGTTCATTCTAGTATTAACTGGGGGCTATATAAAAGTATTATTTATTATCGGTATTGTGCATTTATAGCTCGTGCAATAATCAATCTTCTAACTTCACTTGTACCAGCTCCAATTTCATAAAGTTTAGCATCTCTCAATAATCTGCCTGTTGGATAATCGTTGATGTAACCATTTCCACCCAAAATCTGTATAGCATTCAATGCCATTTGTGTCGCTGCCTCGGCTGTGTAAAGAATAACCCCGGCACAATCATTTGGATGACGTTCACCTCTGTCAAGTGCTCTAGCTACGTTATAGACATAGGAACGACATGCATTAAGAGTTGTGTACATGTCAGCCATTTTTCCCTGAATGAGTTGGAAGTGTCCAATTTTTGTTCCAAAGCATTCTCTTACATGAGCATAATCAAATGCAACATCACAACAAGCTTGCATGATACCTAAGGGGCCTGCTGACAATAAACATCTCTCTATGTCTAAACCACTCATCAAAACATACACACCCTTATTTCTCTCTCCTAGCATATTTTTTGCCGGAACTTTACAGTCTTCAAAAACAAGTTCTGATGTATTTGATCCCCTCATTCCAAGTTTATCCAATTTCTGAGCTGTTCGAAATCCTGGGTAATCTTTCTCTACAATGAAAGCGCTTATTCCATGTTGTGGTTTTGTTTTAGCACTTGTGTCAGTTTTAGCATAGACAATCAAAACATCTGCATCCGGTCCATTTGTTATCCAAAATTTGTTTCCATTAAGTACAAAATGATCGCCTTTATCTTCTGCTCTCAGTTTCATTGATACAACATCAGAGCCGCTGTTCGGTTCACTCATGGCCAATGCTCCAACATGCTCACCAGTAATTAATTTTGGTAGATATTTCGTTTTCTGTTCCTCATTACCATTTCGAACAAGCTGATTGATGCACAGGTTTGAGTGGGCTCCATAACTCAGGGCAATGCCTGCCGATGCTCTAGACATTTCTTCCATTACAAGACAGTGGTCAAGATAAGACATTTCAGCACCACCATACTCACTAGGGACAGTGATTCCATGAAGACCCAATTTACCACATTCAAGCCAGAAAGATCGCATATCTTTGAACTCATTACTTTTGTCTATCTCGGCTGCTTTCGGCGCAAGTTCCTTCTGTGTGAACTGAAAAACGCTTTGTCGCAGCTGTTTCTGTTCTTCTGTCAAACCAAATAAGTTGTCGTCGATGGGAAAGTATGAACAACATCTTGTTTGTTGTATTCTAAGGACTGGATTCTGTAAAATTCTGTTGACGGCAGACGAAATTTTCTTCCAGGCAGCCATTTTTTCAAGAGAGTTATCTTTCCTTAGCTAAAAATCGTGAATAGATGTATTAATACTATTAAATCCTATTAGTATTACTAAAAAAATGTATTAGTCTTTAAATTAGGCCAATTTATATTCTTACCATGGTCCTTATTATAATACATTATAAGGTGCATGATATTATCGGTAGGGTAGGCCTAGGCCTACATTTATTGTCTGAGAATTGTTGTAATAAATACAATAATAATTAGGCCTACCTGTTTCAATGAATGCCTATGTATGTGTGTACGGCTGCAGGGCAGAGGGTCTGACAAAGGAGCAGTGTCTAGTTGTTTGGATGGGACAAAAAAACAGATCCTGGTTGGCGTGCACTTAAGAGAATCCTTGACAGTTGGAATTTGAAATAAAATAGGCCCTAGTGCTAGGGTGACCACCTTTGCTTGATCAAGTTGCGGTACATTGTCTTTTTAAAAAAAAATCTGAGGAACTAGGCCCAATGCATAACAATGTTGATATATAGTTACTTCACTTTTCGACATAGCAACAATAGACAACCAAGCTATGAAATATTCACACAAGCTTGGTTTGTATTCATATATGTTTTACCACCAATGTTTTAGGATAATAATACATAGCAACAATATCAGTTCAAGTCATATAATATTCATATCAGCTTGTTTTGAATTCATAGGCCATATGAAATCAGCATCATCTTGCATTTCAAAAAACGAACACAATTTCTTTTGCAGCTGTAAAAATTACTTTCTTTCAAACAAAATACAAAAATGATTAATTTTTGCGACTGAACCGTTTGAAAGGATATGTGAAGTTGAATGAAATTTTCATAATTAAATCATGCCGAACGTCAGTTAAACGTATTGAGATTTTATCGCTAATGTTTAATCATGCTGAATGTTGTGAAACTTATTAAGATTTTATGATAACTAAGTATAAATGATGTTATACTGGTTAAAGATACATTATTTAAAAGCTAAATTTGCATATTGGCTTCAAATGTTGTATAAATAATTAATGCGACATGTATTTACATACCAGGCCCATAATCAACTCTCTAGAACTTCAGACGGTTTTGATTTTCAACAGATTTATTATTTAATTCAAAAATGACAAACGAGACTACACTATTCTGTAAATGACGACAACTCCTCTCAGAATGAAGTAATTTGACTGAAATTCTCAACATATTCCTCTTTCATTATCTATTTTTTAAACTATTATTGCGAGAACTATCAGCACTTTATCTAAACCTTACGTAATGCATCTTTTACTTTCCCTGATTGATCACAATGTTTTATAATATCAATAAATAATACAAGACCTTTACACTATCCTCAGTTATGCATCAATAGATATATTTGAATTTTAATAATTCAGAGACGACAAAGCGAAAGCAGATGTAACTGATACTAAATAAAATCAAGTATATAATATAGATTAAAATAAAGGAGAGAAATGGGGTTTAACATCAACTCGACACAAACTAGGTCATTTCGGGACTAACATGGTTCAATTTATTTCAATATTTTGTTTGCGTGTAGGGGTCTTTAACAGTGGGAGGAGACCATTGGACCCGGAGAAAGCTCACGAGGTTGGACAGGCAACCCTACTCCTTGTCATGTACAACCGGGAATCAAAACCACACCAGTTGACTCACTGACAGATACAGCCGGCCCATGCTAACCATTCGGCCACTTCCAATAGCTTTCCATTGCATATAAAATAGAAATGCATAGTGTTCGGTCACATTTTCCAAGTTGTAAGTGAATAGTTGGAGATGTTAGAAAATGTATTTTCTGTGAACTGAGATTTCTACTGGTAGTGCAGGTCTTTACAATATTTTTTTTTTATATATATATAAGACGTGGATTAAATATATTCATTTAAAGATACATGAGTTAAGATAAAGATAAAGAGCTGACCATTCTTACTATAATAGTTCGAAAATAGATAATGCAAAATGAAAATACTGAAAATTTCATTTAAATTACTTTATTCTGACCCAAGTTATCACTGTTTGTAGTTTTGACAAGATGTGTGCATTGTAGTAACCAGAGCACTGGTATATTCGAGACTTAGCAACGCTTTCCCATTTTTAAATTAAATTTTTAAATGGCAAACCATTCTAATCTAGTTAAAATCTCGAGTATCCAATTTCAGGCCTAAAGAAAGACCTGCAGTAGGCAGATTTACTTCTTGCATAATGTATATTTAACTTTATTTTCTTTGAGTATGGTGGTGGCCGTGGTGTTGTCGGTTGGGCTGGTGGTAGTGGTTATAGTTGCTGTAGTTTTAGTGCAAGAGAAGGGTATGGCAAGCAATATTTTCCATTCCTTATGTTTATTATATTAAAACATATTTCTTTGAGTTAAATGTAAATGAAATGGGGTTTAACGTCTGACTGGGCTAATGAAGACAGGCATGCGCCATATTGTGTCCTATAGATGAGGGTAATTCTGCCCGGGACCAGAATGAATATACGTTGTCAAAGGCCCTTTGTCCTGTACCAGTGGCAAGGGGGAACCACACCGGTGGATTTTCAATATGATGTACAGGGAAAGGTCATCTACAAGTTGGTACCAAAAAACCTTCTAAAGCAATTTGTGGTGGGTCTGTCAGTATTTTGACCAGACCAATACTCAAATAGACCATCGCGAGACTAGATTCACGCATATCACTGTTACAGAAATCTTCCATGTGAGCAATAGCGGGACATTTTGGCTGGTTTTTGGGGTGCAGGATTTGGAAGCATTTTGAGGGACAGTCCCACGAAATGCGGGGCGGGTGGTCACCCTACGTAGTGCTGCTTTCCAGGCAAAATTTTCCTTTGAGCACACTGTATGGTGTATACTTATCTTTTTAAGCCCAGTCGGTGCTTAACAGTAGGCTTTTAAACCCCCTTGCTTGTATGTATGTTTTTTTCTTCAAAGTATTATATTTGTAATTTTGATCCAATAAACATACCAAACTAAAGTAAAGACATTTATATCCTATCAGATAAACAGTGTTTAGAGATTTGTATTATCAATAGGGGCCTAGTTAAATTTAATTTTATCTGAAATGGGCATTGGTTAGAAGTATCAACTGACCTATCTATGACTGGTTTGGTATGGCACATGTGTTTTAAAATCAGAAGTCCAACTGAAAAAAAAAATACAAGGGTGTCTGTGTCCAGTAGTAAGGCATATGAGCCATCACACCATCAGTGCCGTTATACAGTCCAATTATATTCAACACAAGGCAGGAGGCCGAATGATTTTACGTGTGCGCTTTAGGTCATAAGGTGTGTCATTGAGTCAAGTGGTGTGGTTTTGATTTTCAACTTGTATGTGACGAGGAGTAGGGTCGACTTCCAACCTGGTGGGTTTTCTCAGGGTCCTCTGATTTCCTTCCACTGTTAATTAAAGACCCATTATAAGCAAATTTGGCACATATTAAAAAAATGTTGAACTGTTTGTTAGTGCAAAAATGACCTAGGGAACATTAACCCCCATTTCTCACATGACACAAGGTGGCAATGAACCATGGTGCATCATTGAGTAAGGAGCGGCTCACTAATCAGAAAGTGCCGAGATCAGTCCAGCTGTTGGCAGAGAAAATTCCCAGAGATTATCCAGCGTGGTTTCCCCATGTCAGTGGTGCAGATCGGAGGACCTGGCAAAGAACCATATAGACTGTTCACAAAAAATGTGAACAGACATCTGGACATAGTAGACAACATAATACATCCATATGAAAACGTGGGCGTATGAATATAATGTACGGGTATGTACACAACTAAATGAGCGCCCCACCCCTTTCTGATCAATGCTATGATGCAATTATTTCTGTTCTATTGCGTTTCTTATCCATAACACATTCCCTTTGGCTCAATTAAAATGAAATAGATCATTAAAATCATAATTTATTTTTTTAAAAAAACAAAAGAAATATTTTGTGATTGTATTTGTACATAGGTATAAATCATATTATATAAATCACAGGAAAATTTAATTTTTGTCTAAAGAGAATGAGATTTAACAAAATAAATTTATCTAAACCTAAAATATAGAATCTTATGGTCAGTGACCAATTCCAAGTTTCATTTCAAACAAAATATATAAAAATAATAAATAACTACCAGTATTTATGATATTTTCTTTCATAATCTTAATTTATTTCTAAATTGAACACCATTAAAAGTTTTTATTCAAGAAATAAATACAGATTTGAGGTGTTGAATGAGGCATCCAGATTTCAGAAGCCAGACGAATAAATAAAAGTTCAGTTGAACTGTTTCATGTTTATTGAGGTTAAAACAAATTGGTCTCACATTCATACCATTACATGAGCCTAAGCGTATTCGTAAACTAATAAGATATTTCATCTAATTTTTCAAGGCCTAATCCACACTAAAATGGACTCAAATTATTATTTAAAATTTAATTAAGCAAATAAAGATAGACTGCCTGGTAACAAGACTTACACCTATAGCATCTAACTCATTCGAGCAGTCAACAAGGATTGTTGTATAACACAAGGTACAATTTTATGGATACACAATTACGGAGTTTAATACTAAGCGACGTTTCAACGAGGCTACTCTCATCTTTATCAAGCAAAGTATAGTTATTCTTTTGTAGGTAATGGGAGCATTTACAAGAAACTAAAAACTAATCTAGAGTAAAAACCCATTAATTATTAGAAATAATTAAAATTTGATTGACTTCTAGTTCTTCCTGGTGCTAACATTTATTATACAAAACATGTACTCGTTATCAGATTATAAATTTAACTGTTCAAGTTATCAGAAACCAATAGGATTCATCCTCTCATGACCATAAACACTGTCTATCAATTTAAAATAAATTGGAAACTATCTTTAGCCGCTAGTGGGCCCACAAGTATATAAAAGTCATCAAGGACAATAACTCCAAAATTAATTGTAGGCTTCTTATAATCACATGAACATAAACCCGTGTATAAATATAAAAGCAATCAAAATATAACTTTATCATCTTGGGCATCTACAAGCCTTTTCAAAGTGGTCAAGGGCAATAACTCTGGAAGTAATTATTAGAAATGGTTGAAAATCTATAGGTGATGACAACACTATATGACCATATTTCAATGTGGGCATATAAAATAAAAATATCAACATTTGGTAATTTTGCTGCGTTGATTAAATTGGATTAAAAAGGGGCCTATATAAAGATCTTACCCAACCATTTTTTGGTGGTGCCGGCTTGTATATATAATCTGAATTTGCAAAATTTTCAATTTGAGGTTCTATATCACAATAGTGTATGTTACTTTGCAAGGAATTCAAAGTCAATCAAATGATACACATACATGCACATTCATTAAGACAACAAATGGATTTCTATATTTTATCAACACTTGTATCAAACTTATGGCAATATAAGATATAAGGCGATAACATGAACGTGAAATACCTTTGTTTCATTAGTTTATTTTCAGACTGTGCCTTTAAATAAGAGTCTAGTGTAGAATAACAACAACTGATCAATCTAAAATTATTGTATATTTTCTATATCAAATACTATAACAATAAGATATATTTAATTCAAAAAGGATTTAAAGGGTTAGAAAATCTTAGAAAATTTTGCATGACTTGCTAGTTATTTGACTAGAATCCAGCATCTCATCTTCACAATGTCAACGTATTATAGTACATTGACTGCATTGGTGGTAGCAGAGGGTAAAGAGGGTGACTAAATATTTTGAAAGAATTAAAGATATACTGTATCATCAGAATTAAGAGAGATTGGGCCACCAACACATGAAATTAGCAAAATATACATTTAGATGAAAGGCATTAGTGAAGAAGCCAGCAGTTAAAATAAGTATGATAAAAATTCTGACACCATCCTAACACAAGTGTTCATATAATATTATAGAATATTCACCATCGACTGTTTTTAATATGTACGCCAATTGACCAGTTTTAACATCTCATCGACTGACATTAGGGGTATTAAAATGTCTGACAAAGGAGAAACAACAATTAAGGTAGGTCTATTACACCATAAAGGTGTCAATCACTTAAACATGCATTATATAAGAGCTAAATCTGCCTATTGCAGATCTTTATTTAGGCCTTAAATGTTATATAAACTATTAATTAGATATTTATTAACATAAGACCATAATCAACTCTCGATGCCATCTGATTGTTCCGATTTTCAACAGATTTGAATCTGACCTGCGATTCAATGGCAGTTGATAAATAACCGTAAAAATGGATAATCAAGATTTTGTTTATTATCGTAACAACGGTAACAATGACAATCAAGGCTACAGTGTTTATGAAATGAGAATTTCTCGGCTCAGAACTGTTAGCTCTTTATCTAATCTTCCATAATGGTGCTTTAATTACTTAATCAATCCGGCCTAATATCAATGACAATCGAGAATAGTAATAGTTATACCCTCAGTACAGTCAACATTTTTTGGAATTTTGAATATGATTCACTATATCTTGATGTCTGATGGGTGTAGGACATGTCCGACATATACAGGTGAAACAGCATCCATGGTGTATATCTATATTAGTTTTATGAACACTTGACAATGTGAGGGTGTAATAATATATAAATAGTATGTAGTAATAATACCATAGATATGTGTTGTAATAATATAATATCTAATAATAGTCCAAAGGTAGTTAAGCAGTAATTTTCAGCAACCTAAACCATTGCTAAAGTTCATTTTACAATTTTCATTTATTTTTAGAAATTTTAAACCATATCATCAGAGTTCAACGCTGATTTAAAATACCATTTAAAATGTTCGACAGGAAGTAAATAATAATTACAGCATAATAGTTGAAAATATTTGTGAAATAATTAGCTCAGCAAGTAGATGGCACAATGCTGTTACAATGGCAAAAACTTCATATCTTTAAATGTATGACTATATACATATATTTACATTCAAAGAAGGAGGTTTACAGTTTATTATAGCGGGTTATAGATAATTTTAATCCATGACTATCAAAGTTTATATAGTAGAATTAATTAAGTTGGTCATGCTAATTAATTTGTACCTGGGATCCATAAAAAAACTCTTAATTAAAGTTCTGAGTGGGTACTGTATGTAAATAGAAATTACGTGACCTTACATACTTATCAGAATACTAATAATACTTTATTTGTTGCAAGATAATATATTTGATTCATAAAGTTAATTTGATTTGAAGAGGATAGTTTGATTTGTACAATTTAATGAAACTGATTCCGGGACTATCACTAGATGACACCAGATAATCACAATATTATTTGGCATCCATGAATAAAACAGCTGATAACAAAAATTGGTATTTGTACAGACATGTGGGTTGGTAACTAATTGATTACAAATGTTGAAATACCGATCACTGTTTGTGATAAGGACTAAAGTTGATTACAAAACATCAATCTTATAAGGCCACACAAAATAAATGTCTTGTTTCTCGGGCAACTGACAGCTGAAACTGTAGGGAGGGAGGGCGGTTTCTTTTTTTTTTTTACTCATTGATGGTGCAAAATAAAATTTGGCTATTGCTGAAAATTGTTGGGGCGGGAGGGCGGTCTTTCTTTTTTTTTTTTTTAAATGAGAAAGTCATTACTTGTTTACGTTTTTGCTTTCCGTTATATTCAACTTTATTGTACATACTTAAAACATAAACCCAAAATCAAGTCTACTAAAACACTGAGACTGAACACTGACTGAAAGGAAAATAATTTTCCATATTTAATTCACATAATTGAAATTGGTTTAAAATAAAATTCCATACGACTATGTAATAGCCCTCCATAAAGACAACAATATTTTTAAAAACTAAGCCTCTTTCACCAGGTGTATCAAAAATAATAATCATGGTAAACAGTATTTAAAACTAAATCTAGTATCGCCGGTTTATTTATAATTATTTACCGAATTCCAACCAATGCATGTCACACCGTGTCATCGGTATTGGAGATTGCCGGAAATACTGTTTCTTGGGATATTCGGTGTGTTTCTCAGGATATTCGGTGTTCTATCCGGTGTTTATATTGAATGACTATTTAAATCTAACTAACAACTGGTCAGTAAAACCATCAAATCGGTAATCCAATTATTATTTTCCGGATTATCGAAACTACCGTAAATGTGCTAATAATGACCCAGATTCTAAGGTATTCTTAGCTATAATTAATTAACCTGTTCTACGGTTCATTATTTTATCAATAGGATTTTCCAAACAAGGACCGACTGAAGCCGGCAATAATGAGCCGATTACGATCGAATGATTGAAATATTGTCGCCAATGACTTTTAACACGAATCAAATTCTAGTTTATCAGGGGAGGTAATTAATATCACGTGATACAAAATGGAGGTTCTTTCGATATCAATAAAAAAGGCAAATCTGCCAAACTTCGCCATTGTTCGGATAAAAAAGACAGCATGTTCATCTGAATCAGTTTTAATACATTTGAATAGATATACATGTATGGCGGATGTAGGTACATGCGGGATATTTTTTTTACGACTTGCTTGTCGATGTGCGGGCGGGCGTTACATATTTATTTTTTTTCATCAAGACTAATAAATAGACTGCACGCGCAACCAATTTTGCGTGCGGGCGGTGCCCGAGAAACAAGTTATTTTATTTGTGTTGCCTAAGACTAGAAAATTTAAAATGACGTCAAATTAACAGCTTTTTTTTGCGGTAATCACCAATTTGGTAAATTCATGTCAAAAGTAGTGAGCATTATTTAGGTTAAAAAAAAAAATATATCCTGAAATAATGTAGTCTTATATTCATTTGTAACCTGCTCCTGTAAATTCTGAATCGCGTATTTCAGACACATCTACACTTTTGACATCATCTACACTTTTTACATTATAAGGTTTTTAATATACTACATATTACTGGAAAATAATTCTACAAATAGTTACATATATAAATAAAATCTTCCCTAAATATAAATTATGAACACAATCATTCAATTGCAACTGGGACATGTATTTCAAATTAAATAACAATAACAATTCATAATATGGGTAACAACAATAAAATCATTTTCTGATTTGTTATCTATTAACTAGTAATAAATCAATAAGCATTGCAAATAAGCATTCATGATAAGAATCAAATTGAAGTCTTGATTAAAGGTTTAACATGCCAACAGTGAGGTGGATGTCCCAAGCCAATCCCAAAATAAAAAGATGACACATGCTAATGAATTGCACATTTATCTTTTTGAAAAGTTTTGAGCAATAAAATTCATTATCTAATCTTCTTAGTCTAAGCAGAAAATGTTCACGATCAAACTCAAGTCATCACTCTCCATCAGCTACAATCAAAGTTATCTTGTCTCAAAGCATTGACCAATGAAATTACTAAGCTCAATAAGAAGGAGAGTGAGGCCATATAAAAAATAATAATCTGGTTTACAGATAATTTTGTCTGCGATATCACTTATGTGGAAGCAGACGTTGAACACCAGGATACTACTACTACTTTACAGATAATCCCTCATCACTTCAAAAGGACCGCATGACCTGTTTTTATTTTAAAATATGAAAAATAAAAACTGTCTCATTAATTTCCCTAGTTACCAGTAATGATCCTTTCACAAAATAAAAACACAAAAATAAAATCCTCCCTCCCGCATCAGATTTTTGATGAGGATTGTCTGAGAACCTTATTGTGTTTCAAAAAGTGTGACGAGCGGACGGACCCATTTTAATAGCACCCTGCTTTCTCTGAAAGGCGGTGACAAAAATGGCAAAAATGAATAGAACAAATGCTCGATGTCAACAAGTTGTCACACCAAGAGAGGTGAGTAAGTGCTTGTCAGGGGTCCAAGGTCACTTTTTGTGCTGGGATCTACCACCGATTTCTACGACCCTGCAACTATTCAATGTTCAGAGATATAATGAAACAAACTGCCATCTGTATTTTTATCAAATCATAAAATTTGAAAGTCAATTCGGGGCCCTTATTCACGAAAACTTAAACTAATGAAGTTGCAGTATTTCTTAAAATTTCGGTTGTAACTTAGTTTAAGTTTTCATGAATAAGGGCCCGGGATATGATGATTTAAAAGTTACTTCATGATATAATTTGATGATTTAAAAGTCACTTTATGATATGATTTAAAAGTCACTTTATGATATGATTTGAAAGTAACTTCATGATACGATTTGAAAGATTTGAAAACTAAATTGTGATAAAATTGGAAATCTATTAAGTATATAATTATGATACTGTATAAAGCCATGGTAATTTTTAGTCATACATTTTGGTAAAAATCAAAACTTGGGATACAAATTAAAACATGTTGCAGGCTGGTGAAAATTATAATTTGTACAATATGTACAATTTTCAACAAGATCTAGTTTCAATTTTGATCTTTATAACAAGGAAAGATCTTGAGATTATCAAGCTGCATAACTCAAGTTTATTGACAGAGTTCAATAAAAATCTATTGATAATGCTCCTTTAATAAGGTATGAAAAGGTTTGTTATCAGGTCAAAAACATCTACATATCATCAAATCAAGGAATTTTCTAGGATTAAAAGGTAACATTTATCTTAAGTCCAGCTTTAGGTAAAAAAAACAACCAGTGATGCACCTTATAAAACTTGTGATCTGTAGAGTGTCCACAAATAAATTTTTTGCTTTCATTGTCTAAATCACTATTTATATTTATATGAGGTAAACAATAATTCCAGTTCCATGCTGTAAGCTTTGAAATAAATCAAATTATTTAAATGAGGAAAATAATGATTCCAGTCCCATGCTACAAGCTTTGAAATTTACCAAAGTATTTAAATGAGGAAAATAATGATTCCAGTTCCATGTTGCAAGCTTTGAAATAAATCAAAGTGACTTCATACTGCAAGTTCCCAGAAAATACACACCACACTCAAGACACATTTTCTCATAAATACGATAAACCATATTCATTTTAAGTTAAAAAGATCCCAACCACCATGTCTTATCACTATAGTTACTAGACTTGCGAACCATAACAAGGTCACCACTCACATCCAATGCATAGAGCTATCTGTCCTTTGATATAAGATCGACAAGGGCACAATCTCTGAAGTTGTTCGTTATTTCCAACACAGCTCAATAGTAAATTATCTGCTTGCGTAATACATTGTTTTGTTTTAATGTTATAAGCTGGATAATATATATTTGAAGATTTGATCATGTTTGAACATTTTAAGCTTTGCTTTTCAATGGCTTCTTGATTGTTCAGTTCTAGAAAATGATTCGGTTCACAAATCATATCTGAAAAATAAAAAGGATGGATATATTTTAAGGCAAATTAAAGAGTCTATTGAGAGACATGTTATTTTTTGAGTTCATATATTTATGCTTATAAACTTTGTATCCTATTTTGTATAAAAATATATTTTATGAAGAACATTGTGTTCTTGAGTTTTGTATTTGAAGTGTATTTGACATCATATTGAAATCTGTGCCAAATTTCAAATATATAAGTCCATAATTGCAACATAGGGAGCTGCACCAGTATATACATGCCAGTTATACCTAGTCGATCGGTGGTTAAAACAAAGAATGTGTATAGGGGATAGTATTACACACTGGATTTGGTAAGCTGATGGTTTAGCTTCCATATTTGACCAGCTATGCTACAGTATGTGTTTGATCCATCCATACACTATAAATCAAGATATGGTGTTGTGCCAGCCAATCAAATTGCAGTACGATAATTCAATAGTCAATACATATGGATATAGCACTGATGTTTGAAGACCCAACTTAGTAGAATTCTTGCTTTTGATGATGGAGGAGATAATTAGTGTTGAAAATCGGATCGAGATTTGTGATCAGAATACTTTTGTTGTATCCGAATACTATTCGGATAATTCGGAGACGTGAAATTCTTGAACAAAATTACATCAAAAGTTCATATACCGGTACTCATAATTTCTTACTTGTTTCAATGTTTATGAGTGTCTGTGTATGGCGTGTATGAAATCGTACTTTCGATTTGCAAATTGTTTGAGCCGCGAAGAAAAAACGTGCCTACCTTTAGCCGTAATTATTAAGATTATCTATGACATCGGTCTGACATCCCAAAAAATCAATGAGGTGAAGGAATTTGTATAGTATAACTACTTCTGTTATCCGCACCCTCCCACTTATCATTTTGCTCAATCAACACGAATGAAAAAAGTAAAATAAAACCATGTGCCATTTATTCGGCAAGGTCGTTTGCCTCATTCTGATAATCTACTACTATTGAACCAATCAGTGAGTGGGAATATTCGTGACCTAGGGCGTTATGAATAAATTTCATTGTGGGAAGTCAAAACACGGTCTAAACTCGTATGCCATAAACTAGCGCAGGGAATGAATGAATATTTTTTTTATTTAGACTACTGTTTTCGTTGCACTGCATTAATAATTTTATTAGTTACTATCACTAAATAATACGCATAATGTTGACATTTATGCTCAGAGCTGCGTACGTGATCAATTGCATTGGGGAAAATTTCAAAGTAATCAGACGTAAAATGGCTAAATATAGAGCATACAGAATGTCAGAATATATTGTAACGAATAGTAAACGGATAGTAAAATGATTCGGATAACCCTTATTTTGTATCCGTTAACGAATATCCGAATAGTAGTTTCAACACTAGAGATAATGTTGTTAAAAAAGAATTGACCTACTTTTTTCTAAACATGTATCCCGACATGATTTCCCAGCAGGTCCTAAAACAGTAGTTATGGCCTCCAATGGTGGCCATTTTGAAATTTTGGCATCAAATTGACAGAAATCTTGATGTTGTATGTATGCATTCATTCTCTGTAACATACCCTCTTCTGTATATTCATATGGTAAATATGGTTTAAACTAAAACAAAGATTCAAATCATATATTAGTTACAGTAAGTAAGATCGGTTGCCAGGCAATGAAACATGCACAGAGCTGCTAAATCGTCCGACAGTCAACAAGAGTTGTTGCATATTTATTCTTTTGTAGGTAATGGGTGCATTTACAAGACACTGATATAAATTTCATACAGATCAGATGATAACTTTTGTCGTCAGAGCGTTTACAGGGTTCAACAAAGTGAAACAAGGGTGATAACTTTAAAAATTGTTGAAATTCTATAGGCTTTTTCTAGAAGTAATTACCATAAATAGCTGTAATTTCATGCCGATCGGATGATAACTTTTTCATTAGAGCATTCACAAGGTATAACAAAGGGAAACAAGGGCCATAACTCTAGAAGTTATTAACGGAAATTGCTGAAATTCAATAGCCATCTTCGTGTTACTAATTTAAATAATGCATAATGAGTTTAATACAGATCGAACGATAACTTTTGTCGTTGGAGCATTCACAAGGTTCAACAAAGTGAAACAAGGGTCATAACTCTTGAAGTTATATACAAGAATTTCTGAAATCCAATAGCAAGCCTTGAAATAACTGCTAAGGTTCAGCCTGACATCATGTCAGGCTGAACTGATTTTCGGCCGGACATTTCAGATTTTCAGCCGGACATTTCAGATTTTCAGCCTGACAAATAATTTATAAAGTATATTAAACCAAAAAACTGTTGAAATTTACTATGTTTATATATATTATTATACATACATTTATTAATAAAATAAATTGATGACTCACATGACATACAACCTGGAGTTTTAAGTTTTTATATGTATATGGAATACAACTTTATAGTTCATATAATAATGTCATTAATCTCTTTGGTGGGGCTGGGGACTAAATCCTAAAAACTCTGATTAAGATTCAAATTTAACTAAAGAATAGACATCTTGAGTTGTCGTAAATGGTTCAGAATCTGCCAAGTCATTTTTGATCCACTTTTCTAGTCTACGGTTAGTTTTTGTAATTTTCGAACTGGTGACGGCGACGGCCCCCGTTTAGAAGTGTCTTTATGAGAGACATAAGACACAGTACCAGTCTTTGAATTTTCTGGAACGGTCCCACTAGCCGGGATAGCCGTGTCCGAGGGTTGGGAAAAGTAAGAAGTTATTTTATTCGACATGTTTTCACGGCTCTTCTATTTACATTCACATCGGATGTGTCCAACAAAGTGAGATATTTTCGTATAAAAAGTCTGTCCCTAATTACATCCATGACCATAGTCAACTTGAACATTTTCTTGTAAACTAATTTTAAAATATTATTACTTTTATTACTAATAATTTATATAACTAGAACTGCGAAGCAGTAATGACAGGTTTCACCGGTGCCACGTTACCCTTGAACTTATGTCACTTCCGGTGCCACGTTACCCTTGAACTCATCACTTCCAGTACCAATGGAGCCGATAAACAGATATCCACAAACTTTGCACGCATCAAATAAAATGGAAGCAGAATCAACCAAATCCAGCAATATCAATTCATTTTATACATTTGTTACATGTGAATGATCCTGACAAAATTACATTACTTCCGGAGATAATGAATAAGTTCAATTAGTTTTATGAAATCAGAAATGGCATAAGGCATCACATGGTGAACATTTTATGTAAATCGAATATTAATTGCTACTTTTACAGACCAAAAACCTTAAAAAGTGACTTGTAGACAATCGTCTATTTCTCTGCAACCGTACAAGTCAGAAACCATTTTTTGGTATCTGTATGATCGTGGGGGTTCAATCTATGTGTTGATTTGAATCAAATATCATAATTTTAAACACTTTACAAATCAGACGCATTTGAATAAAATATCTGCTTTGAAGGCCAAAAATACAGTATTTGCCAAAATGACGTTACTTCCGGTGATAACGAAAATCTTAAATTACTTTTATGAATCGTAAATGGCATTAGGTATCACACACTGAAAATTTTATGAAAATCAAATAATAATTGAAACTTTTATGGACCAAAAACCTTGAAAAGTTACCTGTTGAAAATCGTCTATTTCTCCGCAACTGAACAAGTTAGAAACCATTTTGTGATATCTATATGATTGTTTGGGTTCATTCTATTAGTTGATTGGAATCAAATATCAAAATTTTAAAAAAATAACAAATAAGACTCAATTGAATAAATTATTGGTTTTGAAGGTTATAAATACAAATTTTGCCCAAATTACGTCATTTCCGGTGACTTTGAAAATGTTAAATTGGTTTTACCTTGTTAAAATTGACATTACGCATCAAATGGTGTCACTTTTATGAAAATCGAATAATAATTGACTCTTATACAGGCAAAATAGCGTAAAAAGTGACTAATACAAAATTGCCCATTTCTCGGCAACTGTTCATATTACAAATTAATTTTCACATACATTCTCTTCGTATGGATTATTGCTACTAGTTTATGAAAGTTGCGAAGAAATATTTTAAAATATGAAAAACCTGAATGGGTTTTGAATAGCTCATTTTTTCACCGAAAATCAGTTTTTTGCTAAAACTCTTTTTTTTTAATGGGATCAAAATGGGAGTAAAGCACTGAGTCCGGGGTGGTAATGGGCGTATTGTGTCCAAATTTCATGGTTTTCGTACAATCGGTGCCGGTTTCGCGGCGAAATTCCACCTTTTTCCCCTTATAGAAGCCGTAAATTGACTTAGAAAAAAAAACGACCTGGAGCCGTGCCAAGAACAAACGACTTGAACAAATGCAGGTATCACCTTGAAATTTTCAGGGTACCTAGGTACCAGCGTGAAAAGTTCCTCGCCGGAATTTGGTACTCATGGTACCTTTGGTTCCAGCGTAGCGCATGCGCGAAATCAAAACCAGCTAAACTCAAAGCAACCTTTTCAGCACGGAAAACATCAAAGGCAAAATTCGAATTTTTGAAATATTCAAATACCAAACATTCGACAATGAGCCAGGCTATCCTGAAATGTATTAAATTCGGTAATAGGAGATAGATTCTTTAAGCCACGACCAATTGTGTATGTTTTCAAGCCCATTAATGTGGATATTTCACTATTTTTCATATTCAATTCAAAATGGTGACCATCATTTGGCCTAAATCAAAATTCTGCTCTGAACGTTTTTTAGGCATTCCATTAAGGATTCAGAAAATGTAATTCCCATGTCTGTAAGTAAAATATCGCAAAAGCAAAGTAATTTTTCACGTTTCAAGATGGTTGCATTTCCGGTTCGATCGACAAACTCCATATTTTGCATATGAATCAGTAATTACTTGTCTAGTATCTAAAAAAAAATTAGGTCATTCTGACCTATATTTCGATGATTTTTTTGAAAATTTTGTTCATTAATTTCATTAAGGGGAGATAATTTAGCAAATTTCTAATCATATTTTTGAAGTCACATCGGTAAGATCTACTTACATGCTAAATTTCATGAAAATCGTACAACTATTAAAGAAGTTGTCAAATTGGTCATAAATACCGGTTCGAAATCACAGCGACGAATTTTCGAAATTCGAAAATCTGAATCTGCAGATTTGAAGTAATTTGAAAAAAGATTTAGTAAAATAGGTCAAATAGTCACAAAGTTACAGCATTGTAGGTCAAATGCATTCGTTCGTAAAATTTGGTGATTTCGGATTCGTAAAACGTTTTGAAAATATATTTAATCAACAGCCACCACCCATTTTTGGGGGGATAGGTAAAAGTTTCAGAAAGATCCTATGGTTAGATTCTGAGAAATCCGATTTGTGGATAAAACACAAAAAAAAAAATAATAACAATAATAATCTTAACAGAAACAATAAGCTTTCATATGAAATATGAAAGCTTAATAATAATCCGAACAAAAACAATAGTGTTTCACACTGGCTACGCAGTGTGAAACCCTAATTACATGTCATGTTAGGTGTGATTTAGCACACTGATCCGCAGTAATATTCGCTTGGCCGCTACAATCACTGATAAGGATGACATCGATGCGACTTAATGACTACAAAATATTAACTTTTTTCTTTCGACAAATTAAATTCTGAAACATTTTTTTTTAGTATTAGAAAAATAAATAAAGGTGTTTGAAGTATATCTTGATAAAAAATATTCCATATTTAGCTTAAATAGGTACAGAAAATAGTACGCGGAGGCGTAAAATGGGTAAAACGATATAATTCTGCCCGTACCAGGTCATATTACTACGTTCGATGTAAACAACGCACGTGTGACCATCAATTTGACGGTTTTTTTTCTGTTCGTTTACTCTTAATTCTTTCAGAAGTACATTTTTTACCGTCTAATCTGATTGACCTGCTTGTGTTTGTTTTAAAACAACAATAACAAGCCACAGAAGTAATCTTTTTTGGCGTTATCGATGCCATCTTGCTTTGTTGGTAACCATTGTGATGTGACGTCACCCTTAGAACTACAGCGGTCTGACCTTTTAAAGGTCAGTCATCTTGGACAGAGATAAAAGACGGATGTCGCATTAGGTCTGTAAAACAGATTGGTGATTTAGAGCTAACCATATACGAAAGTACGAAAGTAACGCAAAGCTAGCTACGAGACTCGAATAATCAGTGTAAAAGAGCCGATTCTCAATATTATTCATTATTTTATCTTCACATGTATAAATAGTAATATTTTTACTATGACTCGGGTCGTTGATACTAAAACTTATTGAAGATTTTATCTGCACGCGGCCGAGATATAAATAGTAACATTTTCACTAGACTCGGGTCATTGATATTTTTGGTCCTGGACTTTCGAGTCTAATAATAAATAGCGGTTGATGCTATATTGTATCTAGCGAAATACCAAAAAGGGGAGGAGCTACCAACAGCTAGTTGAGCAGACATTCTAACGTATTTGTAGGCGGGAATTAAAAAGCATAACCACGCCTTGACATGATCGGTGAAGGTCATCAATGTATCAGCGAAATTTTGCCAAATTACATTTTTCATTTGTCAAAATGTGATTTCCATTTAGTTGCAACTACCAAACTTGAAGTCCAGTCCGTATTGTAAATCTCTCGGCTTTTCGGGCAGAAATCATGGAACAAACTTTATTTTGGAGGTTTCAACATCTAGGCCTGGTAATTAATGTTGACATTTTTTTCTGAGTTGGTTTCATAAGTAATATGCCATGGTATGGTATGCCGATACTTGAATGGTGGCCATAAGGCGTTAAAGTTAAAAGTCCAACTTATTTTTATTTTCACCTAATTTGTAATGTTATCAAGATATCAACTGTGATTTGGCACTGTATTATCGACAGGGGTCATGCCCGCACGGCTGATGGGACTAGGGAGTTAATAATGCCATGGTGGGCTTGGCAAGTGAATAAATGTAACGATCTGCATTAAGAAAAATTAGCTTTAGTCTAAGTAACATTATGCATCTTTATAAATAAAGCTTCATTTATTTACATTTTAATTTTGTTCTATTTTGATTTTTTCTTCAGGATGATGCTCCGATAGTCTAATGCCAAACTAGAAATTGGTGTGTAAATGGTTTTATCCTTTGACAACAATTCAGCTTACATACTAAAAATAATAATGTGCCCATTGTTAATTCCCGGTGTTGACCAAGAAAATTCATCTCGATTTTCCGGCGTGGTTTCCCCATGTCAGTGAGTGGTGCAGAACATAGGGCCTGGCAAGGACAGCTGCCTAGTCGTTCGGATAGAAAGAATAACCAAGGTCCCGTGTACACATTGGCGTGCATGTAAAAGTTCCCTTGCCAGTTGAAATTGGATATAAGAGTAGGCCTTAGCGCCGCTGTCTGGGCAAAATTTCATTCTAATAGCCCAGTCAGAGCCGTACAGTAGGACGTTATACCTCTTTTCATTTTTATAATATTGGGAGCCCCAAAGTCTCAGTGAGGCTGACCTTAAAAATATCTTTGTTTCGCCTAACGCGACCGACTAACTAAAACCACCCCCGACTTAAATTATTTTATTGCACTTTTCCGCGATCTTTTTATTTTATTTTGTGTGTCAACCTGAAATATATCACGAGAGTTATTTCCCTTTACTATGGCTATAGTTTGATTCATTATTGAAACTGGTTGATCAAGACGAAAGCGTTATAGGTGTCGCTTCTCAACAAAATGGTTGCAGACGAAAGCACGTCTATTCCCACGAAATGATTCTGCCTCTATGTCTGTGGGGCGTCGTTTTAAACATGACGAAGATATTTTCAATATCTGTTTTCGAGAAAAATGAAGGCACAACCCGCACGATCGTTAAAAACGTGTTGAAGGGGTTTCACACTTAGAGTTCGTGGCAAATCGTGTGCGAGTCTCGGAGTCGTGCATCACGAAAAATCCCGATGTCATACTCATTGATTTGTTTGACAATAAAAAAAGACGAATGTTTCCCCCCCAGAAAATTATCAAGCTGTCAAATTAGCTTTTTAAAAAAAAATCTGAAAAAAACCCCCGACCTACCGACCCTTCTCCTCGATTGTGGGTCGGGTTTGGCGAAACAAAGATATTTTTAAGGTCAGCCTGAGTAAAGTGTTGGTTCGCTGACATGGACATACTGTGTTTGATACCTGCATTGGCTGAGAAAGTTCATGTGGATTTTCCGTGGTGTAGGACGGAGGGCATGGTAGTATAGACATCGTTCGGATAGCAGAAAAAACAGGTCCTTGTACACATTGGTATGTACATTTAAAAAGGCTTGACTGTAAGAGTAGGCCATTGCACCTCTGTCCAGGCAAAATTTCCCTTGTAGCTCATTGCATGGCATTTGCCCGTTTTTATAAGCTCAATTGGAAATTAAAACCTATTTATTTCATGTATATAATATTGACAATAACAATTGTTAACATTTTAGGCGTGCAGTCCTGAGAAAAGAAAAGCAGAAAACAGGCTTCGGATTTAACATTGTCAGCAATAAGGTAATTTCTTGTTCTTGTAAAACTATTATTATTCCGGGTCGAACATAGTTTGAGGTTTGTCTGCTCAGATTTCATGTACAAAGCATATCTCATAAACCGTTAAAAGTATCTTTCAGACTCGCCTATCATGGTTTTTTTCCGAGTCCTCCTGGTTTCCGTCCACTGCTAAAGACTCCCAATGCGCAAGCGAATTATTGAAATCTGGGTCCCCCTGTTTTCCTTCCACTGCTAAACACTTCCAGTGCGCAAGGGAGTTATTGAAATAAAATTGAACCATATGTTAGTCCCGAAATGACCTAGTTTGTGTCCAGTGGGGGTGTATTTATGAAACTTCATGACATTGTGTTGTAAAATTGCATCTAGAACTGCCTTCAGTTTGTTGATACTTTGATGGTAGTGGTGGTAATTTGTAATTTTAGTTGATTTATGTCCACTATGACTAAATTCATTTATTAAAGACGAATATTTACCATTATTCTTTCAGGCCCTAGGATTCCAATAAGTTGAATTTCTTTGTACAAAACTATTAAAGAGAAGATTTATGTGCAATATTTTGTTGAAAGAATCCTCAGTATTTGTTGTGGTGAACAAAATAAATATTGGCTGTCAAGAGGCAAATTGTATGTTGACTAAATATGAAAAATAAAGTTATACAAATTAAGGCCACGTTTTCTGCAATATGGGGAAATGCTGCATTTGGGGCCATTCTGATGAAAAGAAATGAAATGGGAATTAACGTCCTAGTTTTTTTTTGTACTGACCGGGCTTATTAAGACAGGTATACATCATGCAGTGTGATATGATTGGAATTTTGACCAGACAGCAGCTCTGCGGAATACTCTTATTTCAAATTCCTACGTGTACATGCCCCCCCCCTCCTAAACTATTCACAAGGGTAACATCGGAAAATCATATCATGATAACCTTCGTCAGTCAACAATGGGTTGAACATTGAGCCACCGTGGCTCCTCTGAAGGAAACATTTAATGTGTAGGCGAAATTTTTCTGTAACACTATTAGTTTGAAAGTATAACACTTTTATGATAATTAAGTCATAATACAGGAGTACCGTTATTCTCCGTCTCAAAGACCAACAGATCAGGTTCGACCTGGATATGAATTAATGGGGTTTTAAAGTCCAAGTGTTCTGTTCCGCCAATCTATAGAAAATCCTGTTGTGAGAACAAATCTGAAAATAAATTCTGCTGTGATGGCTATTCTGACACAAAAATTCTGCTGTGGTGGATAATCTAACATAATTCCTGTTGTGATGGATAATCTAAAGAAAAATGTTTCTGTTGGGACCAATCTATAGAAAGTCCTGCTATGAGAACCAATCTGAAAATAAATTCTGCTGTGGTGGCTATTCTGATGAAAAATTCTGCTGTGATGGATAAGCTATCTAAAATTCCTGCTCAGATGAATGATCCAACGACATTTCGTGCTGTTGGGACCAATCTGTAGACAATTGTGCTCTGAGGACCAATCTGAAAACTAATTCTGCTGTGATTGCTATTTTGAGGAAAAATTCTGTTTTAAACGATAATGTTTCTGTTGGGACCAATCTATAGAAAGTCCTGCTATGAGAACCAATCTGAAAATAAATTCTGCTGTGGTGGCTATTCTGATGAAAAATTCTGCTGTGATGGATAAGCTATCTAAAATTCCTGCTCAGATGAATGATCCAACGACATTTCGTGCTGTTGGGACCAATCTGTAGACAATTGTGCTCTGAGGACCAATCTGAAAACTAATTCTGCTGTGATTGCTATTTTGAGGAAAAATTCTGTTTTAAACGATAGTCTAAAGAAAAATCCTGCTGTGGTGTTTAATCTAAAGAAAAATCCTGCTGTGGTGTATAATCTATAGAAAAAAACCTGCTGTTTAGACCACTCTGCTGAATAATCTAACCACAATTCCTGCTTTTGGTTCTAAGCGATAATAAAAATTCTGCTGTGATAGCTATTCTGACGATAAATTCTGCTGTGATGGCTATTCTTCCGAATAATTATGCTGTGATGGATAATGTAACGAAATTCCTGATATGATGGATAATCTACTACCGGTACTGTTTAAGCCAATCTAGAAATTCTTCCTGTAAGAACCAAGCTGAAAACAAATTCTGCTGTCATGGCTATTGTGACGAACAATTCTGCTGTCGTGGCTGTTGTGATGAAAATATTCTGCTGTGGTGGATAATCTACCGAAAATTCCTGCTCTGCTGAATAATCTCACCACGTTTCCTGCTGTTTTGACCAATCCATAATAAAAATTCTGCTGTCATAACTATTCTGACAAACAAAAAATTCTGATGTGATAGCTATTCTTTCGTATAATTCTGCTGAGATGGATAATGTAACGAAATTCCTGATAAGATGGATAAACTAAAGAAAAATATTGCCGTTTAAGCCAATCTATAGAAAATCCTGAAAACAAATTCTGCTGTCATGGCTATAGAAAATCCTGCCCTTAGAAACAAGCTGAAAACAATTTCTGCTGTCCTGGCTACTAGGTGGCGAAAAATTCTGCTATGATGGCTATTGTGATGAAAATATTCTGCTGTGATGGATAATCTACCGAAATTTCCTGCTCTGCTGAATAATCTAACCACAATTTCTGCTTTTGCGACCAATCTATAGAAAATTCTGCTGTAATAGCTATTCTGACGAAAAATTCTGCTGTGGTGGTTATTCGGTCGAATAATTCTGCTGTGATGGATAATCTAACAAAATTCCTGATATAAAGGATATTCTAAAGAAAAACCCTGCTGTTTAAACCAATCTATAGAAAATCCTGCTCTTAGAACCAAGCTGAAAACAAATTCTGCTGTCATGGCTATTGTGGCGAAAAATTCTATGATGGATATTGTGATGAAAATATTCTGCTGTGATGGTTAATCTACCGAAATTTCCTGCTCTGTTGAATAATGTAACCACAATTCCTGCTTTTGCGACCAATCTATAGAAAACTCCGCTGTGATAGCTATTCTGACGAAAAATTCTGCTGTAGTGGTTATTCTGCTAAATAATTCTGCTGTGATGGATAATCTAATGAAATTCCTGATATGATGGGTATTCTAAAGAAATATGCTGCTGTGATAGCTATTCTGCCGAAAAATTCCGCTGTGGTGGTTATTCTGCCAAATAATTCTGCTGTGATGGATAATCTAATGAAATTCCTGATATAATGGATATTCTAAAGAAAACTCCTGCTGTTTAAACCAATCTATAGAAAGTCCTTCTCTTAGAACGAAGTTGAAAACAAATTCTGCTGTCATGGCCATTGTGACGAAAAATTCTACTATGATGGATATTGTGAGGAAAATATTCTGCCGGGATGGTTAATCTACCGAAATTTCCTGCTCTGCTGAATAATCTAACCACAATTCCTGCTTTTGCAACCAATCTATAGAGAATTCTGCTGTGATAGCTATTCTGACCAAAAATTCTGCTGTGGTGGTTATTCTGCTGAATAATTCTGCTATGATGGATAATCTAAAGAAAAATGCTGCTGTTTAAACCAATCTACAGAAAATTCTGTGAGGACCATAGATGATGAGGACTAAGCTGAAAACAAATTCTGCTGTAATGGATATTGTGAATAAAAATTCTGCTGTGATGGCTATTCTGACGAAATATTCGGCTGTGGTGGATAATCTAACAGAACTCCTGATATGGTGGATAATCTAAAGAAAAACCCTGCTGTTGGTACCAATCTATAGAATATAATGTTGTGTTAACCAATCTCAAAACAAATTCTGCTGTGATGGCTATTCTAACGAAATATTCTGATGCGCCGAACATTCATAGCCTACATAAGATAAACTATCGTGTACATCTCTATATTCTTTTAATAAACACGTTTATTTAAACAACAGGCTTTAACTTAACTGACACAGTATATGTATACAACTGATAATATATGTCCATAATTTTTCTTTTTTTTTCTTTTTTTTTTTGGTTACATTGTCACTTTGTAAAGTGCCCCTGTTGGGACCAATCTAAGAGATTATCTATTGAACATCCTGCTGTGATCAGGGCCAATCTGAACCAATATAAATCAGTCCTGCTTTGAGGGGTGGGCAATCTATAGAGAATTATGGTGTGGGCACCAATCTTAAGAAAGATCTTGCTGTGAAAGCCAAACTGAAAAAAAGCATTCTCAGACATAAGTTCAGAATTTACTCCAAATTGTTCGCCTTAATTATTTTAACTAAAATATAGCCCTTTATAAAACCTTTGCTGTTTTAATGTATCAAATACATAAATAAGAAACTATGCAAAGTTTTGTGTTTCTGGATCAAAGAATTTCTTATAAACAGTAATTGTAAGTGGAGTAAATTCTTAACTTAAGTCTGAGAATGCTTTGTGAACTCGGGGCCCGATGTGATGGATAATCTAAAGAAAACTCCTGTTGTGGGGGCTAATCCGAATAAAAAGTCTGCTGTGAGGGGCCATCTATATAAAATCATTGGGGCCATAGAAATACTAATATTATTATAACAATTTAAATAGACGGGACCATGCAATCTTTACAAAATCGTGCTGTGTGCGCTGATCTGAAAAATCCTGTTGTTGGGATCATTGAAGAAAATCCTGCTGTGACACGAATCTAAATAAAAAAAATCGTGTCTTGGGGCCAATCTAAATAAAAAAAAATCCTGCTGTGAGAGCCAATCTACGATATAAATATGGTGTGTTGAGGGGAGGGGGGTATATAGAAAAATTAAAAACATTGAATGTTTATTTCTTTCTTTCGACTTCGTCACTTTTTTGTGGGTGGGTGTGTGTGTGTGGGGGGGTAATGCCGTTATGGATGAAACACAGATTGTCAAAGTTAGCGATATAAATAAGGCTATATTAGTTTATTGTTCTACTTTAAACTCTTGGCCTTGAATAGCAGGTAAACGGGTTTTAACGTTTATGTACTAGATAATGTGATCTGCCTCCAGTTGTTCAAATTATTTCCCTTGATATTTCCAAGGTGAAGGCTGACAGCTGTCAATCATTCTGCTCTGGTGTGTAGATCTGTCGTTACTACCAAAGAGTGTCTATTTTTACACCCAAAACTAAGGCTGTGCAAAAATATCGATATAATCGGTAGAAGTTATTTAGCGATACGATAATCGATATTGAAATCCAAATATCGATTATCGGTATATTTACCTTCTGACGGCAAGTTACGGTCACTTTCACATGACTGAACTTGCCGTAGTCTGACATGCAGACGAATGAACGAATACACAACGTCAACACAACAACTATTTTCCCCCTCTGCTTACAAACTGGCACATTTTAAATATATATTATTGTAAAAAAAACTAAACTTTAAGATTAAATACATTATTTTAATATTTTCGTTGTTTTTGTTGTTATTACTAGTTGAAACTAAAATAGGTCACGCACTTTGTGAACAATGACGATCGCACGTGATATAGTAAAATTAGAATTATCTCCCTTCTTTGCTCTTGATTGATTTGTAGAGAAATTGTCTGCTTTCACGATAAAACTAATTGTATTATTAATGATCAACTCAGCTTTTATTACTAAATCATGTCAGATACAGCCCATACAAAACACGTTTTGGACTTCCCGGGAAAATATCTATATCTCTCGTAATTTCTTGGAAGAATCTACTTTGGTTTTCGTCAAAATTAAC